CTACGCCACAATACGTGTGTCAGTTTGTACAAAGGCGGCGCATGAGTCTCGGCCGGCCAAGTGGGGCTGGCGTTGTGCGTCGATGCCTTTTTCCGAACCCCCCTTTTCGCACCTGCCCCGAGCATAGATTGCAAGATAGTACAGTGGTACCTCGGGTTAAGTACTTAATTCGTTCCGGAGGTCCGTTCTTAACCTGAAACTGTTCTTAACCTGAAGCACCACTTTAGCTAATGGGGCCTCCTGCTGCTGCCGGAGCACGATTTCTGTTCTCATCCTGAAGCAGAGTTCTTAACCCGAGGCACTATTTCTGGGTTAGCGGAGTCTGTAACCTGAAGCGTCTGTAACCTGAAGTGTATGTAACCCGAGGTACCACTGTAATACCAGCCAGAAACTGTTTTGTTTTGCTCTTCTAGTAACTTCTTTCTCTTTCCATTTTTTTGTCCCCCTCCTGCAGTAACTTCTATGCAAAGCCCCCAACCCCGAGAAACGGATCGTCCTTCTTGCCACCAGTCGCGGGGTCCCCTCTCGCCCAGTCCTGCTGCTGCTCTGCTGGGACTGGGGGGGCGTCGTCGCACCTCCTGGATCCCGACCCGGCCCTGGAGAAGACAGGAAGAAAAACCTCCGTCAACTGCGTCTCGTTCTCTCCCTCCTCTCCCCTCTCAAGATGCGTATTTATATCCATCCTAGCAACGACCTGTAAACAGCTCCTCCTTCTTGGGGGGGGGCGTGTATCAAGCTGGGAAAGGGCCCCTTAATTCTGGGTAGTGACCAATTTATACATATATATAGCCCCCCTCAAAGTGCACTATATTGTAGCTACCTGTCTGTATGTGATACTGTGAACTTCCTCTCTCTCTGTTTTATTTTAAAATCATGTATTTATTTTTTCCGTCCTTGCACAGAATTGTAGCACTGTCGTGCTTTTTTTTTGTTTTGTTTTAAAGAATGATTATTAAGGAACAGTTTACTGCACTTTTGGGGGCGCGAAGGAGAGGGGAGGCGGCGTTGTGAACCTGCGCGGTTGGTCGCCCGGGTGGCCGAACCCCCCTCGATTCCCCGGGAGGTGGGGAGCGGCTTTTGGCTCAGAAAGTGGGGAGATCATGGAGCCCCCAAGGAACTCGGCGTGGTCAGAAATACTGCTGTGCCAGGGTTGGCAAGGCTGTCTCCGCGGACGCGGCGCAGAAGCAGTCATTTTGGCTCCCGTGAGCCATTCATTTCAACATTGAGCATTTTGTGCGTGTGTTTGTGTGTCGGTTTGGGGCCGGGCCTTCTCTCCCCCCCCCCCAAATCCGCAGGGGCTCTTCAGCGCACGAGTCTTCTAAGCGAAGGCTTCTGCTGAGCATCTGCGCACAGCTGGCCCGGCCCATGGATCTCGGCGAGACGGCGTCGTGTCTGGCGGAGAGGTTGAGAGACGGCCCTATCCCTTCCTCTTGCCATGTTGATCTGCCTTCCTGAAAGAAGTGCAAGAAACCAGTCCCCTGTTTCGGTGGCCGAAGGCAGCTCGCTTCCACCAAAGCTTTGGGTGGCGTTTTTGCACGGCTCCAACATCGTATCGACTTTGGAGGACCTTGCAGCCCGCACGAGAAGGCTTTTCCGCGCCTCCGAGTGTTAACCGGAGTTGGTTATCACCGCAGGACGCAACAGGCAGAGGGAAGAGCTGTCTGGCGAGGCCTTGCAGGCGGAGCAGCTTTTTTTCTCTTGAAAAATTCCCCTTCCTAACAATCTCCGCCCACCTGGTCTTTGGGACGGAACCGGTTTGAGTGTCTCGTACGCTGCTCTTCAAAACCGAGACCCAGGCAGCACGGATCGCGGTTCCTTCGAGAGGAGGCCTGTCGCGTGCCGGAACGGCAGGCGGGCGTTACAAATCCAGCCCTCCTGACATTTTGGGCTGCGGCTGCCATCAGCGCCCCAGCCAGCCAGCTGGCGGGAGTTGCAGTTCAAAGATTCTTGGAGGTTTTTCAAAGGCTGCCCCACGCATGTCCCTGAAAAGACGGCGAAGGCGAGACATTTCTGCAGCCGAGGCTGCGTTAGCTTTCCTGTGCGTACGGTCGTCGTCTGTTTTGTTTGCACAGACAAATGTCCTTTTGGGGAAGTGGTTAAATAGCCCTTGAGAAGCGAAAGGGTCTTTTCTCTCTCAGCGCAGCCTTCAAGAGGAAGCCCGGCCGTGCCTCTCCATGCGACAGAGCCTCAAACCTGCCTTTGAAACACAGAAAATCTCTCCTTGGCCTTGCTCGGCGTCCTAGCCATCCGCCTCCACGAGCGACCCAGATTCAGAGGGATCCTTTCTCTGACTTAAGGGGAGAGATCTCTCCCTCTCTCCTTGTCAAAGAAACCTGCCACCTTCCAGAGTCATTTGGCTTTGCAATTCAACGACAGGAACGTATTTGGGGCGCCTGAGAGCCGGTTGCAAAGCTCTGCGAACCTTGGGCATTACTCCTGGTGAGCGAACTTGGTTCCTTCGCCCGCCCTTCCGGCTCCCCCTTTCCACCATCTTGACAATCCGCCCTCAAAGACCTCTCCGTGGAAGCTTTCGCCAGCCTGGAGCCCTGCCCCACGTCGCGGGCGATAGGAGCTGCAGTCCCAGCTGCCTGGGGGCGCCCGGTTGGCCAAGTCTGTCCCGGCTGCCATTTCTCAACGCTGCTTGCGCTGTGTTCGCCACCACCCTTTAAATTTCCCACCCGCAACCCCAAAACAGCTGAGCCCACCCTGTCAGAGCGGGGAGCTCCTCCCTCCCCCCCCCATCTCCCCATTTCAGCAGGAAAGACCGGCCAGCAGGGAACGACGTCGGACCTATTTTCTTAGAAGTCTACATTAGACCTGTGGGGTGTGCGTGTCTGTATGTACATTATAAATATATATATATATATATTTATATCTCTCCCGGTTCTTATTTCGTTTTGCAACGTGTTTTCGGAACTTGAGCGCTCACCCCCGTTTTGACGTGCATTGTACAGAAGGGGGTGCGCAGGGTTTTGGGGAGGGGGGGCCAGAAATCCTGCAGGGCTTGCTCTAGGTCGACTGTCACATATCACCTCTTCTGTTTGGGACTTCTCCCCGCCCGCCCCTCTTCCAGAAGTGTAAATCCGCTGTGTTGACGATGAACCATTGTAGTTTTGCTGTAAAACCAGAGGCGGTTTCCTTTCTCTCTCTCTCGATATATATATATATATGCGTATATCTACAAATGCATCCCGACCGAAATAATTCCTCCCTCTCTTGATTTTTAAAGAAAGATTTATCTCCTACCCCTCCGCCCTTTGTAAATAAGCTGTGGGGTTGGTTTTTTTTTTTAAGTGTGCGATGATTTCATCCTCCATCCTTTCTATAGACCAAGATCCATAACTTCTTATATTGGGGGGTGGGAAGCAAAATCCTGTTGCGTTTTTTAAAGGGGGGGGATGCAACCTCATCTTACAAAACAGGAGAGCCTTTCCCACTGTTACATCAGGTTATTTCCTTGGGGTGGGGTCATTTATTCCACTTCCCCATATCTCCCCACCTCTTCCTTGGTGTGTTCAAGGGCGGGGAGGGTCTCTGGCGACCCAGCCATGCCCATCGATCCCTTCAGGGACGTACCTCTTTTCCCGTTCAGCCCAAAGGCTTGGGGCATCGAAGCGTATTTTATTATTTTTCTTTTTATTATTATTATTATTTCAGCTCCCGTCGGGTGTGGGCCCCTCCGCCCCGTTCGTTTTTAACTGTTGTAATTTATTATTAAAACGCTTTATTTAAGGAGAATTTCGGTGTTTTCGTTTTTTGGGGTTTCTTTTTTTAAAAAAAGAAAAAGTTCTCTTTCCTGATATAGTAAGTGGACAATCCCATTGTGCTTCCTCCTTCTTCTTCTTCTTCCCTGCCCCTCTGTTCTTTTCGAAAGAGGCGACGACAAACCAGATTTCTGTATCCCGGCGCAGAACCGTACGGAAACATGGTGGAATTCTTGTATGCAATGTCGTCCGTCGCCGCCTTCTGGCATTCCATTTCCCCCTCCCCTCCTTTATTTTTGGAAATATCTAATAAAATAGAATGATAAAAGCACTCCTTTGTTGGGTTATGTGTGTGTTTTTGCCTTCTCACTTTTCTTTCTTTCCTCCGTTTGGCTGCAATCGAGCTGAGCATTCTTATATAACCGCTTGTTTCCTTTATAAATTGCTTCCCTGGAGCTTTCCACACTCCCCCCCCCCCAAAAAAAGGAAACTTGAGAGATAATTAAAAGATTAAGCAGCGCCATGTGTTGAAATGATCTCGTGTGTAAATAAAACAGTACAGAGACACTGTAAAGCCAGCTGGGAGATTACGGAGTCGTTCGTGGAGCACGGCATTAAACTGTGGAACTCTCTGCCACAGTAAGCAGGGATGGCTTCCAAAAGGGGGTTGGGCAACTGCATGGAAGAGACGGCTTTGGGCGGCATATAAATAATAGAAAATATTAACGTAACATAGCGAAATTGACTTGCAAAGTGGTGTGTTGTTCGATAAGAGATTGAGTGTTTGGTGGGGGAGGGAGGCTCGTTTAATTTCATTGTACACAGGTGGTACAATGACAATAAAGGTATTATTATTGGGACGCAGGTGGCGCTGTGGTCTAAACCACAGAGCCCAGGGCTTGCCGATCGGAAGGTCGGCGGTTCGAATCCCCGCAATGATGGGGTGAGCTCCCATTGCTTGGTCCCTGCTCCTGCCAACCTAGCAGTTCGAAAGCACGTCAAAGTGCAAGTAGATAAATAGGTACCGCTCCGGCGGGAAGGTAAACGGTGTTTCCATACACTGCTCTGGTTCGCCAGAAGCGGCTTATTCATGCTGGCCACATGACCCGGAAGCTGTACCTTCCCGCTGGAGCGGTACCTATTTATGTACTTGCACTTTGACGTGCTTTCGAACTGCTAGGTGGGCAGGAGCAGGGACCGAGCAACGGGAGCTCACCCCGTTATTGCGGGGATTCGAACCGCCGGCCTTCTGATCGGCAAGCCCTAGGCTCTGTGGTTTAACCCACAGTGCCACCCGCATCCCTTTTAGTAGCACCTTAGAGACCAACGAAGTTTGTTATAGGTAAGGTGCTACTGGAAGGAATTTCTTTAGATATACCAGAGTAATGGCTCCCATCCTTTTTCGCCCGCCACTTCTGAGCCTGGACTCGCTCTTCCTCTTCAGGGGGCCTGGTGGAAAATGTTTCCTAATCCCCCCAGGATGAGGAAACCACGCTGGCTTGAGTAACACCTTCCCGGATCCTTCCTTTGCGCTGACGAGGAGGAAAGCGAACCACCGACCTCCACTGTTGGGTTAGGCGCTGGTTTTAAGCTCTGAGCTGCTTCCCTAAAGGAAGGCTGCACAAGGCTCCTTTCCCCCCCTTCTCCCGGTCGAATCCTTTCGCCCAGAGATCCCTCGAATAACAGATCCCGTTCCTTGAAGATGGCAAAAGCCTTTCGCGCGTTCCTCCTGGCGAGAACGCCAAGGTTCTTCCTCATCCTTCTCCAAACAGGTAAGATGGCAAGTTTTGGGTGCGCTCGGGTTACAGTCTCTCTGCCACCTTGAGGACACTGTCGTCGTCATCTTTGGCGATCCCTCGTAGCCAAGTAAGATTGTCTTCCATGGACACGGTTTTAACAGCGAGTCCGTAAGTGACTGTGGAGGCCAATTCTGGATCCACACATCCTTCCACAGTGGGGACATAGGTTTCCGGGTGGGAGTTGATCCCGGTGAGGGTTTGCCAAGCGTGCCTTCCTCTTGGCACGTTTCTCCCTTGCGTCCTGAGTTCGAGTGTCTTCAAAGCCCACAACACCTTTGGCAAAGGTACTCCAACTGGAGCGCTCGCAGGCCAGTGTTTCCCAGTTGCCGGTGTTTATACTACATTTTTAAAGATTTCCCTTGAGAGAGTCTTTGAACCTCTTTTGTTGACCACCAGCATTACGCTTTCCATTTTTAAGTTCAGAATAGAGCAGTCGCTTTGGAAGACGACAATCAGGCATCCGCACAACATGACCAGTCCAACGAAGTTGATGTCGAAGAATCATCGCTTTGACACGGGTGATCTTTGCTTCTTCCAGTACACTGGCGTTCGTTCGCCTGTCTTCCGAAGCGATGTGTAAAAAATTTGGGATAGGCCAGGGACATGAATGCTTTTATCGGTAGATAAACTCAAACAAGTTTTTAGGTGTCCCAGTGGTCTCTTCCAACTCTAGATATCACACAGTATATTTCCCCTGAGGCTTCTCTGTCTCTCATCTCCCACCTTCCTCATGTAAAACCACATCAGTTCGCATATATCTGCCGCCTTTCGTCATACGGCTATTTCAGTTTAATCTGAAGCAACACTTTGGTTTTTCCTTTGCTGCGTGTGAGGGGTAGGGGAAGGAGACCCAACAAATTCACGGAGATAACTCTGGCTCTGTATTGATGTCTAAACATTGATAGGGAGCCTTCATAGAATCTACGTAAGAATTCGAAGGGACCACAAGAGTCATCTGGGTTACAGCAATGCAGTAATCATCATCTATTACTTACACCCTGCCCATCTGGCTGGGCCTCCCCAGCCACTCTGGGTGGCTTCCAACAGGATATTAAAAACACAATAAAGCATCAAACATTAAAAGCTTCCCTAAACAGGGCTGCCTTCAGATGTCTTCTAAAAGTCAGGTAGTTGTTGTTCTCCTTGACATCTGGTGGGAGGGCGTGACACAGGGCGGGCGCCACCACCGAGAAGGCCCTCTGCCTGGTTCCCTGTAGCTTTGCTTCTTGCAATGAGGGAACCGCCAGAAGGCCCTCGGCGCTGGACCTCAGTGTCCGGGCTGGACGATGGGGGTGGAGACGCTCCTTCAGGGATACTGGGCTGTTTAGGGCTTTCAAGGTCAGCCCCAACACTTTGAATTGTGCTCAGAAACGTCCTGAGAACCAATGGAGGTCTTTCAAAACCAGTGTTACATGGTCCTGGCAGTATCTCCCAGTCACCAGTCCAGCTGCCGCATTCTGGATTAGTTGTAGTTTCCGGGTCACCTTCCAAGGTAACCCCACATAGAGCGCACGGCAGTAGTCCAAGCGGGAGATAACCAGAGCATGCACCCCTCTGGCCAGACAGTCTGTGGGCAGGGAGGGTCTCATCCTGCATACCAGATGGAGCTGCCCTGGACACAGAATTGACCTGCGCCTCCATGGACAGCTGTGAGTCCAAAATGACTCCTAGGCTGCACACCTGGTCCTTCAGGGGCACAGTCACCCCATTCAGGACCAGGGAGTCCTCCACATCTTCCCGCCCCCTGTCCCCCAGAAACAGCACTTCTGTCTTGTCGGGATTCGACCTCAATCCATTTAGCTGCTATCCATCCTCCAAGACAGGGAAGTCTCTCTTTTCATCTGTCAGAGTTGAAAATCCCTGCTCACAACAACACGCCGTGGAGAACCATAGAAGAACAGCCTTGCTGTCATTTTGAAAACATACCTATCCATTACTCTGCAAATAAAATTATATCCTTTGGGGCCTAAACTAGTCCGTACTCCGCTGAAACTGCATACAGTCGCACCTTTGATCCCGAATGCCTTGGTACTCAGACGTTTCGGCTCCTGAACGCCACAAACCCAGAAATGAGTGTTCCGGTTTGCGAACGTTCTTTGGAACTCGAATTTCCGGTTCCGCAGCTTCCGATTGGCTGCGAGATCTTCCTGCAGCCAATCGGAAGCTGCGCTTTGGTTTCCGAACGTTTCGGAAGTCGAACGGACTTCCGGAACAGATTCTGTTTGACTTCCGAGCTCCGACTGTAAATGTTCCTTCTATTGTCTCCTGACGCAGCTTTGGAGAACAATTGCTTTTAAATAGTTCTGCCGCAACCTGCTGCCGTCCGGACCCAATTCATCCGACGGCCTTTTCTCGCACAGGTCTCTGGTTCTTCGCCCCAAGCGCTTCGGGGGGCTGGGTTATCGGGGGCAAGGAAGTTGTGCCCCATTCCCAGCCCTTCATGGCCTCCATCCAGGTGAACGGGGCGCACGTCTGCGGTGGGTTCTTGGTGCGCCGAAAGTGGGTCATGACGGCGGCTCACTGCCTGATGCCCAGGTAAGTTGGAACCAGGGGGGATAAAAAATCAATACTCCTGTTTTTAAAAAATTGAAAAAATCAGATATTATATATATATATATATATATATATATATATATATATATATATATGCTTTCGTAGATTTTCACGGGTACAGGAATGCAGGTTTTGGTGTCCTCGGGTGTCTTCCCGTGTAAAAGTTGGGGTGTCTAGGCGACGTTTCGACGAGGTCTGAAGATGACGAGTGAGACCTCGTCGAAACGTCGCCTAGACACCCCAACTTTTACACGGGAAGACACCCGAGGACACCAAAACCTGCATATATATATATATATATAGTCGTGGACAACTCTGGGGCTGCGGCGCTCATCTCGCTTTACTGGCCGAGGGAGCCGGCGTACAACTTCCGGGTCATGTGGCCAGCAGGACTAAGCCGCTTCTGGCGAACCAGAGCAGCGCACGGAAACGCCGTTTACCTTCCTGCCGGAGGGGGACCTATTTATCTACTTGCACTTTGACGTGCTTTCGAACTGCTAGGTTGGCAGGAGCAGGGACCAGGCGATGGGAGCTCACCCCGTCACGGGGATTCGAACCGCCAACCTTCTGATCGGCAAGTCCTAGGCTCTGCGGTTTAACCCACAGCGCCACCCGCGTCCCACATCTATTCTAAACACAACCAATACCTTACACTGAATCTTTGTCTACATAAATAATCATTTACACATTTCCATTGCTTCAGGGTTATATTTTTTGGTTTTGGTCTGATCAAATCAGTCCGTATCTTCTGCTTTTTAACCACGCTTTCCAAACAAACTCCAGGCGATCGCCGTCTGTACGCATTGTGCTGGGCGCCCACTCCCTCGCGGCCCCCGAGGCCTCGCAGCAGATTTTCGGGGTGCAAGAATCCATCGCTCACCCGCTATACAACTCTGGGACCGTGACGAACGACATCCGCTTGCTCAAAGTGAGTGGGGCGAGGGAAGTTCTGGCTAAATACATTCTGCTCTATAAAGTACCATACTGGGGGGGGGTACATTTTCAACCCTGGGTGCCGCAATCCCTCCTGAGCAATTTTTCGGGGGCCGGATGACAGCGGGGGACAGGGCCACAGGTAAAATTGTGGTGGGTCAAGGGTTGCAGAATCGAACCTTTGCTCAGCAGGCTAGCTGTAGGAATGGATTCAGACCCTGGGGAAATAAATACCGTATTTTTTGCTCTATAAGACTCACTTTTCTCCTCCTAAAAAGTAAGGGGAAATGTGTGTGCGTCTTACGGAGCGAATGCAGGCTGCGCAGCTATCCCAGAAGCCAGAACAGCAAGAGGGATCGCTGCTTTCGCTGCGCAGCGATCCCTCTTGCTGTCCTGGCTCCTGAGATCCAGAATATATTTTTTCTTGTTTTCCTCCTCCAAAAACTAGAGGCTTAACGCCAGCACTAAACATGTCCCCTGATTCACCTTGCAGCTGAACGGCTCGGCCGTCTTCAATCACGCCGTTCAACGTGTCAGGATCCCGCGAGCCAACTCCGACCCCCGCCCGGGAGTCATGTGCCACGTGACGGGCTGGGGGGACACCTCCAATTATGGGACGATCCCCACCATACTGATGGAAGCCAACACAACCATTGTCGACCGGAAAGCATGCAACGTATCGTGGGCTGGCCAAATCCGCCGCTGCATGATCTGCGCCGCGAACACCGACCCCAGTCTCCGCGGATTCTGCTCGGTGAGTGCTATTTTTTTGGGGGGGTGTGCCCAAATCAGAATTTTCTGAACCAGAAAACCCGGCGCCTTCTTGAATTCCGAACGCCAGGTTTCTATTTATTTCGTTTCTGCAAAAGATTTCTTTTTATAATCTATATATAAAACGGAGAGAGAGAGCGCAACTGCTAACGACAGCTCAAAATAAAAATATGAAAAGTGAAACCATATACAGTGGTACCTTGGTTCTCAAACTTAATCCGTTCCGGAAGTTTGTTCCAAAACCAAAGCGTTCCAAAACCAAGGCACACTGCTTTCCCCTAGAAAGTAAGCCAAAACGGATTAATCCATTCCAGACTTTTAAAAACAACCCCTAAAATAGCAATTTAACATGGATTTTACGTTCTAATGAGACCATTGATCCATGAAATGAAAGCAATAATTATGACAAAAATTCAAATTATTATTATTATTTTTTACCTGCACTGATGATGGTCGCTGTTTGGATGGGGGGCTTTTATCCATTTCTGCAGTCACACAAACAATCAGTCAGTAGCTGAACTGGGTTCCAAAAAACAGTCACAAAAGCAAATTAACCGAAAATGCCTCAGAAACAAAAACGCAAAATAACAGCAAAAACAAAAGCGCCAAACTTAATCCGTTCCGGAAGTCCGTTTGACTTCTGAAGTGTTCGAAAACCAAGGCGCAGGCTGGTAAACAGTGTTTCTGTGCGCTCTGGTGTCTCGTTGCGCCAGAACAAACTTAGGAAGGCCCCAGTCCTGTGAAGCCCTACTAGTCACATGGCCTAGCTCCTGCACGCACACCTGGCGGTGGCGCTATGGTCTAAACCACTGAGCCTCTTGGGCTTGCTGATCGGAAGGTCGGCGGTTCGAATCCCTTGATGGAGTGAACTCCCGTTGCTCCATCCCAGCTCCTGCCAACCTAGCAGTTTGAAAGCACACCAGCGCAAGTAGATAAATAGGTACCACTGCGGTAGGAAGGTAAACGGCGTTTCCGTGCTCTCTGGCTTCCGCCACGGTGTCCCGTTGCACCAGAAGCTGTTTAGTCCTGCTGGCCACATGACTCAGAAAGCTGACTGCGGACAAACGCCGGCTCCCTCAGCCTGAAAGCAAGATGAGCGCCGCAACCCCAAAGTCGCCTTTGACTGGACTTAACCGTCCAGGGGTCCTTTACATTTACCTTCAGAGTGGGTACCGGTGGCACTGACCTTTGTCTCCCTCGCATGCCAGGGCGACTCAGGCGGACCCCTGCTTTGCGGTTCCAGAGTCCACGGGATCGTCTCTTTCAACGGACGCCGTTGCGGAGATCGCCGGTTCCCGGACGTCTACACTCGCATCTCCAAATACATCGCCTGGATCCGTTACGTACTACAGACGTTTTGAATTGGAGCAAGTTGTGCATGTGTGTGTGTCTTTGGCGAAGGCCGTGTTGGGGAGAATTTTCTGTCCTCCCCTCAGGAAGGAAGCGATGGAGTTGGAATCACAATAGCTTTTTAAAAAAATTAAAAATAAACTCTCCATTTTATGAAAGCAGGAACTGTCGTCCCCATTAGACTCCACGGTGAGTGTGTGTGTGTGAAAGAGAGAATGGTTATTCTTGTGTGGTTTTGTGGAATAATTTTCTGCTGAACAGAGCCTTTTTGACACCCTCACGAGTCGGTGTGCTCTCCTTCCTTGGAGATATTTCATGTTGTTGTTGAGTCATTTAGTTGTGTCCGACTTTTTGTGACCCCCTGGACCAGAGCACGCCAGGCACGCCTGTCTTCCACTGCCTCCCGCAGTTGGGTCAAACTCATGCTGGTCGCTTCGAGAACACTGTCCAACCATCTCGCTTTACTGGCCGAGGGAGCCGGCGTACAGCTTCTGGGTCATGTGGCCAGCATGACTAAGCCGCTTCTGGCGAACCAGAGCAGCACACGGAAATGCCATTTACCTTCCTGCCAGAGCGGTACCTATTTATCTACTTGCACTTTGACGTGCTTTCGAACTGCTAGGTGGGCAGGAGCAGGGATTGAGCAGCTCACCCCGTCATTGCGGGTATTCAAACCGCCTTCTGATCGGCAAGTCCTAGGCTCTGTGGTTTAATGTCAGGGATGTGTATACCTGTGAAGAGATCCAAGATTTAGAACCTCAAAGCCAAAGTGAGAGCATTTGGGTCAAAATTAAGGGAGAGAAGAATAACAGTGACCTCATTGTGGGAGTTTATTATAGATCCCCAAGCCAAACAGAGGACATAGATGATGCCTTCCTGGAACAGATGGCCAAGCATGCAAAAGGAAGGGAGATAGTAGTAATGGGGGACTTCAATTACCCGGATATTTGTTGGATGTCAAACTCAGCCAAGAGCATAAGGTCAAACAGATTCCTCACTGCCCTTGCAGACAACTTCATTGTCCAGAAAGTGGGAGAAGCAACAAGAGGAACAGCCATTTTAGATCTGGTCCTAACCAATGTTGATGACCTGGTTAGTGGGGTAGAAGTGGAAGGATCATTAGGCGCGAGTGATCATGCTCTTCTGAAGTTTACTATACAGCGGAAAGGAGCAGCCAAGCATACTAGGACTCAATTTCTCGACTTTAAGAAAGCCGACTTCATAAAGCTTAGGGAAGTGCTGGGTGAGATCCCATGGACAGTAATACTAAAATGAAAGGGAGTTCAAGATGGCTGGGAGTTTGTTAAGAGGGAGATAGTAAAAGCACAACTTCAGGCAATACCAATGAGACGGAAACATGGAAGGTGCCTAAAGAAGCCAGGGTGGCTATCTAAAGAACTTTTAACTGAGTTAAGATTAAAAAAGGATGTGTACAAAAAATGGAAAAGGGGGGAAACCACCAAAGAGGAATTCAAACAAATAGCCAGCACGTGTAGACACAAAGTCAGAAAAGCTAAAGCACAAAATGAACTCAGGCTTGCTAGAGAGGTTAAAAGCAACAAAAAAGGCTTTTATGGGTATGTTCGTAGCAAAAGGAAGAACAAAGAAACCGTGGGGTCACTCAGAGGAGAAGATGGTGAAATGCAAACAGGGGACACAGAAAGGGCTGAACTCCTCAATGCCTTCTTTGCCTCAGTCTTCTCCGATAAAGAAAACAATGCCCGACCTGAAGAATTTGGAGCAAATGGTTCAGCAGAGGAAACACAACCCAGAATAACTAAGGAGATAGTACAAGAATACTTGGCTAGTCTAGATGTATTCAAGTCTCCAGGGCCAGATGAACTGCATCCAAGAGTATTAAAAGAACTGGCAGATGTGATTTCAGAACCACTGGCAGTCATCTTTGAGAATTCCTGGAGAACAGGCGAAGTCCCGGCAGACTGGAGGAGGGCAAATGTTGTCCCTATTTTCAAAAAGGGGAAAAGAGAGGACCCAAATAATTACCGCCCAGTCAGTCTGACATCAATACCAGGGAAGATTCTGGAGCAGATCATTAAGCAAACAGTCTGTGAGCACCTAGAAAGGAATGCTGTGATCACCAATAGTCAGCATGGATTTCTGAAAAATAAGTCATGTCAGACTAACCTGATCTCGTTTTTTGACAGAATTACAAGCCTGGTAGATGAAGGGAACGCAGTGGATGTAGTCTACCTTGATTTCAGCAAGGCATTTGACAAGGTGCCCCATGATATTCTTGTAAAGAAGCTGGTAAAATGCGGTCTTGACTATGCTACCACTCAGTGGATTTGTAACTGGCTGACTGACCGAACCCAAAGGGTGCTCATCAATGGTTCCTCCTCATCCTGGAGAAGAGTGACTAGTGGGGTGCCACAGGGTTCTGTCTTGGGCCCGGTCTTATTCAACATCTTTATCAACGACTTGGATGATGGACTCAAGGGCATCCTGATCAAATTTGCAGATGACACCAAACTGGGAGGGGTGGCTAACACCCCAGAGGACAGGATCACACTTCAAAACGACCTTGACAGATTAGAGAACTGGGCCAAAACAAACAAGATGAATTTTAACAGGGAGAAATGTAAAGTATTGCACTTGGGCAAAAAAAATGAGAGGCACAAATACAAGATGGGTGACACCTGGCTTGAGAGCAGTACATGTGAAAAGGATCTAGGAGTCTTGGTTGACCACAAACTTGACATGAGCCAACAGTGTGACGCGGCAGCTAAAAAAGCCAATGCAATTCTGGGCCTCATCAATAGGAGTATAGCATCTAGATCAAGGGAAGTAATAGTGCCACTGTATTCTGCTCTGGTCAGACCTCACCTGGAGTACTGTGTCCAGTTCTGGGCACCACAGTTCAAGAAGGACACTGACAAACTGGAACGTGTCCAGAGGAGGGCAACCAAAATGGTCAAAGGCCTGGAAATGATGCCTTATGAGGAACGGCTAAGGGAGCTGGGCATGTTTAGCCTGGAGAAGAGGAGGTTAAGGGGTGATATGATAGCCATGTTCAAATATATAAAAGGATGTCACATAGAGGAGGGAGAAAGGCTGTTTTCTGCTGCTCCAGAGAAGCGGACACGGAGCAATGGATCCAAACTACAAGAAAGAAGATTCCACCTAAACATTAGGAAGAACTTCCTGACAGTAAGAGCTGTTCGACAGTGGAATTTGCTGCCAAGGAGTGTGGTGGAGTCTCCTTCTTTGGAGGTCTTTAAGCAGAGGCTTGACAACCATATGTCAGGAGTGCTCTGATGGTGTTTCCTGCTTGGCAGGGGGTTAGACTCGATGGCCCTTGTGGTCTCTTCCAACTCTATGATTCTATGATTCTATGATTCTATGAACCCGCAGCGCTACCCATGTCCTGGACTCATACTAAAGGTAAAGGTACCCCTGCCTGTACAGGCCAGTCGTGTCCGACTCTTGGGTTGTGCGCCCATCTCACTTAAGAGGCCGGGGGCCAGCGCTGTCCGGAGACACTTCCGGGTCACGTGGCCAGCGTGACAAAGCTGCATTTGGCGAGCCAGCGCAGCACATGGAAACGCCGTTTACCTTCCCGCCAGTAAGCAGTCCCTATTTATCTACTTGCACCCGGGGGTGCTTTCGAACTGCTAGGTTGGCAGGCGCTGGGACCGAGCAACGGGAGCGCACCCCGCCACGGGGATTCGAACCGCCGACCTTTCGATCGGCACGCCCTAGGTGCTGAGGCTTTTACCCACAGCGCCACCCGCGTCCCACGGACACATACTAGGTATCACCTAAACATCGACATCGCTCACCTTGAGCCAACCTTGCCTACCTCGAAAGGGTTGTCATAAAGGGAAAATGTGCGAGGGAAGGAATTGCGTCCAACACCTTCGACAGTGAAAGAAAAACAAAGGAAAGGAAATAAAACCATAGCTGCAAACTGCCTCGAGTCCATTCTGCTGCCGAATGCCACCAGAAAGTTCTTTCCGATGTTTTGAGTCGGAACTTGAAGCCACGGGTTCGAGTCCTGCCCTCCGGAGCAAGAGAAAACAAGCTTGCTCCAGCTTCCATGTGACAGCCCTTGAGATATTTGAAGATGGCTATCTTATCTCCTCACAGTCTCCTCTTTTCCAGGCTAAACGTACCCAGCTCCTTCAAGCTTTCCTCATCAGGCTTGGTTTCCAGACCCTTGATCATCTTGGATCTCCTTCCAGCTTGTCAATATTCTCCTTAAATTGTGGTGCCCAGAATTGGACACATTATTCCAAGTGTGGTCTGACCAAGGCAGAATAAATTGGGACTATGACTTGATCTGGACACTAGACTTCTGTGGATGCAGCCTAGAATAGCATTCGCTTTTTTTGCTGCTCACGTCAAGTTTGTGGTCCACCAAGACCCCTAGATTCTTTTCACATGTCCTGCTAGCAAGCCAGGTGTCCCCCATCTTATATTTGTGCATCTGGTTATTCCTGCCTAAGTGAAAAACCTGACATTTGCCCCTGTCGAAATTCGTTTTGCCAGCTTGGGCCCAGCTCTCCAATCCGGGAAGGTCGTTTTGAAGGAAAACATTCGCACAAACTCTCCTGCTAGCGTGAATAACGTTGGAGGGGAAATGTTGGGCGGAATCACAAGTGGAAATGGGTACAAATTTCTGTGTGGACGTCCCCCCTTCCCCAAATCACAAACGGATGGTCCAGCTCCGAGGGCCTTCTGGTGGTTCCCTCCCTGCGAGAAGTGAGGTTACAGGGAACCAGGCAGAGGGCCTTCTCGGTGGTGGCGCCCTCCCTTTAGATGTCAAGGAAATAAACAACTACCTCGCTTTTAGAAGAGACCTGAAGGCAGCCCTGTTTAGGGAAGTTTTTAATATTTGATTAATTATTGTATTTTAATCTGTTGGAAGCCGCCCAGGGTGGCTGGGAAACTCAGCCACATGGGTGGGGTATAAATATTATTATTATTATTATTACTGATGGGGGAAAGGGGAGAGCAGAGGGGGGGAATTAGAAATGGAGAGGGGGAAATTAAATTTACAGGTCCATCGCTTGTGAGCCCCAGACTTAATCCAATGTACCGCCTTGAGCGTCTTTGTTTATCCCCGAGCTGAGAGAAAGCCACCACTCGACGCACCCGGCGACGGCGAAACTGCGTCATTTTTTGGAAAAGGAAAAACCTACGCAAACCCTCTTGGAATGCGACGCTCTGCTTTTCTCCTTTTATAGCCTGCAACATTCTGCCTGTTTTCTCCTCTCTCTCTCTTGGTCTGGGCTTTCAATCTCTTGATGCTAGGACTTTAGGGGATTTGGGGGGACGGCAAATCTCCTAAGGATGAACGGAAAGCCTGCCTGGATCACAAAAGTCTAGTCCGGCTGGCTGGCCTGTCTGCCAGATGGCCTTGTGGGAAGCTCTCGAAACGACCCGCTCCCTTCTGTCGCCTCTCAGTGTACCTTCCTGTGTTTTCAAGGTAGACTGCCCCTGAGGCCTGGAGGCTCCATTTGGCGCAGATTTACCGCTTGGCTTCCAATATGCCTGGAAGGACAAAGGGCTTTGAGAGCTATCAGGAGATCTAGGTCATAGACAAGAGCCCTGAAGGTGTTGGCAGGAGGCCACCCAAATTGGCAGGCATCCTAAACGGCCTCGGTCCAGGATACCTGAAGGAGCGTCTCCACCCCCATCATTCTACCTGGACACTGAGGTCCATCTCCCGAGGGCCTTCTGGCGGTTCCCTCCCTGCGAGAAGCCAAGTTACAGGGAACCAGGCAGAGGGCCTTCTCGGTGGTGGCGCCCGCCCTGTGGAACGCCCTCCCACCAGATGTCAAAGAGAAAAATAACTACCAGACTTTTAGAAGACATCTGAAGGCAGCCCTGTTTAGGGAAGCTGTTAATGTTTGATGTATTACAGTATTTTAATATTTCTTTGGAAGCCGCCCAGAGTGGCTGGGGAAGCCCAGCCAGATGGGCGGGGTATAAATAAATTATTATTATTATTATTATTATTATTATTATTATTATCCCTCTGTCTCCTGTGGGAGGGAGTTCTCCAGTTCCTCCCTCCATTACCGGATCCTGTCTCAAATTTCGCAGCACGTTTCTTTGTGTACCTGCACAAACTGATCCGCTAAGGTAGAGTTACCAGACGTCCCCAGTTCCCGGGGTCAGCCCCCGGATTTGCAAATCTGTCCCCGGACACATTCTGTCCCCGGAATGTCCCCACATTTGCAAATCTGTCCCCGGGAAACATGACAGTGGCAACCTCAGCCAGCCTGGTAGCGCCGTTGGCTCTGCCTGGCTTCAGGAGCTGCTCGCTGCCACCGCCATGGGGGAACCGGGGACATGTGGCGGTACAGATCTCCTTTCACCTTTGTTTTGACTGATCAGGGAGGCTCAGGAGTCGCGGGCAGGCGGCCGTTGCCCAGGAAGGGCGCAAGGCGTGCGGTTTCTCTGCCAGGCAAGGTGCAAAGCCCGTCTTTCGCACCCTGTGAAACATAAATGCGCAGAGTTTTTTAAAAAAACTGGGAAACCCTGCGACTCCCAAGTACTGTCCCCTGATCAGTCAAAACAAAGGGGGGAGGAGATTGGGGGAGGCTCAGGAGTCACGGGGAGGTGGGCGCCGTTGCCCAGTTTTTAAAAAATATTTATGTTTCACTGGGTGCGAAAGAAGGGCTTTGCGCCTTTATACAATATGCATGTGTGCTTGGGCCCAGGGTCTTTTGCCTCGCCATCCCCACTACTGACTCCCTGTTGTTGTTGCTGTTGTTGTTGTTTAGTCGTTTCGTCATGTCCGCCTCTTCGTGACCCCCTGGACCAGAGCACGCCAGGCCCTCCTGTCTTCCACTACCTCCCGCAGTTTGGTCAAACTCATGCTGGTAACCTTGAAAACACTATCCAACCATCTCGTCCTCTGTCGTCCCCTTCTCCTTGCGCCCTCCATCTGTCCCAACATCAGGGTCTTTTCCAGGGAGTCTTCTCTTCTCATGAGGTGGCCAAAGTCTTGGAGCCTCAGCTTCAGGATCTGTCCTTCCAGTGAGCACTCAGGGCTGATTTCCTTCCGAATGGAGAGGTTTGATCTTGCAGTCCATGGGACTCTGAAGAGTCTCCTCCAGCACCAGAATTCAAAAGCATCCATTCTTCGGCGATCAGCCTTCGTGATGGTCCAGCTCTCACTTCCATACATCACTACTGGGAAAACCATGGCTTGAACTATACGGACCTTTGTTGGCAAGGTGATGTCTTGGAGCCTCAGCTTCAAAAAAACAAAACACCATACGCTAAGGGACTCTTACTCTTCCCGCAGAGTCGGCACCCAGTCTGCTCCCTTGAAAGGTTCGTCAAAATCGGGAGGGAATGGGCCTTCTTTTCAAAGGGGAGGGAAACTGGGTCAGGAGGGATTTCGGTCCAATTTAGCCATAGCAGAAATTTAATCGGCTGCGGTTTTTCTCTCTGCTGCTGCTGCTGCTGTGTGTGTTTGGTAGGGTGTGGAATTTTGCATTTCACTGGAAACTCCCGCCTGCAGGCAGACATAACAAAACCGCCCTCCCAGAGTTTGGTCTGAACTCGAGGATTTGATGAGACACACACTCACGCGGCAAAGGCAAGCTATCGTTTATTGCATCTGCAAATCCCCTCCCTCCGTCTCCAAAAGGCTTGGCTGCTCTCGAAACATCTGGCACCGAAGCTTTCTTGGGAAACCGGGATATGGAAATGACCTAATACAAAGAGGGTTATGAAGAATGCACCCGTTGGCCTTGGTTTTGCGGATTCTTGCGCTCGGATCCTGCCCTCAGGTTTCTCATAAGGGGCACCCTGAGATGAAGATGCTAGACGAGTGGGAATGCTTAGGCCTGATCCAGCAAGCCGGGGTTTCTCCCCTTGCTCTTACGGAACCTCCAGGTACAGTCTATCCGCACTCCAAGGTTCTTAGGGGTATTTGGCCAGGGTGCTGGGCTCCCTTTGGCCTGATCCAGTTCTGCAACGGAACAAAAAGCAACTGCACAACATGTTGCCAAAACAACAACAACTTCGACAACCATACAGCCCACGCGAAGTTTGCAAGTTTGGTCAACTGCTGTAAAGCAGCCTGAAATTTGCACAACCGCTAAAAAGCACAAAGGCAAATCAGTAAAAGAGCGCTTGTGTGATGTATGGCGGTGGGCCTGTGAGAGACCAGAGTTTGAATCCCCACTCAGTGGCTGTGAAGCTCACTGGGTGCAGCTTTGGGGGCCCAGTCGCTACCTCTCGGTCTGACCCGCCTCACAGGGTTGTGGGATTAAATGCAAGACATCTGGAGCTCCTTGAGAGGGGGAGAAGGTGGAATATAAATGCAATCAGTCGACCTGATGGAAAGGCAAGTTCACAAATGAGCAAGGTTTGAAATGCGTGAATAGGTTTGCAAGGCAGAAATGTCTTCACTTTAATGCTGGCACAGAGCAGGGACCAATCGAATCCTCCTTTGGGGAGTTTCCAAATTGGGACGGGGCCATCGCTGAAAAGTCCCTGTTCTCACGCCAGCCAGTGCCAGCCACATCTATCTCTCTCTTGGTGGCAGAATGGGAAGCAGGGCATAGGAAGATACCTGCTAAACATGGCACAGGACGGGCAGGCAGGTCTCTGCGGAAAGATAGGGTAGGACTCGAACCCATGGCTTCAAGTTGCAGGAAAGGCGCTGCCGACTAAACAGCAGGAAGAACTTGCTGACAGGAAGAGCTGTTCGGCAGTGGAACGGACTCCTATGAGGGTCCCTTCCAATTCTACAATTCTATGCTTCTATTGTCTGGATCTGAGTCTAGACGAATATGCTGGTGCCGCAGCCCCATTGCAGTGAACTCTGACCCATCCGATTTTGGTCCCCACTCCCCCCCCCCTTTAGTTGACTTCTAAGCATGCAAATGAATGCGGGTGGCGCTGTGGGTTAAACCACAGAGCCTAGGACTTGCCGATCAGAAGGTCGGCGGTTCGAATCCCCGCAATGACGGGGTGAGCTCCCGTTGCTCGGTCCCTGCTCCTGCCAACCTAGCAGTTCGAAAGCACGTCAAAGTGCAAGTAGATCAATAGGTACCACTCCAGCGGGAAGGCAAATGGCATTTCCGTGCGCTGCTCTGGTTCACCAGAAGCGGCTTAGTCCTGCTGGCCACATGACCCGGAAGCTGTACGCCGGCTCCCTCGAGTAAAGCGAGATGAGCGCCGCAACCCCAGAGTCGGCCAAGACTGGACCTAATGGTCAGGGGTCCCTTTAAGCATGCAAATAGACCAAGGGAAGGCTGGATATTTGTGTCAAGGCCAAATCAGGGACCAAAGCCACCCTATCCTAAGGGGCAAAGTACATTTGGGGAAGGGGTCGGTTTGCAAATTATCCAATGCCACAGATTCCCTAAACCAGGGGTGCCCAAACCAGGAACATGCATGAGGGCTGACCAAACTTGTTGGGTTTTTTTAGGCTTTTACCCCAAAGTTGCTGAGCTTTTTTAAAGGATTTTACCCCAAGACATATACGACCACAGGGGCCAAAATAAATTGACCAACGGCCCCGCGAAACGGACTTTGGACACAGCTGCCCTAAACGGAGCCTGCGCTTACACCGTTCCATTTAAAGCACAAAGCAGACTGCGGTGGTTTGCCCCATGTATGGAACTATAACTCCCAGCACCACGAAACTACAGTTCCCAGAGTCTGGGGGGGGGGCTTGGTTGGTGGAAGGCGCTTTGGAACTATGCCTCCCACTCCGTCCAGGCTTCCGGATTGCAAAACCACGACGAGTCGCCACGCTGGAGAGGTTTCAAAAACAGTTGCGAGGCGGCGGTTTTTTGGTGCGTTCCCAAAACCCCAGACATGAGACGTTTGGAAAGGGAGAGGGAAACAGAAAAAGAGAGAGAGGGGATTCTCTGCGGCGCGCGGAGGACGACGAGTTTGGAGAAGCATTTCCAGGAAGGAAAATTTTGGGAATGAGGAGGATGCTAATCTTCCCAATCCAGAAGTTTAGGAGGGAGAGAGGGAAGAGGAGCGCCGCGCGTCGCCAGCTGCGCCGCCTCTCTCTCCCATCGCGCGCAACTGGAGCGCACAGGCGTGCGCCACGACCCGGGAGGGCGCGTTATTGATGCTTCTCTTAACGATCCGGATTTGGCCGCATTCAGGCTGGCCTGGGGCGCAATACACTCCCCAGACACGTTACTGGCTGCCCTCGACACCGCCTCCCGTGGAGCTATGATTCAGACTGTTACAGACACCCTCACACACTTCACAGAGAGAGAGAGAGAGACGCGGGGAGAGGAGACGGGGGTGCTCTTAAAACGGGGAGAAACGAGGCGGTGCCAAAGAGGACCCCGGATTATTCCCAAGCTAGGTGCCTGCCCTCTGCTGAGACTTCGCTCCTGCTTCGGAGAGACAAGAATCTGAACTTTCCTGGACGCTTCCAAATTTTCTTTTCCCCTGTGGATTTCTCTCCCTCGCGCCTCGCCATGAAATTCTGCCTTCTGCTCCTGAGCGCGCTCTGCGCTGCCGGCGGGGGCTCCCTCTCAGGTAAGCGCATTTTGGGGGAACGGGGTGCCGGGCTTTAAGCAACACCCCCCACCTCCTTTTCCTTCCAGGTTTTAGGAGCTCAAGGAAACCCCGAGGTGGAGAGGTTTCCCAGGGCCCCCGGGTGACAAGGGAACGCGAGTGTTCCCCAAGACCCAGACGCTTAGAACGTCGGATCGGATGGGAAAGGGGCGTCTAAGCATGTGCAGAGTGCGGGACTCAAGGAGGATCGCTGGACTAGTTTAAAAACTTTCGGGAGTCAGTCCCAACCCAGTTCTGACTCCCTAGAATGGATGTGGGTGGGCCAAAATTATTATTATTATTAGTAGTAGTAGTAGTATTCTGCGCTATTACATTATTATTATTATTATTATTATTATTATTATTATTATTATTATTATTAATTTATACCCCGCCCATCTGGGAGGCTTCCAACAAAATATTAAAATACAGTAATGCATCAAACATTAAAAGCTTCCCTAAAATTACAATATCAAAAACACACAAAATTAATCAATAACCAGCCCAAGCTTTAGGGGATTGCAGAAGGCGGCTGTGATGATTTTTAAGGTGATAAGTCAAGGGATATGTTTTTAGTTGGGTGTTTAGTTTAGTTTAGTTTAGTTTAGTTTTTAGTTTAGTTAGGGTGGGGGGAGTTAAACTTATTTTAGTTCTGGCATGGTTACTCTTAACAGGGTTTGAAAAGGAGAGGATAAAATATGCCTCCATCCATTTAAAATTGTTTTAAAAGCAAGAGGGGGTTAGGAATTAAAGGGTGGTTTTTAATGATGCCCCCCCTCCCGAGTTCTTGATTGTAAAAAAAATTATCAATAAATTATCAATAAGAAAAATAAACGACAGTGATTTAAGACTTTCGAAAAGCTGAAATAGACTAAAAACCGAATGAAACTTGCAGTGACTTTCTAAACATCTGGGGCAGCTCGTCTAAACAGAAAATGTGTTCAGCGGGTGGCAGAAAGAGTATGGCGAATGCGCCTGCCCGATCTCAAGTGGCAGGGAGTTCCGAAGGTTTTATCTAAAGTGATACAGCTAGGAAGTTTGGAAAAGGAGCAATAGAAAGAGATTAGGAGCCTCCTGTATTTTTGCTGTTGCCCTGATCAAATAAATTAATTAAATGAAGGAGCCTAAAGTCCTGGGAGGATGTAGACCTGGATTTTAGGGTTGCCGGCGATGGACCGGAGGGTTCTGAGCAGTTGAATCTGTGCGCTGATTTCCCCGTTTGCAAATTATGGGATGTTTTAAGCGGAAACATGCCTCCCTTCGGTGTTTGGGGAGGGGGGACCCTCGCATGGCGAGACTGGAATCCGAGCTCCTGAACCAGGTGGAGACGCTTCCTTTGAAGTGGGAAACTTAATCTTTCAGCAGGGCTTACCTGCGGTCGAGACTCTTCTTCTGGTGAAATTGCACAAGACGTCTCTCTTTGATGGGAAGTGGGGGCCAAGTCAGACAGGCAGGCAGACAGACATGCAGGCCAAATACCTAATTTTATTTTATTCCCTCCACCCCCAGCAAAACGTCTAGAGTTTCAAGCTCTCTTTGGGGTTGAGAGTTTCCTGCGGCCAAGAGAGGGCTTCCTATCCTTACTATAATAATAATAATAATAATAATAATAATAATAATAATAATAATAATAATAATTTATACCCCGCCCATCTGGCTGGGTTTCCCCAGCAACTCTGGGCGGCTTCCAATAAAACACTAAAATACAATACAGTGGTGCCTCGCAAGACGAAATTAATTCGTTCCACAAGTCTCTTCGTCTTGCGGTTTTTTCGTCTTGCGATGCACGGTTTCCCATAGGAATGCATTGAAAATCAATTAATGCGTTCCTAGGGAAACCGCCTTCAGACCAGGTCCGGGGACAGTCTGTCCCCCGACCTCTTCTGAAGGCTGGGGGGGGGGGACAAGGGCTTTTCTTCCCACCCCCAGCATTTAAAAAAACCCCGGGACAGCGGAGGGCTTCTCCGCTGTCCGGGCGATCTTAAAATGCTGGCGGGCGGCATTTTAAAATCGCCCCGGGACAGCGGAGGACTTCTCCGCTGTCCGGGGCGATTTAAAAGCCCCTGGGAAGGCAGGCAGGGGGGACAAAGACTTTTGCCCCCCGCCAGCCTTCAGAAGAGGTCCTGGACCTCTTCTGAAGGCGGGCGGGGGGCGAAAGTCTTTGCTCCCCCCCCGCCTGCCTTCAAAAGCCCTCCGGGACAGGCAGGCAGGGGGGAGCAAAGACTTTCGCCCCCCGCCTGCCTTCAGAAGGTGTTCCCTCCCCCCCGCCCGGCTTCGGAGCACCGGGAGAAGCGATCTCCCCGCAGCCCCTTGCTTCAAAAGAGGTCCGGGGGCAGCGGGGAAGAAGCGCTGCGCTTCGTGCTGCCCCCGGACCTCTTTTGAAGCAAGGGGCGGCGGGGAGATCGCTTCTCCCCGCAAACCCTTGCTTCAAAAGAGGTCCGGGGGCAGCGGGAAGCGCTTCCCGCTGTCCCCGGACCTGGGGCTGCGGGGAGAAGATCGCTTCTCCCCGCCGCCCCTTGCTTCAAAAGAGAAGACCCGCTGTCCCCGGGGCAAGCTTCGTTTTGCGAAGCAAGCCCATAGGGAAATTCGTCTTGCGAGGCAACTCGAAAACGAAAAAACCTTTCGTTTTGCGAGTTTTTCGTCTCGCGAGGCGTTCGTCTAGCGGGGTACCACTGTAACCTATTAAACATTAAAAGCTTCCCTAAACAGGGCTGCTTTCATATGTCTTCTAAAAGTTTGGTAGTTCTTTTTCTCTTTGACATCTGGTGGGAGGGTGTTCCACAGGGCGGGCGCCACCACCGAGAAGGCCCTCTGTAATTCGGTTGAATTGCTAGCACATTCTGCTCCTGCCGCTTTCGTGAATTAAAGGCATTTAGAACTGGGGAAACAGAAGTCCCCAGTGCGGATGATGCGGGTCAAATCCTATCGCAGAATCGTAGAATCGAAAGGGTTGGATCCTTGCAATGCAGGAATTTTTTTTCCAGCCCTGTGTGGGACTCGAACCCGCAACCTTGAGATTAAGAGTGTCAGGCTCTGCCCACTGAGCTACCCATGTTGGAGGGGGAAGGCAGGGGTTTAGGCGCAGGCAGGCGATCGCGGTTATACAGCCGCCCAAATACTGGGTGCTCTGCAAAGCCACCAGCTATCTTAACATGCCCAGAGGCCTTGTGCCCTTACACACCTAAGAAACCCCTCTCCGTGGTGGATGGCAACCCAGTCAGATGGGCAGGGTAATAATAATAATATCTGCAAAAAAAACCTTCCACCACCACCTCCTGAGGGCGTCCATTTCACCATCAAACAGCTCTTGCTCTCAGAAAGCAATGTTGACGTTGAGTCAGAAGCTCCCTCCTCGTAACTTGGAGCCACGAGTTCGAGTCCTACCCTCCAGAGAAGGAAACAGGCTTGCTGCCTTTTTCCACGGCACAGCCCTGCAGTTGCTTGAGATTTAAAGGAGTCATAAAACAACAGAATTGTAGAGGTGGAATGTGCCCCAGGGGCCATCTAGCTAGCCCAACCCTGTCTGTAATTCCGGGAGTGTCCCGGGAAAACCGGGACACTTGGAAGAGGGCGCGTCGTTGCAGAGGGTTGGGCTGGATGACCTTTGGGTGTAAACACCCCAAATCTTTGATTCTGTGAATCTGCCGAGACCCTGGCAGGTTGGCAGACCCAGCCAGGGGTGTTCTGCCATCTGCAGAACCATGAGGACTGGCGGCTTCAAAATTAAACAGCTCTCCAATTAAAAAGGCTCTGGAAGGTGTCCTCGCTGCTGATTGTTATAGGAATTCTAAGGTCTTATATATATATAAAATAAACGTTCATAAATGTACAAGGCAAACACATACATAAGTATACAAACCATGTGTCTGCGATAGTCCAGGAGAGCAACCCTGAAGCCCAAATTGACCTCAAATATTTCTCTGCAAGGAGGAAGGAAATGGGGAAAGCTTTTCAATTTTCTTTGGACTATAGGGGCTCACACCTCCCTTTGCAAATACAGCCTGGCAAGTATCTGTTAAGCTGAGCAAAGTTATCAATATGCCTAAGAAATTCAGGAACTAAGTGTTATCTCCAAGGAATGGCCAGGCTACCCAGAAAAGGCAATTGATAAGGTATGATCAGTTTTCCTGGCAGACAGGAGAGAAGCAACACACTCCCATTTCTGCTGGGGACCACCTCTTTCTGTGGTGTATGCGTGAGGTTTTGGGGGGTGGTCTTGAGCTACAGGGGAGGCAATTTCAGAAGTCTCTATAAGAGCTTGCACACCAATGTTGGGGGTTCCTCTCCTCCCTCCCTGCAACAGATTAAAAAAGATCAGGCTTACTAGCCGCTTTGCTTCTCAATATTTTCTGCTTGGCCTCTGTTATTTTCTCCTACTGATAGGGAACCTACGTAAGGACTCTATATGGGCTCTTGGATACCCCGTAAGGGAAAAAGAAGCAGTTTTTTCTTATAACATTGGCCTCTGTTATGTTCTCCTACCGATAGGTAAAGGTAAAGGGACCCCTGACCATTAGGTCCAGTCGTCACTGACTCTGGGGTTGCGGTGCTCATCTCGCTTTACTGGCCGAGGGAGCCGGCGTTCAGCTTCCGGGTCATGTGGCCAGCAGGACTAAGCCGCTTCTGGCGAACCAGAGCAGCGCATGGAAACGCCGTTTACCTTCCCACTGGAGCAGTACCTATTTATCTACTTGCACTTTGATGTGCTTTCGAACTGCTAGGTTGGCAGGGGCAGGGACTGAGCAACGGGAGCTCACCCCGTCATTGCGGGGATTCGAACCACCGACCTTCTGATCGGCAAGTCCTAGGCTCTGTGGTTTAACCCACAGCACCACCCGTGTCCTTCTCCTACCGACAGAGAACTGTTAACAGAGAAATCTGAGGGCTCCCTTAGACAAAAAACAAGGACACCAGCCAGGAATACCAGAGAATACCAGGAATACCAGAGCAAAACAGCAGCCAGGAGGCTTGGTCTTTATTGAAGACTGTCGTGACAGGACTCCCACCTGCCACCAGGTGGAAGAAGATGGAAGCCCCAAACAAAAGAGAGCCCCAACTTTTATTAGCTGCTAATCCCCATGTTACAGCCCCCCCAAACTATATCACTCATACATCACGGTTACATCATGAAAGGGGAGGTCTGGTGGCCGTAATCTGAGCATCCTGGACCCTGCCCCATGGTTCCCCTTGGCCTCCACCAAACACCCATCAAGTGGAACAAAAAGATCTTTACATTTCCCTGTTTCCCAGCCAAGTTCATCACACCCTTTTGTCTTCATCTGGGTTTGTTATTTCTGGCATGGCTACCTGTCTGGCACTCAGGTATCAGGAGGCCAGGGATCATCACTCAGGCAGAGGGGCTGCTGAGGAGCTGAGCTCACCTGCCTATAGCAATTTCTGAAGTTTTCCCAGTGAGCCAGTACAGAGATCATTAATCAGTGAATTCTTACATTTGGTATCGTGCAGCAGAGGCCCTTGGAATAGATAGGAAGAAACTGCGATGAAGTGTTTTGTGGGGACAAAGCACAAAAGTCACAAAAGCGATTGTGCTGGTTTTGGTAGTGGGCTGCATGTGCGTGATATCTGCTGGAGGGGCAACCCCCCCAAAAAAACCCTATACATAAATTCCTGCAACAGAACCTACATAAGGACTCTGTACAGGCTCTTGGATACCCCATAAGGGAAAAAGGAACGTTTTTTTCTTATAAGACTGAGAAAGGGCACCTCTCCTGAACTGAGGAGCCTTGGGGGTGGGATGGGAAAGCTTTTTCCCCCCCTGCCCTCTCCCTCCTGAAACGTGGGAGCGTCTGGGGCACCCCAGACAGGAATGGCCCGGGGGGCTTTGCTCTCCAAAAAAATGAACGATTCGTTCACCAGATTAAGGAACAAACAGGCTTTTGAATCGGCTGCCAGCTGGCTGGCTGCTGTGCCGCAGGCTGTCTTGGATAGTACTTTTTTCGGGGGGGGGGCGGTTAGGTTTGAGGATGCCATCAGCACTGGGAGGGGGGTGGCGGGCAAATCAGAAGTCCCAGACAGACCTCACACGCTCAGGCCTGATCTTTCACTCCAAAAGCCAAACAAAGCACAGTTTGTCTGTCGGGGGGTTTTTTTTGGGGGGGGTGAGGAAGAGATCAGGCTTGTTGTGGGTGGGGGGCAAGAATGAGGGGGTCAGCCCTCGCCAGCTTGTTTGGAAGGCCTGCGGTGAGCGAGGTCCCGGCAGGGTCATCCAACCCCCTGCAATGTCTGCCCGAGTCGGAACTCGAACCCAAGACCGTAAGATTCAGAGTCTAGTGCTCTGCGCTAAATTCGACAACTCCCAGACTAGAATTGCAACCTGTTGTTGCTTAACCAGAATTTATTGTTTTATATCAGGGGTCAGCAAATGTTTTCAGCAGGGGGCCGGTCCACTGTCCCGCAGACCTTGCGGAGGGCCGGACTATATTTTGGAAGGGGGAAAAATGAACGAATTCCTATGCCCCACAAATAACCTAGGGATGCATTTTAAATAAAAGCACACATTCTACTCATGTAAAAACACGCTGATTCCCGGACTGTCCGCGGGCCAGATTGAGAAGGCGATTGGGCCGGATCCAGCCCCCGGGCCTTAAGTTTACCTACCCATGTTTTATATCATATCAGCTGATTTTTTTTGTTAACGTCGAAGTATATCTACGAATAGCCAGTGATTCTTCTTTTTTTTATCATTTGTTCTGTGCAGAAATGCGCTTAAGATTTCGCTTCCCGGCTAGCTCTTCCAACCCTAAACGCCTAACCAAGTTTCTGGCCCTCATTGCCGTGAAATAAAAAGCTGGTTTTAAAAAGGACCGCCATGCAAAATAGGAACCCTAAGCACTTAGGGTATTTGGTGATAGGCTGCTCCTGAGAATGGAAGCTCCACGGAAAACTAGCTACTGGGAATAATAGGCGAATTTTTGCTGATTGCTTGGAAAACCACAAAACGCCCTTACGCAAAGTCTGCCAATAGTCAAGGCCGTGAAAGTAGAACTTCTGTAGCCTAGCGCAATTATCTTCGCTCTAGATCTCCTAAGCCCTTTAAAAATGTGGGTTTTTTCCTGGGGGAAGGGCTACTGCGGGCTACTGGCTTGTGGTTTTTATTTTTATGAGGTATTTTGTGGTTTTATATCTTGATTTTATTCTGTGAACTGCCCTGATACCCCTGGTTATAGGGTGGTATATACCGTATTTTTTGCTCTATAAGACTCACTTTTTCCCTCCTAAAAAGGGGAAATGTGTGTGCGTCTTATGGAGCGAATGCAGGCTGCGCAGCTATCCCAGAAGCCAGAACAGCAAGAGGGAATGCTGCTTTCGCTGCGCAGCGATCCCTCTTGCTGTTCTGGCTTCTGAGATTCAGAATATTTTTCTTCTTGTTTTCCTCCTCCAAAAACTAGGTGCGTCTTGTGGTTTGGTGCGTCTTATAGAGCGAAAAATACGGTAAATCATCATCATCATCATCACCAGTGCTTTTTTTCTTAAAAAATGTTTAGAGGTACTCTCATTTTGACTCAAGAAAACCACCATTTTATAGTTCAAACCGGGGAAAAAATAAATACAGTAAATGGACAAAAGTACAAAGATTCACAAAATGTTTAGGGGCATGTGTACCCCTGGGTCCCCCCCCCCAAAAAGCACTGATAATAATAGATATAAACATAAAGAATTGATGAGAACTAGATAGGCCTGTAACAGCAGCTTCTTCCAATGCTCTTATGAAACTTCCAGACCCAGGATCAGTCTATCTGAACTCCTAGGTTATTTTATGGGCGTTTGACCACTGCGAGGCCAGGGTGCTGGTCTAAGCCACGTAAGCTGGCCAGTCATGTGGCGGTGAGTTCCGCGAGCTAACCGATCTCTTAAGAGCCGATCTTCCGTTCTCACGGCTCCTTTCCCCCAACAGGCGGTATCTGCTGGCTGCAGCAAGGGCGCGAGGCTAAATGCACCATGATCGTCCGGACCGGCGTGAGCTGGGAGGAGTGTTGCGCCAACGGCAGCACGGATATGGCCTGGTCGAACGCCTCGCACCCGGACAACAAGATCAGCCTCCTCCGGATCCTGGGGCTCGTGACCTGTCACCCTTGCAAAGGTAGAGGACCTTTCTTTCAAAAAAAAAAATTGCAAGGGGCCACCACTATGAAGGCGCCGTGGAAGCTGGGAGCCAGCAGTAGGTGGCGCCAGAGGAAAGAGGGAAAAGGCAGGCAGGTGGCCCTCTTTGGCCGAGGGCAGACTACAGCCGCAAATAAAAGGTTTCAACTGTCTTTTTAGAATCATTTTCATTTGGTTTTACGAAACAGAAAAATTACAGCAGTGCCATACTGCATAACCGTCTATTGAGATTTTTTTCTAAATCTCCCGGCCTCCCACCATCGCACCTTCGACTGCATATTATTTCATAATCCACATATTATAACTCTCCGTATTATCCATAGCATTTGCTCTTAAAATCCTGCTAATGTTTTTAATCTGCCTTGCAGCGGTCGTTTTTAAGCGTGTTTTAAGCGCATTATACTAATCTGACACTAGGTGGCGGCGGTGAGCTAATGGCAAATTCAATTTATATATTTAAATTTTTTTTAAAAAAAGCATCTTCACAGTCTTTTTTTATATATATGCGTAGTTTCCACTCAAGTCTGTTTGGGCAGTACTGCGTTCGCCCCAATTTATCAGCCTCGACTGCGGCCACCACGAATGCAAGGAGACATATTGGTATAGCAACGTTGTCCATCAGTCCCCTAGCGCAGAGATCGCACCCCATTCAAGGAGGCTGCTTTGTTTTAGGGCAAAATACATTGATAATCCAAGCACATACAGTATATAAAAGACTAAATTAAAGTAAAAAACTAGAGAACCACAACTAAATAAATCAGGCAACTTTAGATTTAGGCTTTAAGAATCTCAGGTGTTCCTTAACAATAGTTCAAAAACTATTCCCTGCCCCCTGGAATTTGCCCAGAAAAGCTCAACAGATTTTCACTGTTTGAAATATGCAGGAATATGCGGGACTCGAACCCACGACCGAGAGATTAAGAAGTTCCTGCCCAGAACTGTCAAGAGGGGGAAAACCCCCACCCTGGGGGAAAAAAAACCAATCTCAATAACTTTTGTATCCGGATTTTCACTGTTTGAAATATGGCAACCCTAGATTTGCGCCCTCCTCTTTGCGCCCTCCTTGCGGGGCAGGACTCTGCCAGGAAAACGGGCGCTGCTTTTCCCCACCACCAGACTTGCTTTGGGGGGGTGACATTCTCCCAGACAGCCAGAGAGAGCCCACCCACGTCTCCAAGGGGGGGACTGTGCGTCTCGCCCCTCTCCCATCTCCGCCAGACTTTTTTTGTTTTGCCCCGGGGTGACCCTCCAACATAATGCACCCATCTGTCTCCGGAGACTCTCCCTCCTTCCCCACAGACCGGAGGGGCTCCCCCCATCCCGGCTGCCTCCCCCAGACAGATCCTTCCCTCTCTCCGACTTGTTGTTTTCATGTCACGGAAGCTGGCGGAGGAACAGGGGCGCCTATTGTGCGAGAAAAAGCTCTCTGTGGAAAGTCCCCTCTCCTGCAAAAACCAAGTTTTCGGGCTTGCCGCGAGCACATCGTTGCAAACCCCGGTTTTGCAGACCCTCCAACTTGTCCCAGGGGTGTCATGAGAACTGCAATCTTGCGTCGTTTTTAAGAGAAGCGTAGAATTTTAGGGAATACGTGGGTCGGTGACCCAGTGCAATGCAGGAATCACAACTGAAAAATCCCGGGCTCTAGGCTGTCTGACCTCTGCTTAAATACCAGACACCCCCCCCCCCAGTGTCCCTATTTTCCAGGAATAGTCCTTGATTTTGAGAAGCTGTCCCAGTTTCTGATCTGAACATCCCGCTTTTCCTTAGGACGTCCCTATTTTCACGGGAGAAACATTGGAGGGGATGGAATAGGACGTCCCTATTTTCAGGGGAGAAATGTTGGAGGGGATGGAATAGGACGTCCCTATTTTCAGGGGAGAAACATTGGAGGGGATGGAATAGGACATCCCTATTTTCACGGGAGAAACGTTGGAGGGGATGGAATAGGACGTCCCTATTTTCACGGGAGAAACGCTGGAGGGGACAGAATAGCACGTCCCTATTTTCAGGGGAGAAACGTTGGAAGGGATGGAATAGGACGTCCCTATTTTCATGGGGAAAACGTTGGAGGGGATGGAGTTATCCGACCCCCTAGCCGTCTGAAGGCAATCCTGTATAGGGAAGGTATTTTTTAAAATGTTTAATGTTTTGTTACGTTTTTTATGTGTGTTGGAAGTTGCCCAGATTGGCTGGGGCAACCCAGTAAGATGCGTCGGGTATAAATAGTAAAATTATCATTATTTGAACGGGATGCCCCTATTGTCACCGGAGAAATGTTGGAGGGTACGATTTTGCTTCTCTCCATTTCCTTTTGCTTGCTGAGGCTTTTAATTTAAGTGCTCTGCCGTGCTTCGGATTAATAATAATAATAATAATAATAATAACCTCTCGATTCCTCCTTCCTCAGAGACCTGCGAAGGTGTGGACTGCGGTCCGGGAAAAGTCTGCAAAATGAAATACGGGCGCCCGCACTGCAGCTGTGCCCCAGATTGCTCCAATCTCTCCCGGAAACTTCAGGTGTGCGGATCCGATGGCTTCACCTACCGAGACGAATGCGAGCTTCTGACGGCAAAATGCAGAGGACAACCCGACCTGGAAGTCATGTATCAAGGCCGGTGCAAAAGTAAGCTGGTCTTCCCGCTCCAAACTCCCAGCACGGGCATCTTCCAAAGTTTGACTAACAAAAAGCACAAGCGCTCTAGTCACTATGGTTTGTTAAACCGAACCGCAAGTGGTCCGGCAGATTATCGAACAAACCGTGGCTTGCGCCAACACAGTCCTACCTTGGTTCTCGAACGTAATCCGTTCCGGGAGTCCCTTCGACTTCTGAAAACATTCGAAAACCGAGACATGGATTTCGGTGGGCTGCGGGAGCTTCCAGTGCCCAATCGGAAGCCGCGTCGGATGTTCGGCTTCTGAAAAACATCCTCAAACCGGACCACTCACTTCCGGGTTTGTGGCGTTCGTTTAAAAGCCTGGGGTGGATTAATCCGTTCTGCATTCCTTTCTATGGGAAAGCAGCGCGCCTTGGTTTTGGAATGCTTTGGTTTCGGAACGGACCTCCGGAACAGATTAAGTTTGAGAACCAAGGTACTGCTGTATTGAGTAGAATTTCATGACAGAAAGCGGCGACAGCTCACCCAAAGTTCCAGCTGATCTTGATCCTTGGACTACTGCAATGCACTCTCTGTGGGGATACCTTTGAAGGTGACCCAGAAACTACAACTAATCCAGAATGCGGCAGCCAGACTGGGGCCTGGGAGCGGCGGCCGAGACCACAGAACACCGGTGCTGAAAGACCGACATTGGCTCCCAGTACGTTTCTGAGCACAATTCAAAGGGTTGGTGCTGACCTTGAAAGCCCTAAACAGCCCATTATACCTGAAGGAGCGTCTCCACCCCCATCGTCCAGCCTGAGGTCCAGCTCCGAGGGCCTTCTGGCAGTTCCCTCACTGCGAGAAGCAAAGTTACAGGGAACCAGACAGAGGGCCTTCTCGGTGGTGGCACCCGCCCTGTGGAACGCCTTCCCACTAGATGTCAAAGAGAACAACAACTACCAGACTTTTAGAAGACATCTGAAGGCAGCCCTGTTCAGGGAAGCTTTTAATGTTTGATGCCTTACTGTATTTTAATATTTTGTTGGAAGCCACCTAGAGTGGCTGGGGAGGCCCAGCCAGATGGGCGGGAAATAAATAATAAATCATTATTATTATTATTATTATTATTATTATTATTTCTCTGATGTCTGTGTGTGTGTGTCCCCTTCTGCAGAATCGTGCTCCACTGTGGTGTGTCCCGGGACCCACACGTGTGTCGTGGACCAGACCGCCAGCGCCCACTGCGTCATGTGCCGGGCCGCCCCTTGCCCGGACCCCACCGACATCGACCACGCGATCTGCGGGAACAACAACGTCACGTACCCCTCCACCTGCCACCTCCGAAGAGCCACCTGCTTCCTGGGGCGGTCCATCGGCGTCCGACATTACGGAAGCTGCGCAGGTAGGTTTCTCCCTGGGGTCAGGACCTGAAACTCTGTTTGGCAGGGCTCCAGCCCCAGTGTGCCTAGGGTCTCAAACCTCGGCGAGTTAGGGGTTTCCCCTGCAGGATAATAATAATAATAATGATAATAATAATAATAATAATAATAATAATAATAATTTATTCTTTCTACCCCGCCCATCTGGCTGGGTTTCCCCAGCCACTCTGGGCGGCTTCCAACAAAACACTAAAATACAATAACCTATTAAACATTAAAAGCTTCCCTAAACAGGGCTGCCTTCAGATGTCTTCTAAAAGTCTGGTAGTTGTTGTTCTCTTTGACATCTGGTAGGAGGGCGTTCCACAGGGTGGGTGCCACCACCGAGAAGGCCCTCTGCCTGGTTCCCTGTAACTTGGCTTCTCGTAGCAAGGGAACCGCCAGAAGGCCCTCAGGAGATGGACCCCGGTGTCCGGGCTGGACGAAGGGGGTGGAGACCCTCCTTCAGGGCTACTGGGCTGTTTAGGGCTTTCAAGGTCAGCACCAACACTTTGAATTGTGCTCGGAAACATCCTGGGAGCCAATGTAGGTTTTTGAGGACCGGTGTTATGTGGTCTCGGCGGCCGCTCCCAGTCCCCAATCTAGCTTGTAAGTTCTTTGTGGGCAGAGAGTGACTTCTGCATTTGTCGCCCACCCTGACGGTGCCCTTCTGTGCAAATCCTGAATCTTGCCCTCTCCTCTTTTGATTTCTCCCTTAGCCCCGAACCGATACCCGCTGGACACAGATGAAGCCGAGGAAAACTACATCTGAACCCGCCTTTGTGATCTATCCGACTCCCGACGACACGCTGGGGCATTATCTGTTAACGATGTACAGACCGTATATATCTGATATTTATTAAGACCAAAAGACGACGACAGCCTTATTTATATATATATATAGACAGATAGATAGATAGATATCTCGGCTGATGTAACCTAAGCATATCTGCCCCAGTTTTTCCTCCTCCTCCTTCTTTTGGACACCCTCCCACTCTGCAGAATTCTCCTCCAATAGTGCGGAGGGAGACCTACTCCACATTGTGAGAGAGAGGGGGAAGCCGGGACTGCAGTTCTTGAGGTCTAGCAGCTTAGCTCAGATCAGTATGGGGTTCTCTGCTCTCTGCTTGCCTCTCGGCGACACCCTATCCCTGCCCTACGATCCTTTCTCTGTGCTGAGTTGAAAATTCAGGCCCCGCCCCAACTCCCGAAGCTGCGCCGTTTGTTAACATCCCGTTGCTGACTCTTCCCACAAACATTCCGTGACATCACAGGGATCAAGCCAATAGGCACACTTTGGGGCGGGAACTCACCCGGACAAATTACCAGTTTTTAGCCTTTAAAAAAATATATACGTATATATCTCTCTCTAATTTAAATTCACCACTATGGTCACACCGAGTGCCTCATAAACTGGGTGTTGTTGTTGTTGTTAAAAAATATGTTGTTTCTTGTTCTCTTTCTACATTTTTTTAAAAAGCCTATTTTCTATAAAAACGAAAACAAAAAAATACCTTTGTGTCCTGATCTCTTTATATGCTGCTTTTACCTGTCAGAATATTATTATTATTATTATTATTATTATTATTATTATTATTAATTGGTTGAAATTAAATTTATCCACGGTCCTTCATAAAAGATCACCAAGTGGTTTGCAACACAATCTCAGTTATAACCAGCCTTTCCTCTAAGTTAAAATAGCAGCAAGCGAACGACAGATTAAAACCCACAGCAACTTTCTAAATGTATTTATAAGATGGGCAAGCATGTCTAAACAAAAACGTGGCTTTTTTTGGCAGGTGCCGGAAAGAGGACTCTGAGGACGCCTGCCTGATATCCAGTGGCAGGCAGTTCCAAAGTTTAGGCTGGCAGGAAAACAGGCTAGCTCACTGTTTTAGGAATGTATCCAGCTAAATTCTGCTCGGGAGACATTGACATCGATGGAGCTGTGTTAGTCCTAGCTATTAGCTTCAGTGGGATTACTCTGAGGAGAAGCTAGTGTTGGCTAGAGCACTTAGGCCCCATGTGATTCACTCGCCTGTAATTTGGGGTGTGTGTGAAGAAGGAAAGAATGAAGGAAAGAAGAGAGAGAGAGAGAGAGAGGGAGGGAGGGAGGGAGGAAGGAAGGAAAGAAGGAAAGAAGGAAAGAAGGAAAGAAAGAAAGAAAGAAAGAAAGAAAGAAAGAAAGAAAAGAAAGAAGAGAGAGGAAGGAAGGGGAAGGAAGGGGAAGGAAGGAAGGAAGGAAAGAGAAGGAAGGAAGGAAGGAAGGAAGGAAGGAAGGAAGGAAGGAAGGAAGGAAGGAAGGAATGCCATGTTGGACATGGTCTAATCCAGGGGTAGGCAAACTAAGGCACGGGGGCTGGATCAGGCCCAATTGCCTTCTAAATCCGGGCCACAGACAGTCCGGGAATCAGCGTGTTTTTACATGAGTAGAATGTGTCCTTTTATTTAAAATGCATCTCTGGGTTATTTGTGGGGCATAGGAATCCGTTCATTATTATTTCCCAAAAAAAATATAGTCCGGCCCCCCACAAGGTCTGAGGGACAGTGGACCGGCCCCCTGCTGAAAAAGGTTGCTGACCCCGGTCTAATCCATTTGCTGGAAACAGTACGACTGTGATTTCCAGTTTTCGGCCCGTTTATTTGTATCATAAAACTTACACACGGCTTGATTGCAAACAAGGAAAACCTCAAGGAAACAATAAAACCATCAATTTGAAACATCAGCAGCAACAATCAAAGACTTTCCAAAAAAAGTTACAATAACAGACTAAAAACAGATCAAAACTCTCATCAGCTTTCTGATGCAGGCAGGCTTCTCCGAAAAAAGTGTTAACGGGTGCCAAAAAGAACACTGCAAAGGCTGACATCAATAGGCAGGGAGTTCCAAAGGTTTAAAAAAAATAAATGACAGGGCACTGACTGTTTATGGAAATGCAGCTATTTTGTTGTTGGCATCTGTCTGTCTCGAGAGACGACGTTTCGAAGTTTTTCTGTGAGAGGGTTTCTTAGGTGTTTATGGGCATGGGATGACAAGTGGGCCTCTGGGCATGTTAAGATCGCTGGTGGCTTTGCAGAGCACCCGGTATTTGGGTGGCTGCATAACCGCAATTGCCTCCCTGCGCACTGAAACCCCAAACTCCTGCCTTCCTCCTCCAGCATGGGCAGAGCCTGGGACTCTGAATCTCTGGGTTGCGGGTTCAAGTCCCACGTGGCGTGGGGAAAAAATCCTGCCTTGCAGGGGGTCAGGGATGGATGACCCTTGGGGGCACCATCCTCTCTCTATGATTCGAGGAGATGGGTGATGACAGCACCGGGTTTAGGCTTAATGAGGTCCTAAGCGACTGAAGGTAATGGGGCCCTTTATATGTCCAGCTGTCCTTTGTCAACAAATTGTCGCTGTTTTTTGTGTCGATATACTGCGGGTATAGGGCAGTATATAAATGCTTAGAAGAAGAAGAATTGCGGGTATAGGGTAGTATATAAATGCAAATAATAATAATAATAATAATAATAATAATAATAACGTGAACTGCGGGTATTTGTTGTTGTTTAGTCGTTTAGTTGTGTCCGCCTCTTTGTGACCCCCTGGACCAGAGCACGCCAGGCCCTCCTGTCTTCCACTGCCTCCCGCAGTTGGGTCAAACTCATGTTCGTAGCTTCGAGAACACTGTCCCACCATCTCGTCCTCTGTCGTCCCCTTCTCCTTGTGCCCTCCATCTTTCCCAACATCAGGGTCTTTTCCAGGGAGTCTTCTCTTCTCCTGAGGTGGCCAAAGTCTTGGAGCCTCAGCTTCAGGATCTGTCCTTCCAGTGAGCACTCAGGGCTGATTTCCTTCTGAATGGAGAGGTTTGTTCTTCTTGCAGTCCATGGGACTCTCAAGAGTCTCCTCCAGCACCAGAATTCAAAAGCATCCATTCTTCGGCGATCAGCCTTCTTGATGGTCCAGCTCTCACTTCCATACATCACTACTGGGAAAACCAGAGCTTTAACTATACGGACCTTTGTTGGCAAGGTGATGTCTCTACTTTTTAAGATGCTGTCTAGGTTTGCCATTGCTTTTCTCCCAAGGAGCAGGTGTCTCTTAATTTCGTGGCTGCTGTCACCATCTGCAGTGATCATAGAGCCCAAGAAAGTAAAATCTCTCACTGCCTCCATTTCTTCCCCTTCTATTGCCAGGAGGTGATGGGACCAGTGGCCATGATCTTCGTTTTTTGATGTTGAGCTTCAGACCATATTTTGCGCTCTCCTCTTTCACCCTCATTAAAAGGTTCTTTAATTCCTCCTCACTTCCTGCCATCAAGGTTGTGTCATCTGCATATCTGAGGCTGTTGATATTTCTTCCGGCAATCTTAATTCAGGCTAGGGATTCATCCAGCCCAGCCTTTCGCATGATGAATTCTGCATATAAATTAAATAAGCAGGGAGACAATATACAGCCTTGCCGTACTCCTTTCCCAATTTTGAACTGCGGGTATAGGGCAGTATATAACAGCTAATTATAATAATAGGAAGAAGAAGAAGAGGAATCGCGGCTATAGGGCGGTATCTCAATGCAATTAATAAGAATTAAATTAAAGATAGCAATTAACTGTGTGCTGCTTTGAGGGGTGGGAGTTAAGAAAAAAAAGACATATATAACCATGCATGTTGAACCCGGAAACTTCCCACCCAAAGGAGAGGCCTCCGCTCTGCACTTTTCATAGCTCTGCGGTCCCAGGAGAGAGAGAGAGAGAGAGAGAGAGAGAGAGAGAGAGAGTGGCGCGGCGTCGCTTGGATCCGTGGGCGGGGCGACGTCTGTGACGCCAGGCCGGAGGTGGGCGTGGCTTAGAGAGGGAGAGAGGCGCGCATGCGTGCGTGCTGCGCGCGGCGTCGCTTGGATCCGTGGGCGGGGCGACGTCTGTGACGCCTGGCCGGAGGTGGGCGTGGCTTAGCGAGGGAGAGAGGCGCGCATGCGTGCGTGGTGCGCGCGGCGTCGCTTGGATCCGTGGGCGGGGCGACGTCTGTGACGCCTGGCCGGAGGTGGGCGTGGCTTAGCGAGGGAGAGAGGCGCGCATGCGTGCGTGCTGCGCGCGGCGTCGCTTGGACCCGTGGGCGGGGCGACGTCTGTGACGCCTGGCCGGAGGTGGGCGTGGCTTAGCGAGAGAGCGTGAGGAGGCTCAGAAGGAGGAAGAGGCGGCGGCGGCGCCGGAAGTCGCCCGTGGGAGCTCGGCTTCCGCTTCCGGCCTGGGCGCTTCCTCTCTCTCTCTCTCTCTTTCCGTTCGGCGAGGCAGGAGGTGCAGCAGGAGGGCCGCGTGGAGGGTGGGTGGCCTCGCCTCGGACGCCTGGGTCCCCCTTTCATGACGGGAGGGGGAGGCGGGAGGGGTTTTCGTCCTTTCGTGTATTTAATTATCCATTTTTAAAATTATTATCATTATTTTTTTAAAAAATATCATTTTTTTAATTATTATTTTTTAATTATCTTTTTTAAAAACTATAATTTACTTTTTTTAAAAATTATCATTTACTTTTGAATTCTTGCCTACTCGCGAGTCGGATAATCTCATTTGCGGATAATCTCATTTCTCTCCCCCTCTGCGAGGGCTTCGTATCTGGGGCACTTTCTGGGTTTTACGTCACGTTCGTAATTGGCACTATATTTATAATTGTGCGTTTTATTACATAGAGCGAGAAAGAGAGAGAGAAAATTAAGAATAGGACATAAAACCCAGAAACTGACAAGGCTATACTATGTGTGTGTGTGTGTGTGTGTATTACCTTATCAGTTTCTGGGTTTTATGTTATAGTCATAATTTATGTTAATATTTTTATTTCTGCGTTTTATATCTATCTATCTATAACATCTGTTTCTGGGTTTTATGTTGTATTTGTAATTCTGTGTGTGTATCTATATATATATATGTATATATAACCTTTTCTGTTTCTGGGTTTTATGTTATATTCATAACTTATGTAACATTTATAATTCTGCATTTGATTATCTATTATATATCATCTATCTATAACCTTGTTGGTTTCTGGATATATATATATATGGGTGTGTGTGTGTGTGTGTGTGTGTGTGTATATATATATATATATATATGGGTGTGTGGGTGTACACACACACAGTATAAATATATATATAATGAATATGACATAAAACCCCAAAATGGAAAAGATATGTATGTATGTATGTGTATGTATGTATGTTTGTTTACACACACACACAAACACACCTTACGTTTCGCCTCTTCACACGAGATGCACGCAGTATCGAGAAAGACTCTCGCTACAGCTGCTTTTCTGCATTCTGTTTCATTTTATTCATGTCTGTGAATTACATCGTGTCCTATATTTGTTTTATATCCATCCATCCACCCACCCGTGTGTCTATACACACACACATGAAAAACCACCCAATTTTTTGGGGACACAGATATAACCTAACGTGTTTGCGCTGTCCTTTTTATACATTGCGATCTGAACCGCCTCCCTGGGACTCAAATGGTTTGAAGGGCTAGTGGTTAAATCTTATAAAGGTAATGGATTTGGTTTGTTCAGTGGGGGCTTACTCCCAGGTCAGCAAGCAGGGGATCTCAGCCTTTAGAGCAGTTTGATTTTAGGCCCTCCCTCAATATTGCTCACAACCATTATTGTGTCATTATTGGGCAGGGGGCATAACATGGTAATATTCAATGCAGGATTTTAATATATAGGTTCCCATCTCTGCCTGAGGACACAAATGCCATGCATATTTGCTTAAGCGGTGAGATTTGTGTGCCTCTGAATTTACCAGGAGGGTTTAAGGAAGCCCCTCTCTGCTTCACTTCTCCACATCTGTGAAGTGGCGATCCTAATATTGATTTGGTTTAACCACTTCATCTCTTCCCCCCCTTCAGGTGACGCTCAACTGCCAGGATGCAGATTTTTGTGAAGACCCTGACGGGCAAAACCATCACCCTTGAGGTGGAGCCTAGCGACACGATCGAGAATGTCAAGGCGAAAATCCAGGATAAGGAAGGTGAGAGTGGTTGAATCTCTTGGGGGTGCCAGAGCGCCCCAGGGACTGCTGCTTTTTCAGAGCGTCGGGCTTGCAGAGGGGCCTGAAAAAGATTCAGTTAAAAGCAAGATCGTCTCTGCCCATAGGCAGAAAAAACGTGCTACAGGAGGGCAAAGGGGGAGAATTCGAACTCAGGCACCAATTCTTAAAATTCTTCTTCTTGTCTCAGAATAACCAGCTAGTTCAGGGGAGGAGAAGGAGAGCTGATGGAGTGAGGAGAGCTTGGTTTTTTTGGGGGGGGGCATTTTATAGAGTAGTTCAGATATCCAGAAGTCCGTTCAACTTACAAAACGTTTCGAAACCAAGGCGCTGCTTAATTATCTATTATTATATTATAAAAACATAATTATTATCTCTCTCCCTCCCCTTGAATGTTGCTGAGGGCTGCCAAAAAGGGCAGGTCACGCCACCCTGATACAGATAGTTAGGTATAGTAAAGTTTTAAAAGTGTGTGTGTGTATACTTAACAATTACAACAGCAGGCAAGAATTTTAAGAAACGATAAACTAAACTGTAAACTAGGCATGCAGAATGAGTACAGTGCCACATGGGTTAAAATAAAGCGCTGGTAAAATACTGTTGGGACGCGGGTGGCGCTGTGGGTTAAACCACAGAGCCTAGGACTTGCCGATCAGAAGGTCGGCGGTTTGAATCCCCACGACGGGGTGAGCTCCCGTTGCTCGGTCCCCGCTCCTGCCAACCTAGCAGTTCGAAAGCACTTCAAAGTGCAAGTAGATAAATAGGTACCGCTCCGGCGGGAAGGTAAACGGCGTTTCCGTGCGCTGCTCTGGTTCTGGCCACATGACCCAGAAGCTGTATGCCGGCTCCCTCGGCCAGTAAAGCGAGATGAGTGCCGCAACCCCAGAGTCGGCCACGACTGGACCTAATGGTCAGGGGCCCCTTTACCTTTTAGTATGTGTGCAGGAGATCAAACATGGGAACAGCTTTTCCTCGGGGCAAGGGGTTGTTCCTCCAGCCCCAACCAATCCTGCAACTCCTTAGGGGTCAGGGGTCTCGGTACCTTTACCTTTAAAATACTGTTAACACGCAGGAATATATTTCCTGCCAAGGAAGGGTCATAGCTCAGTCGCAGGACACCTGCTCTGCATGCAGAATGTCTCCGTTTTAACCTCCCCAACGGCTTCTGAAATCCCGGAGAGCTTTTGCCAGTCGAGGCAGACAGTAGCAAGCTAGTTCGCCCAACGTCCTAGCTTAGAACAAGGCAGATTCCTGTACTGTATTGTTTCTTCAGAACCATGAGGACTAGAATCTGGCTTTGTTGATATAGAGGAAGAGCCTGAAACCTTGGAGAGCCTCTGCCAGCCAATCCTGGGCTGGTGGGTCTGACTCTGCACAGGGCTCTCCTACGTTCCCGCAGCGGGATTTTCATCACATCTCCTTTTGCAGGTATCCCTCCCGATCAGCAGCGTCTGATCTTCGCAGGGAAGCAGCTGGAAGACGGCCGCACACTCTCCGACTACAACATCCAGAAAGGTACGCTTCTGGGGCGGAGAACACCCCACCCCACCCCGGCCCCCTTCTGCCACACAAGACGGCAAAACCTATTTGGTGTTTCGCAACTTTCTGACTAGTTGCAGGACCTTAGCCAGACCTAGCAGAGTAAACGCAGAGTTCACGAAAGCAATTGGCAACTTGGCTGCAGGCAGGATGGACGAACCAGGAACTTATATTTAGGTGTTTATTATATACAGTGGACTATGTTCAGGAACAGGACGCGGGTGGCACTGTGGGTTAAACGACAGAGCCTAGGACTTGCCGATCAGAAGGTCGACGGTTCGAATCCCCGTGACATGGTGAGCTCCCGTTGCTCCATCCCTGCTCCTGCCAACATAGGAGTTCGAAAGCACATGAAAGTGCAAGTAGATAAATAGGTACCACTCCAGCGGGAAGGTAAACTGCATTTCCGTGCGCTGCTCTGGTTTGCCAGAAGCGGCTTAGTCCTGCTGGCCACATGACCCGGAAGCTGTACGCCGGCTCCCTCGGCCAGTAAAGCGAGATGAGCGCCGCAACCCTAGAGTCGGTCACGACTGGAGCTAATGGTCAGGGGTCCCTTTACCTTATTTAAAGGAACAGAACAGAACACTGATCTTGACATCAGCTCTCTCATACACGACTCACAGCTCTCAACCTCCAACTCCTACACTGAGCCACTGAACTAACAGTTAGTAGGCCATTAATTATCACTCCCGTGAGAGAGCTTGACCAATCATGGAGCTGTCTCCATGCCTCTGTATGACCAGGCAGACTTACTCCTTCACATGACCTTTTGGCTGTCTGCCAAACCTTAAACGACTCTGTGTGAGTAGCTGCACATATTCAGATTCCCAACATCTATTATTATTATTATTATTATTCCCAAAACTAAAAAATGAAAAATTACAAACATCAAATTCAACATCCACATTCATTTTCTAACATAAACCTATTACATAATTAACTAAATTAAAATATGTCTAATTGCTCTAAACATCTCTTTGCTGTATGCAAATGCAACACAGTTATAAATTTTATATTAAAGCTTTTCTATTATAAATAATACTTCGAATTCCCCTATACCCCCCGTTCTGTTCCCCTTCCACCCATGTGTGATCTCATTTCTTATTTTATTTTTTACTTCTTCCGTCGTGTTGTGCTACAAGACGGCAGTCTCGCTGCGCTCCTTTCCGCAGGACTCCTGATGTTCCCCCATAACTGGCGACTCTGATTTAGAATTCCTGGAGTCCCCGTGAAGCTGGGTTTCCAGGCTGGCTGCCCCCCGTCTCCCCCCCCCAAAAAAACACCCCCCCAAAACACCAGTATAGGACCTGCTAATCTTGCTTTTCCCCCCTTCCCCTGCCTAGAATCCACTCTCCACCTTGTTCTTCGTCTCCGCGGTGGGATCATCGAGCCCTCTCTTCGCCAGCTGGCCCAGAAATACAACTGCGACAAGATGATTTGCCGCAAGTAAGTTGCCTGGGTGGGTGGGTTGCTTGCCGGGACGGACCCTTATCCTCTAATCCGGAGCCTCACTGTTTCTGCGCTGTTCCCCTTCCAGGTGTTACGCCCGCCTGCACCCCCGGGCCGTCAACTGCCGCAAGAAAAAGTGCGGCCACACCAACAACCTGCGCCCCAAGAAGAAGGTCAAGTAGACAGAGTACGCGGACGGGGCGTCTCTCTCCCCCCCCCCACTCCCGGTCCCTCCCAAAATCTGGGTATCGTGCTACTTTGCCGAAACGTGCTAACACCTGTTCCTTCTGGGCCTTTGTTTCTTGCCCTTTAGAATAAAGCTTCCATTGCACCGAGCAAAGAGTGTGTCTGTCTCTTAAATGGTTTGCTTGGACCAGTTGCCGAGCCCAGATCCTCCGCCGTACGATACGATAATCTTTGTTGTCATTGTCCCGTACAGAACAACGAAATCTACATCAGACATTCAGAAACCAACAAGCCAGCTATCCCAGACTGGTTAGCCTCCTAAAAACCTCTGATACCCTATTTTTAAATACGATATACTCCCATAGAGACTCCTTACACTGCGTTTAAAACCAAAATCGCATTTGGATAGACACTGTTTCTCAGGCGGCTAGTCCTAGTCTTTATAACCGTATACGTTCTTCCAGAAGGCAGAAGCTGAAAGAGATCATTTCCGGGGTGCGCACTATCCTGTGCTATCTCTGCCACTTTCTTATGGCACCTGGAAGCATAGATTTGATCCAAGGTGGGAAGAGTGCACCCAATTATTCTCTCCGCAGTCTTTACAACCCTGGACAGCATTGTTTTTTCCCTGGCCGTGCAGCTCCCAAACCACACACACAGACCATAAGTTAATACACTCTCCACAGTACAATGGTAAGATGCCATCAACAGGTCCTTTGAGAGATTGTTTTTCCGGAGGATTCTCAGAAAATATAACCTCTGCTGTGCTCTCTTCATCGGGTCTTTGCTGTTTTCTCCCCAGGTTAGGTCATCTCGCAACTCCATTCCCAGAAATCAAAACACGGGTGTTTATTCCTGAGAGTTGCAGGCATGTGTGAATGCTGTTTTTTAATCGTCTGAACCAGGGATAGGGGAATCTGTGGCCCACCAAGATGGATTAATTTGGGGGATGTTTCACTCCCCCAAATTCAGCCACTCGCTGATTTGAGGGCGAAGTTCGATTCTGCGGTGGCTGTGGAAATGGAAGGGACTTTCTGTGTGGGTGTTTGCAGCTGTTTGCGGGCGCAAGCTTGGTATTTGGGATACTCGCTTAGCAAACTGAGCTAGTTTTAAAAAGAGAATACCCTTTCTTACAGGTTTCAGCATGGCATGAAGGCAAAAGTGAGATCCCGATTAGCAGTACACATAAACGCCGGTTCTGTGAAACCGATTTCTCTCACCACTAGGGAATACAAACATCAAATCAATCGAATCTGCAACTTGTATATCAGAAACGCTCTAGAAACTCAGTTTTTGAAACTTGTCCGCTAGATCTCACATTAACTGAATAATTCCCCATCTGATTTTTTCATGAACAGATCATGCCTTCATCCTTCTTGCTCTTTAAATATTGCAAGTGTGTTTTGCCAGAAATAGAGTGTTTTAGGACAGGCACCCCCAACCTCGGCCCTCCAGATGTTTTGGGACTACAGTGGTGCCTCGCAAGACGGAAAACCCGCTAGACGAAAGGGTTTTCCGTTTTGGAGGCGCTTCGCAAGACGAATTTCCCTATGGGCTTGCTTCGCAAGAAGAAAGCCCATAGGGAAATCTCCGGGGACCTCTTTTAAATGCTGGCGGTCGGGAGCAAAGCCTTTCGCCCCCCTCCGGCCTTCAGAAGAGGTCCAGGAAGGCCGGCGGGGGCCGAAAGGCTTTGCTCCCCACCGCCAGCATTTTAAAAGTGGTCCGGGATAGCAGGGAAGCGCTTCCCGCTATCCCGGACGGCTTTTGAAGGCAGGCGGGGGGGGGGGACACCAAACCCTTTTGCCCCCCGCCGGCCTTCAGAAGAGGTCCTGCATTCCTATGGGAAACCGTGCTTCGCAAGACGAAAACTCGCAAGAAGAAAAAACTTGGCGGAACGAATTAATTTTGTCTTGCGAGGCACCACTGTACAACTCCCATCATCCCTAGGTAACAGGACCAGTGGTCAGGGATGATGGGAATTGTAGTCCCAAAACATCTGGAGGGCCTAGGTTGGGGGTGTCTGGTTTAGGAGGTTTGGAGGGCCTTCAGAATCCTGCTTTTATTACTCCTAAATGTACCTTGTGATGTCTTTATCATCCGGTGCCCTCAAGCTTCGCAGGGAGAATAAGGGGAAAATATTCATGGGAGTTTGCATTTAGGTGGGTTCCAGTCTTGCTTGCAGGAAGAAATTTAGTTTATTGGGGGGGGGTTAAGCCCTATTAGGGACGCGGGTGGCGCTGTGGGTGAAACCACAGAGCCTAGGACTTGCCGATCAGAAGGTCGGCGGTTCGAATCCCCGCAATAACGGGGTGAGCTCCCGTCGCTCGGTTCCTGCTCCTGCCAACTTAGCAGTTCAAAAGCACGCCAAAGTGCAAGTAGATAAATAGGTACTGCTCTGGCGGTGTGATGGCCTGGGAATCTGATTCACAGGATGAACCGGAGGAATCCCAGCCTGCACAGGAGTCCCTGCCTCCAGGGCCGGCTGAACTGGGGCAGGGCCTTGATTCTGAGGCGCCTGCACCTGTGCTGGATCCTCAGGAGCAGGCACCAGGTGAACCCATTCTGGCTCCAGAGGTGGTTGAGGACTCAGTGCCTACAGGTGAGTCTCCCCCTGGGCCCAGTAACCCTTCAGCCTCTCCTGATCTGCAGATGCTCAGGGCAGAGAGGCGAAGGGAACTGGTTTCTCCCAGGAGGAGTGCTCGCCTTAAGGCCAGGAGAGGCAGGGCTCCTGGGGGCCGGGACCGCCCCTGGCCTCAGAGAAGATAAAGGCCAGTCAGCCCGGTCCCAGGTTGCGGGAGCAACGTCGTCATTGAAGAGCTGTTTCGGCCAGCATCCAGTCCTGTCCCTCCAGTGTTCCTGTCCTTGCCCGGCTCCTCGCTGTGGACCCCGCTTCGCCCGTGGAGGACTGTCTGCCGACCCTCGACTCAGGTCCTGGACCTCACCCCACGGTAACCTCCCCCTGGGACCAGCACAGGCGGGAAGGTAAACGGCATTTCCGTGCGCTGCTCTGGTTCGCCAGAAGCGGCTTCGTCCTGCTGGCCACATGACCCGGAAGCTGGACGCCGGCTCCCTCGGCCAGTAAAGCGAGATGAGCGCCACAACCCCAGAGTCGGCCACGACTGGACCTAATGGTCAGGGGTCCCTTTTCCCTAAGCCCTATTGGGGAAAGAGAGGCAGATTGGGAGAAAGGATTTGAAGGCAGGCAGTCTTGGGACGGTCCTCTTTCAGTCTGACTTACCTCACAGGGTTGTTTGTGACGTATGCCCCTTTGGGGCAGAGGGGAGGTGAACTGTAAATGTGATCTATCAGTAAAATTCCAAGGTCTTTTTTCGGACGACAGGAATTCCCCAGCAAAGGAGCCTCTCTGATCTCTTACCCGCTCAGTCGGGAAGAGCATGAGACGCTTACTAACCTCAGGGTCGTGAGTCCCACGTTTGGGGAAAAACATTGCTGCGTTGCAAGGGGTTTGTCTGGATGACCCTCAGGGTCCCTCTGGGAAACCGGCCCCATAAAACTGAGCGCGGCACGGCTCCAGGTGGGCACAAGCTGAGTATGGACAAACGGTGGCTCCTCTGACAATCTTGGCGATTGGGCAGGAATATTATATGGGGTCAGATCATAGAATAGAATCATAGAGTTGGAAGAGACCACAAGGGCCATCGAGTCCAACCCCCTGCCAAGCAGGAAACACCATCAGAGCACTCCTGACATATGGTTGTCAAGCCTCTGCTTAAAGACCTCCAAAGAAGGAGACTCCACCACACTCCTTGGCAGCAAATTCCACTGTCGAACAGCTCTTACTGTCAGGAAGTTCTTCCTAATGTTTAGGTGGAATCTTCTTTCTTGTAGTTTGGATCCATTGCTCCGTGTCCGCTTCTCTGGAGCAGCAGAAAACAACCTTTCTCCCTCCTCTATATGACATCCTTTTATATATTTGAACATGGCTATCATATCACCCCTTCACCTCCTCTTCTCCAGGCTAAACATGCCCAGCTCCCTTAGCCGTTCCTCATAAGGCATCGTTTCCAGGCCTTGGATCATTTTGGTTGCCCTCCTCTGGACACGTTCCAGTTTGTCAGTGTCCTTCTTGAACTGTGGTGCCCAGAACTGGACACAGTACTCCAGGTGAGGTCTGACCAGAGCAGAATACAGGGGCACTATTACTTAAGATGGTCCTTAAGGGATGGCGGGCTGAGCTGTTAAAAGACTCTGAACATGAATACAGAAACCTTGAACCGGACCTGGGCATGGTTTTGAGCACTAATGTACTGGCGATTATTATTATTTATAAAATTTATACACCACCCTATACGCGGGGGGAGCCTAGGACTTGCCGATCAGAATCCCTGCAACGGGGTGAGCTCCCTTTGCTTGGTCCCTGCTCCTGACTGTTGAATGGTCACTGTAAAATGTGAAGCTTCATTATTGTTTCACAAGTTGTGTATGTCTGCAAATAACGAGATCCAGTCTTGCAGCTGTGAAACATAGCAGGTGCTGCTAGGTTGTGTTAATCAAGCTGTGTCAGCAATTGGGTATAGTATATAAGGAGCAGCACCTAGCTCTCCCATTACCCTGGGGGATGGGTTGGTGGTTGGGTCGTGTTTGTTGTTATTATCTTTAGTGTAAAAGGAGTTTTTGTTTTGTTATTAAAACCTTGTTAAAGTTATTTTTGAGTTCCTTGTTATGCATGGTCTCCCCAGCAAGCTCTCTGCAGTGCTACTAAATTGCAAATAGCCAACACTGCCAACCTAGCAGTTTGAAAGCACCTCAAAGTGCAAGTAGATCAATAGGTACCGCTCTGACGGGAAGGTAAACGGCGTTTCCATGCGCTGCTCTGGTTCGCCAGAAGCGGCTTAGTCCTGCTGGCCACATGACCCGGAAGCTGTACGCCGGCTCCCTCGGCCAGTAAAGTGAGATGAGCGCCGCAACCCCAGAGTCGTCCACGACTGGACCTAACGGTGAGGGGCCCCTTTACCTTACTTTACCATATTTTGGGGGGTGCGGGTGGCGCTGTGGGTTAAACCACAGAGCCTAGGGCTTGCCGATCAGAAGGTTGGCGGTTCAAATCCCCGCGACAGGGTGAGCTCCCGTTGCTCAGTCCCTGCTCCTGCCAACCTAGCAGTTCAAAATCATGTCAAAGTGCAAGTAGATAAATAGGTACCGCTCCGTACATCACTACTGGGAAAACCAGAGCTTGAACTATACGGACCTTTGTTGGCAAGGTGATGTCTCTGCTTTTTAAGATGCTGTCTAGGTTTGTCATTGCTTTTCTCCCAAGAAGCAGGCGTCTTTTAATTTCGTGGCTGCTGTCACCATCTGCAGTGATCATGGAGCCCAAGAAAGTGAAATCTCTCACTTCCTCCATTTCTTCCCCTTCTATTTGCCAGGAGGTGATGGGACCAGTGGCCATGATCTTAGTATTTTTTATGTTGAGCTTCAGACCGTATTAAACTCCTTGGACAATAACAACACAAAAAAACAGTGGCCATTTGTTGTTGACAATGGACAGCTGGACATATAAAGAGCCCCATTACCTTCAGTAGCTTAGGGTCTCATCAAACCTAAATCCGGCCCTGGTAAGGGTTCATGCGGCCCCCATTAAGTTTCCAACAAGGGAACCTGGCCCTTGGGCTCTAAAAGGGCCCTGATCCGACCCTGTTCTGTGCATTTTCTTCTAAGCAGGATGGTGCAACATTCCGGTTTGTTCCGATATTTTAAAATTCACAACAAGGATAACGTTCAACTCTGGGTCTTGTTAACGGGAAAATCCGAGGGCTCCCTTGGACAAAAACAAAGACACCAACCAGGATTACTTGGAGCAAAACAGCAGCCTGTAGCCTTGGCCTTTATTGATCTGTTGCAACAGGGTGCTCCCCTCACCCGCAGGAGAGAGGAGGGACCCAGAAAAATGGTGTGCAAGGCCTTATAAAGACTTTTGAAATTCCCATTCTGTAGATCAAGACCACCCCCAGAAAAATCATACATACATCACAGAAGGGGTGTAACCTAAGTCCACCCCTCAGATACATCACACCTACATCACAGAAAAGGTGGTCTAAAACAGAAATGTGAATATTGTTTATCTCCTGTCTGGCAAGTTATTTGATTGGATTCCCTGGGGAGCCTGGCCAGTCTTTTGTAGTGATAAATACTTAGTTCCCGGGCCAGGTCACAGGCTCACACCCTATTCAAACACAGACATACCCTTAAGACAGGATTTGTGAAGGAAAAGACAATGGGGAGGCTTTTCCAGTTTGGCCTTGCAGAGAAAACATTTGCTCAGTTTAGGAACCAAAATGGTTCCAGGTCGGTCTTCCTGTGCTGATCTATGTATGTGCTTGGTTGGTACACCTATGAACATTACCATATATCTAAGACCATAAAATTCCTATCACAGTCTCCATCCCGGCCGAAAGGAAGGTCTGTTTCGGAGGAGAATCCAGGCCTTTTCCTCGTCGATATTTTGCTGCCAGGACTGATGAAAGACAACGATGCCCCGTCATGGATTTTTAAACGGAATCTGATCTCCCGGCTCCCGAAAAGGGAACTTGATCCGCTTGCAAAGAGATCTTCCGAAAGCCCGGCGAAAGAAAAGAGGTTAAAGAGGAGAGAGGCGTCTTATTACGACCAGAAAGAGAGAGGATTCGCTCCCCGGTTTGATCTTCAAAGCAAATTTCGTCAGAGAGGGAGCTTCTTAGACCCCAAACCGTTGCAGGGGTATCTTTCTACCCCCTTCGAAAAGGTCCAGCTGATTCAAGTAGGTTTTCGCTTTTCGAATGCATGTCTGCGCGTATATATTTTAATCAAAGCAATCCACAAGCTTCTGGGTGACACAGGATGCTTCTCCGCTCTCAAAAGGGCCACTTCGGCTCTCTGTTTGACCTGGTGGAGGGTCAAGTTGATTCAGATGGGTTTTGCCTTTTAAATGCATGTGTGTGCGTATATATTTTAATCAAAGCAATCTGCAAGCTTCTGGGTGACACAGGATTATTCTTCGTGTTCAAAAGAGCCACCACCGCTCTCTGTTTGACCCGGCGGAGGGTCAAGCTGATTCAGGTGGGATTTGCCTTTTAAATGCATGTGCGTGCATATATATTTTAATCAAAGCAATCTGCAAGCTTCTGGGTGACACAGGATTATTCTTCGTGTTCAAAAGAGCCACCACCGCTCTCTGTTTGACCCGGCGGAGGGTCAAGCTGATTCAGGTGGGTTTTGCCTTTTAAATGCATGTGCGTGCATATATATTTTAATCAAAGCAATCTGCAAGCTTCTGGGTGACACAGGATTATTCTTCGTGTTCAAAAGGGACATCTCGGCTCTCTGTTTGACCCGGTGGCTGATCAGTCCTTTGGAGGCTGATGGGGAAAAACTACAACCAAGAAAACTACACCTCCCAGAATCCTTTATTCCTTTCTTTTTTTTCCTCCTCCCCACGCCCTCCTCCCCACACATGCTCAAACCACAGGGAGAGAAAAGATCCGACAGGAAGAAAAGGAAGTTCAGAGAAAGGATTTGCAAGTTGCAAGGGGTAGAAAACTAAACAGCAACAAACAATGCCCTGACCCGGAATGAGCGGGCCGGATCCTGCTTGCAAAAAGCACCAAAACCGGCACGTTTGCAAAGCTCCTCTGCTCCCGGTCGCTCCTCCTCTGCAGCAACAAGAAAAAAGTTTTCCAGAAAGTAAGTTTTTTCCCCTTAAAAAGTTTGCATCCGCTTCGTTTTGCTTGTAAACCGTCTGAAATGAAACAAAAAACAGTGTGAAATAATCTGGCAAGCTTATAGATCTGTTACACATCAAGCCAGGCAAAAATTAATTCAGTCTGAATTAAATTTTGGGGTGGTTTGATGGCAACGACTGGCAACTTTCCTATAGCTGAGTTCTGTGTTTTTGTTTAATTTTTTGGGGTGGGTTTGGCCGTGTCCTTTTCAGTCCTTTGGGTCCAGGATGGTTTGTAAAGACTTTAAATAACAATAACCCTGTCTACTCCTAAGTAAACAAGCCACGCATACCCAGAATTCAATGCTTGCTTTTTTTAAAAAGGTTTGCAAAGCATTGCAATTCAGTTCTGACTTCAATCACCTGGGAGTAAGCCCTCCGCCCTTGAATTGTGTAAGGCTTACTTCTGAGTAGACTGGGTTAGACTTCCACCTTAAGGCTTGTAGGCACATATTGGATGTGGGAATCGCTGGGACTTTCTTTGGAGTAAACATGCGTGGATTTGCCTTGTGAAAAAGCACGCCCGGAATTTGGAATTCTGTTTGCAAAACCATTGATAGCTGCAAATATCTCTTAAATTTCTCAAATGCCTGGGGAACATTTAAGTCGCAGTTATTTTTTTAAAAAATAAAATAAACGAGTCCTGTTCTCCGGAAGAAAATCTGCAGACGGCAACCAAATTAATAATAATAATAATAATAATTTTTATTTATACCCCGCCCTCCCCAGCCAAGGCCGGGCTCAGGGCGGCTAACAAGTTGAATGAATGCAACTTAAAAACAAGATTAAAATATTGAAACATTAAAATATTAAAATGCAGCCAAATTGTGCCATTTCCTTCCTTTTCTCATCTCCGAAACCATTACCTGTCAGTTCCGTTGCCCTTGGTTTTTTAGCCGCTCTTCCTAAATTTAATTGATTCGACCGCCGTTAGCAAAACTTCTAAGTGCTTTTTACGAGAAGGGTTGGAACGACCTGCGAAGGATGAGTTCAAAAACCATTGGAAACGTTTTTTCTAAAAAAATAAAAGAAGGCAAAAAAATTAAAATCTGCAGTAAAGTAAAAAGTAAAAACATGTCTGGGCAGTTTTGCCTGAACAGAAACATTCCGAGCCGATTATCTTAGCGTATATCCTGAAGCACGTTGCAGTTGTCCAAAATTGCAACAAAGTTCAGTAAATTATAATATTTTTGGCTACTGTGAGGACAAAATACTGGACTAGATTTGCTTACTGCATTTATACCACACCTTTTCTTCTTAAACCACAGAGCCTAGGACTTGCCGATCAGAAGGTCGGCGGTTCGAATCCCCGCAATGACGGGGTGAGCTCCCGTTGCTCGGTCCCTGCTCCTGCCAACCTAGCAGTTCGAAAGCATGTCAAAGTGCAAGTAGATAAATAGGTACCGCTCCGGCGGGAAGGTAAACGGCGTTTCCATGCGCTGCTCTGTTTCTCCAGAAGCGGCTTCGTCCTGCTGGCCACATGACCCGGAAGCTGTACGCCGGCTCCCTCTGCCAGTAAAGCGAGATGAGCGCCGCAACCCCAGAGTCGGTAATGACTGGACCTAACGGTCAGGGGTCCCTTTACCTTTCTTCTTAAAACAGTGTGCTTTGCTCTTCCATGATCCCGGGCCCATTTAAATCCCGACGACAACCCTTCGAGGCTGGTTGGGTTTTGAGCATCAGCCCCCACCCCAAGCAGTACTAAAATCTCAGATACAGTGGTCCCTTGGTTCTCAACCTTAATCCGTTCCGGAAGTCCTCTCCGAAACCAAGGCGCGCTTTCCCATAGAAAGCAATGCAGAACGGATGAATCCACGCCGCACTTTTAAAAACAACCCCTAAAACAGCAATTGAACATGAATTTTACTGTCTAACGAGACCATCGATCCATAAAATGAAAGCAATAAACAATGTACTGCAGTCACACAATCAATCAATCCATCAGTAGCTGAATTGGGTTCCGCGCAAGAACAAAAACACAAAATAAATAGCAAAAACAGAGAGATCTCAGTGTAGCACTCAAATCGGAAGCGTAACACTCAAAACGGAGCGCGTTCAGCTTCTGAAAATAGTTTGCAAACCGGAACACTTCCTTCCGGGTTTGCAGTGTTTGGGTTCCAAGTTGTTTGAGAACCAAGGCGTCTGAGGACCAAGGGACCACCGTATAACAAAAATACAAAATAGTGTGAGCGTCCGCAAGTCTGTTCCATGCCTCCATTTCCACATTCCAATCTGCAACATCTGTGCTTATTTATTTTTTAAACGCTGTTACACATTTAGGGTAAACACTAGCAATTAATAAATAATGATATTTTGTGATGCGGAAGGAGAATGCAGGCTGCAAATGAATTCCTAGGGTTAGTGAAGAGGAAACATAACTGTACATTTTTGCTCATTTTACCGGGGTAACCTGGGGGATTTCTAGCACAGACCCCCAAGGGAGCTTTACGGCCAGGTGGGTGGTAGGATTTGAATTTGGGTCTCCCCGGAGCCCGGTCCTGTATGCTCGCTTTTGTTTTCAAGTGTAGGGCTATTCCTTCCCCCATCATGACCGACAGCGAGATGGAATTCAAGTCGGAGGCGAATTCGGTGACCGACCCCCCAGAGACCCTCTCCATGGACTTAGAGGAACGCATGGCGACAGACCCCGATGCCCCCCCAAAACCCGGAACAGATGCTTCTTCCGTCTGGGAACAGCCCGGTCCCTCTCCCGGCAGTCTGCAAGCCCCTGTTCCAAAAGGAGAATCCGGGATCTCCGAATTGGCGGCGCCCGAGACCCAGAGCGGCTCAGATATTGCCAAACGATCCGATTGGCTTTTGAATCCGCCGGATTCCAGCCCCCAAGGTTACAATCAAGCAGTCAGCCAGGGCTGCAGGTAAAATCCGTTTTTAAACTTCATACAAGTCGCTGCCGCAAAGCAGGGATCGGGATTGCCTTTCCCGTTTCGCTGAAATGGTGCACTGGGGGGCGGTCACTCCTGGCGCGAAACACAGCCCCCCAGGGCGGTTGAAGTGGGGCAGACCGCCACGGCACAGGACTCCTGGGCCCCCAGACACTGCCAGAGGAGGTTCAAGGTTCTCGTATCGTCCCATACGAGTCTGCCTGGGTTTTGAGATCTTTGGAGAGCCCCCTCTCTCGGTTCCACTTGGTGGGGATGAAGAACAGGGCCTTCTCGGTGTTGGCTCCTCCCAGGCAACTTTGGGATCTTTGGAGAGGCCCTTCTCTCGGTCCTGCTTGGTGGGGATGCAGGAAAGGGCCTTCTTGGAGTTGGCTCCTCCCAGGCAACTTTGGAACTCCCTGCCTAGGGAAACTAGGCTGGCTCCCTTCTCGTCATCCTTCTGGTGGCAGCTGAAAACCTTCCTGTTCCACCAACAGGCTCTTGGGAGCTGATGTGTGATATTCTGATTAAGGGTGGTATAACCATTTATTACTTTCTAGGGTTTAGGGTGGCGCTGTGGGTAAAAGCCTCAGCGCCTAGGACTTGCCGATCGAAAGGTCGGCGGTTCAAATCCCCGCGGCGGGGTGCGCTCCCGTTGCTCGGTCCCAGCGCCTGCCAACCTAGCAGTTCAAAAGCACTCCCGGGTGCAAGTAGATAAATAGGGACCGCTTACTAGCGGGAAGGTAAACGGCGTTTCCGTGTGCGGCTCTGGCTCGCCAGATGCAGCTTGTCACGCTGGCCACGTGACCCGGAAGTGTCTTCGGACAGCGCTGGCTCCCGGCCTCTTGAGTGAGATGGGCGCACAACCCTAGAGTCTGTCAAGACTGGCCCGTACGGGCAGGGGTACCTTTACCTTTACCTTAAGGATTTAAAGGGATTTAAAGGTCTGAACCACAGAGCCTAGGACTTGCCGATCAGAAGGTTGGCGGTTTGAATCCCCGCAATGATGGGGTGAGCTCCCGTTGCTCGGTCCCTGCTCCTGCCAACCTAGCAGTTCGAAAGCACGTCAAAGTGCAAGTAGATAAATAGGTACCGCTCTGGCGGGAAGGTAAACGGCGTTTCCATGCGCTGCTCTGGTTCGCCAGAAGCGGCTTAGTCCTGCTGGCCACATGACCCGGAAGCTGAATGCCGGCTCCCTCGGCCAGTAAAGCGAGATGAGCGCCGCAACCCCAGAGTCGGCCACGACTGGACCTAATGGTGAGGGGCCCCTTTACCCTTTACAACTGAAATTCCAAGACGTATCTGGGATCTGCCCGTCAGAAACAAAATCGGTAAATATGTCCGGGGCAACCTATGTCAGGATCAGGGCCGGATTTAGGTTGGATGAGGCCCTAAGCTACTAAAGGGAATGGGGCCCTTTATATGTCCAGCTGTCCTTTGTCAACAACAAATTGTCGCTGTTTTTGTGTGTGTTGAATATATGCTAAATGGTCATTTATGGACCTAATAGGTATCTCAAGCCATTTGCACATATTGCCGTGCAACCAGTCCATGCAGAATGTCGGCACCCTATATATAGAAAGGAGCAAACCAGGGATATTTTAGGGAGCAGGAAGGTCCCATGACTTACATCCTAGGAGCCTACACAACACAAAACACTCTTGCTGCAGGTAGCTTTTATTTTATTTGTTTTTTATCTTCTATTTTGGAAATGTACATCCAGGTTTTTTCCTTTAAATTTTTTTGGACACCCCCAAGAGAGCGGGGCCCTAAGCTACAGCTTCTTTAGCTTATACGTAAATCCGGCACTGGTCGGAAGTGTTGATTTTTTGGCAGACAACTAAAAATCTTCAATGTTTTGGAGATTTTGCAAAACAAAGCTCAACAAAGCTTTTGTAAAAAAAAAACAAGCAGCTTTTGTGCCTGTATTTTCACTTTTTGAAATATGGAAACACTTAATAATAGTAACAGCTACAACAACAAATGGCTTTTTTAAAGGAAACGGCTAGTGCTGCGATGCATCCATTGTAATTATCTGCATGTACTTATGTAGATTTGGACATTATGTAGATTTGGACATATGTACATTTGGGCTCGCCACTTAGACAGGGTTTTGTTTTGGAGGCTCTCAAAAGTTTCATTCCTGCAGACATTTCAGAACCGACTGCGAAACGACACCCCTGACTTATATATATATATATATTTTGGTGTTCTCGGGTGTCTTCCCGTGTAAAAGTTGGGGTGTCTAGGCGACGTTTCGACGAGGTCTCACTCGTCGCCTAGACACCCCAACTTTTACACGGGAAGACACCCGAGAACACCAAAACCTGCATTCCTGTACCCGTGAAAATCTACGAAAGCAATATATATATTTATATATATATTTATTTTATATATATTATTTATCTCATATATGTATATATATATATATAGGGACGCGGGTGGCGCTGTGGGTAAAAGCCTCAGCGCCTAGGGCTTGCCGATCGAAAGGTCGGTGGTTCAAATCCCCGCGGCGGGGTGCACTCCCGTTGCTCGGTCCCAGCGCCTGCCAACCTAGCAGTTTGAAAGCACCCCCGGGTGCAAGTAGATAAATAGGGACCGCTTACTAGCGGGAAGGTAAACGGCGTTTCCGTGTGCGGCTCTGGCTCGCCAGAGCAGTGATGTCACGCTGGCCACGTGACCCGGAAGTGTCTCCAGACAGCGCTGGCCCCCGGCCTCTTAAGCGAGATGGGCGCACAACCCCAGAGTCTGTCAAGACTGGCCCGTACGGGCAGGGGTACCTTTACCTTTTATATATATATATTTAACATAAATTATAAAATGTACCACAAAACTTATCACTTATACAATCTTTTTTAGACTTCCATCAGCACCTCTGATGATCCACCGTTTTAACCACTTCTTTTATGCATTTCTTAACTTTATATTGCCTTTACATCTCTTAACAAATCATCCTTCCCCTTCTCCATTTTTGCAACACTCCTCACAAAACTTCCTGCAAACCTACAAACGTCGTCTGATCTTCACAGATATCTTTTCAAGTAGTCCGTAAATTTACTCCAGTCTTCCGTGAATTTCTGGTCCCGCCGGTTTCGAATCCTTCCTGTTAGTTTATCTAATTCTGCATAGTCCATTAACTTCATCCTCCATTCTTCAATCGTCGGTAATTCTTCTTGCTTCCATTTTTGGGCCGGTAATATTCTTGCTGCTGTTATTGCATATAAAAAGAGCTGACATTCCTTTCTGTTTACATCACTCCCCACAATGCCCAGACACCCCTGACTTCTCAGAGGGCTGAACCTTGCTTTTCCTCCAGCAGGGACTCAATGGAGGCGTCTCCCGAACCCGTGTCCGGGGACCCCGGCTGGACGCCGGGCCCCCAAGAAGCCTTGGAGGAAAGCAACCTGCAGCCCGCAGCCCCGGCCGAGCTTCTCGTAGAAATGGAAGATGCGGACATCGCCCGGGAGGAAGAGGAAGACGCCCCGGATTCCGATCACCTACATCTTCACGGCCTCCTGACCCGCCTGCAGCGACTCAGCCCGAATTTCGAGGACCGTTCGCCCACGTCCGAAGACGGGTTGCTGGCCGCCTCTGACGGCGAAGAAAGCCGTGTTTCCGAAGGCGACGGAGACCCTCTCCTGGCGCCCGAAGAGTGCCAGGGGACCCCTTGCCCGCTCCACATCGCCACGGGGCACGGGATGGGGGGTCCGCCGCGCCCGCGGAGGGGGCGAGGGTTGCTGTCGGCGGAGGTTGAGAGCGAGGATCTTCTCAGCCTCCTTCGCTACGAACGGGGGCCGCCTGCCGACGTGGGCGCCGAGACGCCCTTGGCTCGCTCGGACGCGGTGGCTGGGAGCAGCCGCCCCGGGGCGACGGCCCCAGGGGAATTGGCCTCGGACAGGGCTCAAGGGGAAGGCCCCCGCCGATGGAAGGAGCCACCTCTCTCCTCCGCTGATTCCGTTTTGGGGGGACCTTCGCCGGAGCTGGGATGGAGGCGGCCGGCGCCGGGGTCTGCCCACGAGGAAGAGGCGTCCTGCTCTTCAGACATGGTGGTAAGGATCTTGCGAGGGGCACACCTTGTCCCAGGTTGAAGCACAAATGTCAGTCACCGTAGTAGTAGTAGTAGTAATAATAATAATAATAATAATAATAATAATAATAATAGATTAATTTTATTGTTTATACCCTGCCCATCTGGCTGGGTTTCCCCAGCCACTCTGGGCAGCTCCCAACAGAAAATTAAAAACACGGTAAAATGTCAAACGTTAAAAACTTCCCTAAACAGGGCTGCCTTCGGATGTCTTCTAAAAGTCAAATAGATGTTTATTCCCTTGACATCTGGTGGGAGGGCGTTCCACAGAGCGGGTGCCACCACCGAGAAGGCCCTCTGCCTGGTTCCCTGTAACCTCGCTTCTCGCAGTGAGGGAACCGCCAGAAGGCCCTCGGGAGATGGACCCCGGTGTCCGGGATGGACGATGGGGGTGGAGACGCTCCTTCAGGGATACTGGGCCATTTAGGGCTTTCAAGGTCAGCCCCAACACTTTGAATTGTGCTCGGAAACGTCCTGGGAGCCAATGTAGGTCTTTCAGGACCAGGGTTATGTGGCCTCGGCGGCCGCTCCCAGTCACCAGTCTGGCTGCCGCATTCTGGATTAGTTGCAGTTTCCGGGTCACCTTCAAAGGTAGCCCCACGAAGAGCGCATGGCAGTAGTCCAAGCGGGAGATAACCACAGCATGCACCACTCTGGCCAGACAGTCTGCGGGCAGAGAGGGTCTCATCCTGCATACCAGGTGGACACAGAACTGATCTGCGCCTCCATGGACAGCTGTGAGTCCAAAATGACTCCCAGGCTGCGCACCTGGTCCTTCAGGGGCACAGTTACCCCATTCAGGACCAGGGAGTCCCCCACACCTGCCCGCCCTCTGTCCCCCCAAAACAGTACTTCTGTCTTGCCAGCATTCAACTTCAATCTGTTAGCCGCCGTCCAGTGGTGTAGACAGAGCAAGGGCCTTTAAGAAAATAAGGGAGCTTTCATTTGACTTTGCTTTTTATATGCACGCCGCCTTTCTGCGTCACGAGGCAGTTTGCAAGCTAACTAAGCAACGTTCGAAGGAGGATGTAACCAACCGTGAACGTCTTGTCTCCCTCTTTGAACAGGATAAAGCGGATTTGTCGTCCTTGCCGACTTACAGGGAAGGTGAGCGAAGGAGGTTGTAAATGAAAATTTGCCCTTTTCCCTTATGGGGTATCCAAGAGCCCATATAGAGTCCTTACATAGGTTCCCTATTGGAAGGAGAGAATAACAGAGGCCAAGCAGAGAATATTGAGAAGCAAAGCAGCTATTAAGCCTGATCTTTATTGATCTGTTGCAACAGGGTACTCCCCTCACACGCAGGAGAGAGGAGGGACCCAGAAAAATGCCATGCAAGGCCTTATAAAGACTTTTGAGATTGCCACCCTGTAGATCCAGACCACGCCCAGAAACATCATACATACATCACAGAAGGGGTGTAACCTAAGACCACCCCTCAGATACATCACACCTACATCACAGAAAAGGCGGTCTAAAACAGAAATTTGAATGTTGTTTTTCTCCTGTCCTTGTTTATCTCCTGTCTGGCAGGTTACTTGACTGGATTTCCTGGGGAGCCTGGCCAGTCTTTTGTAGTGATAAATACTTAGTCCCTGGGCCAGGTCACAGGCTCACACCCTATTCAAAGACAGACATACCCTTAAGAGAGGATTTGTGAAGGAAAAGACAATGGGGAGGCTTTTCCACTTTGACCTTGCAGAGAAAACATTGGCTCAGTTTAGGAACCAAAATGGCTTCTGGTCGGTCTTCCTGTGCTGATCTGTGTACATGCGGTTATGAACATTACCGTATATCTAAGACCTCAAAATTCCTATCATAATCTCATACAGAAAGGAGGGGAGTTGCTCTCGTTCCAGCTGCAGAACATCCCCCATGTGGACTAGAAACTTGAGGGAAAGTTTTTTTTTTGCTTTGTTCCATTCCACGTTCCGTTAAGAAACGGGCCCTTTCGTCGTTTAATCCAGTCCCAGGCCCCTGCGAGCCCGAAGATCTGCTGGACGGCGTGATCTTCGGAGCCAAGTACCTGGGCTCCACGCAGCTGGTCTCGGAAAGGAACCCACCCACCCACGTCCGCATGGCCCAAGCCCAGAAAGCCGTGGACAGGATCAAGGTGAGATCCTGGAGGAGCATCTTCCTCCAGAGATGTGTTGCTGTAGAGGCAGCTTTGGTCCAATCCAGCAAAGGATCCTTTAGCATTCCTAATTCCACCCAAGCGGAGCCTCCAGTCTATCTCTCTCGGCGCCTGCTGGCAGGGGCAGAGTGGAAGAGGTCTGTGGCCTTTCTGTTGGGGCACTCTGGCTGTTCACCTCTGGAAGCAGGATGTGGGGCTAAAGGGGTCTGTGATCCAGTCCATGTTGCTCCCTCTGCTGGCCATCACTTGCCGCATGTTATTCCATTTGCCGGTCATCACTTGCCCCACTTTGCTTAATTTCCCAGCCATCACTTGCCCCATGTTGCTCCTTCTCCCAGCCATCACTTGCCCCACTTCGCTTAATCCCCTAGCCATCACTTGCCCCATGTTGCTCCCTCTGCCGGCCATCACTTGCTCCACTTTGCTTAATCTCCCAGCCATCACTTGCCCCATGTCTCTCCATCTCCCAGCCATCACTTGCCCCATGTCTCTCCATCTCCCAGCCATCACTTGCCCCATGTCTCTCCTTCTCCCAGCCATCACTTGCCCCATGTCTCTCCATCTCCCAGCCATCACTTGCCCCATGTCTCTCCATCTCCCAGCCATCACTTGCCCCATGTCTCTCCATCTCCCAGCCATCACTTGCCCCATGTCTCTCCATCTCCCAGCCATCACTTGCCCCATGTCTCTCCATCTCCCAGCCATCACTTGCCCCATGTCTCTCCATCTCCCAGCCATCACTTGCCCCATGTCTCTCCATCTCCCAGCCATCACTTGCCCCATGCTGCTCCCTCTGCCAGCCATCACTTGCCCCACGTCTCCATTTCCCAACCACCCCGTCTCTCTATTTCCCGGCCATCGCTTGCCTCAAGACGCCTGCCTTTGCGTTACAGGCCCCCGAAGGAGAATCGCAACCCATGACGGAGGTGGATCTCTTCATCTCCACGCAGAGGATCAAGGTCCTGACGGCCGACTCCCAGGTGCGTCCCTTTGCGGGCTTCCGGGTAGCCTAGCAGCATAGGCGGAAGCGGGGCTCGAGTTCGAGGATTCGCCAGGAATTTCCGAGCGCCAGAAACACTTGGCCAAAGCCTGGCTCCTATTCCTTTTGACGTCTCTCCTTCCTGTCCCCCTCTCCGCTCCCAGGAGGCGATGATGGACCACCTATTGCAAACTATTTCCTACATCGCTGACATTGGGAACATCGTGGTTCTCATGGCCCGCCGGAAACTTCCTCGCCGGGCCGACGCCTCTGCCGAAAAGCAACTCTACAAGATGATCTGCCACGTCTTCCACTCGGCGGATGTGAGCCTGGGGAAATCGGGGGCCGGGGGAGAACCTCGGGGGCCGTATATGTGTGTGAGGTCCCGTGTAGAAATGGAAAGGAGAATAATAATAATAATAATAATATAATATATAATAATTATTATTATTATTATTATTATTATTATTATTTATTTATACCCCGCCCATCTGGCTGAGTTTCCCCAGCCACTCTGGGCGGCTCCCAATCAAGTGTTAAAAACAGTACAGTGTTAAATATTAAAAACTTCCCTGAACAGGGATGCCTTCAGATGTCTTTTGAAGATAGGATAGCTGCTTATTTCCTTCTGAAGGGAGGGCGTTCCACAGGGCGGGTGCCACCACCGAGAAGGCCCACTGTCTGGTTCCCTGTAACCTCACTTCTTTCAGCGAGGGAACCGCCAGAAGGCCCTCGGGAGATGGACCCCGGTGTCCGGGCAGAATGATGGGGGTGGAGACGCTCCTTCAGGTATACTTGGGCCGTTTAGGGCTTTCAAGGTCAGCACCAACACTGTGAATTGTGCTCAGAAACGTCCTGGGAGCCAATGGAGATCTTTCAGGACTGGTGTTATGTGGTCTCGGCGGCTGCTCCCAGTCACCAGTCTAGCTGCCGCATTCTGGATTAATTGAAGTTTCCCGGTCACCTTCAAAGGTAGCTCCACGGAGAGCGCGTTGCAGTAGTCCAAGCGGGAGATAACCAGAGCATGCACCACTCTGGCGAGACAGTCCGCGGGCAGGGAGGGTCTCATCCTGCGTACCAGATGGAGCTGCCCTGGACGCAGAATTGACCTGCGCCTCCATGGACAGCTGTGCGTCCAAAATGACTCCCAGGCTGCGCACCTGGTCCTTTGGGGGCACAGTCGCCCCATTCAGGACCAGGGAGTCCCCCACACCTGCCCGCCTCCTGTCCCCCAAAAACAGTCCTTCTGTCTTGTCAGGATTCAACCTCAATCTGTTAGCCGCCATCCATCCTCCAACCGCCTCCAGGCACTCACACAGGACCTTCACTGGTTCTGATTTAAAGGAGAGGTAGAATGCAGAGAGCTGTGTTTTGAAATCAAGTTTCTAGTCCATATGACAAGCGATAAATAGTAAGTGGAATATAGCAACAGGGTGGATTTGATTGACATGAAATCAATTTAAATCGCTGGTCGGTAAGACTTGATTCAAATCTCCCCCCCCCCCCCATAGACTCGTTTTTGTTGGTCTTATCTTAATATTGACAAGTAGAGGAAGGTTTCGGTTTTTTGGAATAATGAATTTTCAGAGCAGTTTTTACAGCAATATAAAAAATGACTGATTTGGTTTTACTATCAGAAATACATAGATAATGATGAAATGATTGTGAGGCTTAGTAAGTTAACTGTTTATATTTGGGCAACTTTTCCGCTGTACTTTATTGGAGGGAGAAAAACAATCATTTCCTTAATGACAATTTAAACAATTTATTTAACTAAAACAATGACATTATAGCGTTTGTATCCATGTTTGTTAACTGATGTGGTTAAACAATTTTATTTTATTAAAAAACAGACTGAGTTTTAGCACACGTGAAAAACTTAACGCCAATCCTTTTTTCCTGATGAATAGCCTTTGGACTATAATGTAACTGAAACAGAAAACCTTCAGAAAGATTTCCCCCCAAATAGTATTTTATTTTAAAAATGCGATTTAAATAAAAATATCCCATTTACATAAAAAAATCAGATTTTTTAAGTTTGATTTTTAAAATTCAAATTGTATTTTTTTTAATTTAAATTTTTAAAAATCAAATAAAAAATCATTGATTTTTATCTGCTCTGTATGACAATAATAATTTTAGTCACAACCATGCCGACGGTGATGTTGTTATTGTTGACGGCTCAGTCAGTAGATCATGCGACTTTTAACCCTGCGGTCCTGGGTTCGAGTTCCGCGCCGGAAACCTGCCTTCTCCTTCCGCAGGCTCCCTTGATAGCCCAAGCTATCGGCCAAGCTTTCAGCGTCGCGTACCAGCAGTTCCTGAGGGCTAGCGGCATCGACCCCGACCAACTCCACCCCCGGCGGTGCGGCGACGACAAGGGCGACGAAAGCTTCGTCCCGGGGGAAGAGCTGTACAACGGCGATTTGGCGCACTTCTCCAAGCAAGAGAACTGTAAGGAAGTAAGGACGGATCTTTCCCCTCCTCTCCCTGGAGGTGGGTGGGCAGAGAGCTCACCTGTCTTGTAGGGGGTTGGTCTAGATTAAATAATAAATAATAATAATTTATTATTTGTACCCCACCCATCTGGCTGGGTTTCCCCAGCCACTCTGGGCGGCTTCCACAAAGACCAAAAATTACACTAAGATGTCACACGTTAAAAACTTCCCTGAACAGGGCTGCCTTCAGATGTCTTCTGAATGTCAGGTAGTTGTTTATCTCTTTGACATCTGATGGGAGGGCGTTCCACAGGGCGGGCGCCACCACCGAGAAGGCCCTCTGCCTGGTTCCTTGTAGCTTTGCTTCTCGCAATGAGGGAACCGCCAGAAGGCCCTCGGAGGTGGACCTCAGTGTCCGGGCTGGACGATGGGGGTGGAGACGCTCCTTCAGGTATACTGGGCCGTTTAGGGCTTTCAAGGTCAACACCAACACTTTGAATTGTGCTCGGAAATGTCCTGGGAGCCAATGTAGGTCTTTCTGGACCGGTGTTATGTGGTCTCCACTCCCAGTCCCCAGTCTAGTTGCCGCATTCTGGATTAGTTGCAATTTCTGTGTCACCTTCAAAGGTAGCCCCATGTAGAGCGCATGGCAGTAGTCCAAGCGGGAGATAACCAGAGCATGGACCACTCTGGCAAGACAGTCCATATGCAGGGAGGGTCTCATCCTGCGTACCAGATGGAGCTGCCCTGGACACAGAACTGACCTGCGCCTCCATGGACAGCTGTGAGTCCAAAATGACTCCCAGGCTGCGCACCTGGTCCTTCAGGGACACAGTCACCCCATTCAGGACCAGGGAGTCCTCCACACCAGCCTGCCCCCTGTCCCCCAAAAAGCCACCTTAGTTACTCACCCCATCACGGGGATTTGAACTGCCGACCTTCCGATCGGCAAGCCCTAGGCTCTGTGGTTTAACCCACAGCGAAGATCATTTAGGCGCTGACAAATTAGACTGCTTGCTTGACTAAAGCCCAAAGTGAGCAGCTGTTATGGGATAAACCACAAGAGGGAAATTTTGGATAGACGCACTGAAAGATCACCCATTTCCTACAGACGTGGCGCCGCACTGATTCCTGCCCTGTGTTTCTGTTGCAGGTTGTCATCCACAAACAGAAGGGGGAGATCCTGGGCGTCGTGATCGTGGAGTCGGGCTGGGGCTCCATCCTGCCCACCGTGGTGGTGGCTAACCTCATGCACAAAGGTGCAGCGGAGCGGTCAGGGAAGCTGAGCATTGGGGACCGCATCATGTCAGCCAACGGGACCAGCCTGGTGGGGTTGCCCCTGGCTTCCTGCCAGGGCATAATACGGGTGAGCGATGGCGGAGGAAGAGACTCTCTTTCCTTCCCAGGGCTGGTGGGACGCAGAGCACCGGCTGGGGAACGCCAAAGGGAAGAAGGCTCAGAGTCTGGGAAGCGGTGGAGGGACGATGATACGTGGTGATACGCCCATAGCTGTCAACCGTCCCGTATTTGGCGGGAAAGTCCCTTATCCCAGCGCCGTGTCCCGCTGCTGTCCCTTATTGATGATGTCCCTCAAATTTCCCGGGTTTCGAAGGAAGCAGCTCCTCTCCCTCCCTCCCTGCCGGCCAGGGAGGAGGGAGGCTCCAACTGGGTTGCTTGGCTGTGTTGCTCACCCAATAAGGAGTCTAAGAATGACTGGGGGGTGGAGCTTGCATGCCTTGTGCCAATCAAGTCGTCCGTGTTGCCTGGGGACTCGCCTTTGCTCAGTGCTTCCCAGCGGAGAGGGGACGGTGGTTTTCCTTGCTGCATCCGCTTTGCCGGGTTGCTGCGCTGTGGGAACCACCGCTTGAGGCTTCCTTTGGCTGCTAGCTGGGCTTTCTGCCTTTGGCTTGGAGTGGCTCAGAAGTTGGAACATACCTGTGCTCCGAAAATCCCTTATTTTGGCTGCTGATCCCTTATTTTCGAGGCTGCTGGCCCCTTATTTTCAAATCTGTAAGTTGACAGCTACGGATACGTGTGGTCTAAACCACCGAGCCTCTTGGGCTTGCCGATCGGAAGGTCGGCGTTCGAATCCCCGCAATGACGGGGTGCGCTCCCGTTGCTTGGTCCCTGCTCCTGCCAACCTAGCAGTTCAAAAGCACGCCGGCGCAAGTAGATAAATAGGTACCGCTGTAAGCCAGCTATTCAAATTTCTGCACTCTCCCTTCCCAGGATTTGAAAAGCCAGACTGTGGTGACCCTCAGCGTGGTCCACTGTCCGCCCGTCACCACCGCCATCGTGCGGAGACCTGATGCGAAATACCCGCTGGGGTTCTGCGTGGAGAACGGCATTGTGAGTAACTTAGGGGGCTCGAGCGAGCGAGCCAGGCTGCGTGGTGAAAAGTTTTGCGGGGTGTTTTTTGGAAGGTAGGGAGGGATTGGAGTGAATTTAAATAACAAAGCAACTTGCAAACAGGGCTGCGTTAAGACCTTTGGAGGCCCATAACACTTGAAAGATTTGCATAAATATGCATATATCATATGTGCATATATCAAATATGCATAAATATATACATGTATGCATATATATATGGGACACGGGTGGCGCTGTGGGTTAAACCACAGAGCCTAGGACTTGCCGATCAGAAGGTCGGTGGTTCGGATCCCCGCGACGGGGTGAGCTCCCGTTGCTCGGTCCCTGCTCCTGCCAACCTAGCAGTTCGAAAGCACACCAGCGCAAGTAGATAAATAGGTACTGCTCCTGCGGGAAGGTTAACGGTGTTTCCGTGCGCTGCTCTGGTTTGCCAGAAGCGGCTTAGTCCTGCTGGCCACATGACCCGGAAGCTGTACGCCGGCTTCCTCGGCCAGTAAAGCGAGATGAGCGCCGCAACCCCACGGTTGGTCACGACTGGACCTAACGGTCAGGGGTCCCTTTACCTTTACCCAACTCTTAAACAGGGTCCCTCTGCCTTCTTCCTGCTCCAGATCTGCAGCCTCATGCGAGGGGGGATCGCCGAGAGGGGCGGGATCCGCGTGGGACACCGGATCATCGAGATCAACGGGCAGAGCGTGGTGGCCATGCCACACGAGAAGATCATCCAGATCTTGACGCAGGCGGTCAGCGAGGTGGGCGTCAAAGCATCCCTCCTCAGCAAAGGATTATTTATCGAGATGCTGAATTTGCAAGTACAGGAACGCCCCCAAATTGCACGCATTTGGCTTCACGGGCAGAGCAAAAAAATTAAAAAAGGGGTCAGCCTTCTGAGAGGGGTCGGAAACTTTGACAATCTGTAGGGGTGTGGGGTTTTTGTGTGGAAGTAGTAGTAGTAGTAATAATAATAATAATAATAATAATAATAATAATAATAATAATAATAATAATAATAGTTTATTTATACCCTGCCCATCTGGCCAGGTTTCCACAGCCACTCTGGGCAGCTCCCAACAGAATGTAAAAAACACGATAAAACCTCAAGCATTAAAAACTTCCCTAAACAGGGCTGCCTTCAGGTGTCTTCTAAATGTTGTTTAGTTGTTTATTTCCTTGACATCTGCTGGGAAGGTGTTCCACAGGGCGGGCGCCACCACCAAGAAGGCCCTCTGCCTGGTTCCCTGTAGCTTTGTTTCTCGCAATGAGGGAACCGCCAGAAGGCCCTCGGAGCTGGACCTCAGTGTCCGGGCAGGAACAATGGGAGTGGAGACACTCCTTCAGGTCTACTAGGGCCGTTTAGGGCTTTCAAGGTCAGCACCAACACTTTGAATTGTGCTCGGAAACATCCTGGGAGCCAATGCAGATCTCTCAGGACCGGTGTTATATGGTCTCGGCGGCCCGCTCCCAGTCCCCAGTCTGGCTGCCACATTCTGGATTAGTTGCAGTTTCCGGGTCACCTTCAAAGGTAGCCCCACGTAGAGTGCATGGCAGTAGTCCAAGCGGGAGATAACCAGAGCATGCACCACTCTGGCGAGACAGTCTGCGGGCAGGGAGGGTCTCATCCTGCAAACTGTCTTCTCAAGCCTGGGTTGGGCATGGGAAGGCACCAGGAAAGCCAATTTCTGTTTTTCACTTTTCACCATAATCGTTTTTCACAGTGCAAGAATTCAACATTTTATTAAACGCGTAGCCAAAGTAGTACAATAGGAGTATAAATGTAAGTGACTTGCATTTGAAATCAGCATTGGAAGAACGTATAAGAACAGCTGAAAAAATCTCACGCAACAGAAAATGGCCAAAAAAAATTTGTTCCCCAGTGATATCGCTTTAATGCAAACACCCCTTGTGTCCTTTTTTATTCCAGGTCCACATCAAAACCATGCCGGCATCAACCTTACCGTCTTCTGACCGGACAGGAACAACCCGTTTTCCTATGAAGGAAGGTGTTTTCTTGGGGCGGCGGCAAATCTACACCTGCTTAACAAGTTGCATGCAACCCCTTCTCGCTTCGCAAACCAGACTCTGTGCACCAAAAGCGGCCTTCTCTGAATTCAGACCTGCCCGCCTCTCAACGGAACTTTTTCTCCACCCGGAGTCACAGGAAAAAAAGGTTTTATTTTTGCTTTAACTGGGAGCGTGTGTTTGTGTGCGGTTAATTTTGGGGTGCTGGTAAATTGTCCATCTTCAAGCGTTGCCCTGCAATGTTCGTTGCGGAGATGTGGGTTTTTCTGTGTGTGTGTGTGTGGAATTGTTTTCTGGGTCGGGATATGGGAAGCCGCTAAGAAGCAGTGGGAGAAAGGCTGCACCCCATCACGCTGCTGGTGGATAAATAGTTTTTATATATTGAAATAAATGCTGCCCTTGTGTTAAAATTGGCATGTCCTGGAAATAAGGGGAAAGAGAATAGCAGCGAAGGGATTACGCAGGAACTGTTTTTTTCCTTGAGGTGCTGGATTTCCTGATTGCGTGGAAACAATTTTTTCCCTTGAGGTGCTAGATTTCTCCTTGCAGGGAGGTTGGGTTATATATTATAAAGAAACAAAATTCTTTGTAGTGGGGCAGTCTACACCCACCTCACTGCTCTACTGTCTTTATTGAATAGACCAAATTTCTCCACCCCCCTCTCTCTCTCTCTCTCTCACACACACACACACACATACACACTCAGTCCTGCCGTGTGTTAAAAACTTTGGCGGCTGCTCTTTGCAACAAGAAACAAGTCTAAAGCAAAACTTGCAGAAGGCGTCCATCCACAAACCTTTCAGTAAGGAGTGGGAATGGGCTGCCTTGCTGATCGTCAGACAAAATGCTAATAAACAAATAGGTCTGGACCGATTTATCACTTCACAAGGGTGTGAGCGAATGCAAAAAAAAATAAAATCTGCGTTTCCTGCAGTCGGAAATCCAGCATCTCAGGGTAAAAGGTTAGAGCAGAGCCTAACCTGGCAGTTTGTAGTTGTTGTATTTTAGAAAAAAACTTTAGGGTGAGCACATGGAAAATACCGTATTTTTTGCTCTATAAGACTCACTTTCTCCCTCCTAAAAAGTAAGGGGAAATGTGTGTGCGTCCTATGGAGCGAATGCAGGCTGCGCAGCTATCCCAGAAGCCAGAACAGCAAGAGGGATTGCTGCTTTCACTGCGCAGCGATCCCTCTTGCTGTTCTGGCTTCTGAGATTCAGAATATTTTTTTTCTTGTTTTCCTCCTCCAAAAACTAGGTGCGTCTTGTGGTCTGGTGCATCTTATAGAGCAAAAAATACGGTATTTTTTGGGGGGGGAGTGTTGTGCCTGCAAGGTTGCACTAAGGCAGCTGCCGGTTTGAGCTGGGAGGCAAGGCTCCTTTGAATCTGGGTTTTCCCATCCAAAGTCAGCCTTCTCTGTTTTTCCTATCCCCCCCTCTCCACTGGTGTGTGGACGACTGCAATTTCCCCCAGCTTGAGAGGCGCTTTTAAGCAGGGAAGTGGTTGGGAGGGTCAAATAGGCCCTCGCCAGCATACCGTATTTTTCGCCCCTTAGGACGCACTTTCCCCCCTCCAAAAATGAAGGGGAAATGTGTGTGCGTCCTATGGGGCGAATGCAGGCTTTCGCTGAGGCCTGGAGAGCGAGAGGGGTCGGTGCGCACCAACCCCTCTCGCTCTCCAGGCTTCAGGAAGCTATCCGCAAGCCTTCGGAGCGCGGCGGGAGTTCCCCACCGGGCTCCGAAGGCTTGCGGATAACAGCCTGCAGCCCAAAGGAAAAAATATGGTATTTTCTCTGCTCAAACAGGCAGCCTCCTGTGACTGTCTCATTTTAACATAGCTTTCAGCACCTGAGAAATACCGTATTTTTTGCCCCATAGGACGCACCGGCCCATAGGACGCATCAGGTTTTTTTGGGGGGAAATAAAGAAAAAAAATTTATTTCCCCCCAGGCGCTTGTGGGGCCGGCAGCGGGGAGAAGCGCTCTTCTCCCCACAGCCCGCCTTCAGATCAGGTCCGGGGACAGCGGGAAGACGCGCTGCGCCTCCCCACTGTCCCCGGAGCTTGCGGGGTTGGCGCTGGGGCTCTCCTGAGGCCTGCATTCGCCCCATAGGACGCACACACATTTCCCCTTCATTTTTGGAGGGGGAAAAGTGCGTCCTATAGGGCGAAAAATACGGTACTCATTTCTCCACTTACAATTCTGACAAACAACTCGCTTTAACTTCCCGATTTCTCTCTTCTGAGAAACGACCTGCGAAGCTCCGTTGAGGATCTCCAGGAAAAGCTATCTGGAGTTTTCAGCTCCCGCCTCCCTGACCCAAACCCTGACACACACACACACAAAAACCCAGAACTGAAACACAGCTGAAAACAAGCTATTTATTAAGGCAAAAAATCCAGAGGGGTGTTTGAGTGCTTCTCCGACAGCGAGAGATCAATAACGGAGGTTTTATATTATTATTATTATTAAAAAACTGGCCCAAACTTTGCAGGCGTGCATGGAGATTTATTTATTTTCCATCTTCTCGTTTTTTAAAAAAGAACCGATTTGCCTCGAGGTCTTTTGTTCAGAAGCTGCGAGCCGTTGGCACAGATCGTTCCTCCCCAGATCGCGGGACTTTGGGACCAAAGGGAGGCGGAACGGTTCCTTGCTAGGTGGTACCGCGAGGAATCGGGCCCTGAGTTTGGGGTTGGCGGGTCCCGATCCGCAGGGACCCGGGGTTGGTAGAAGGGCGTACAGGGATGACGTAGGCACAGAATTTCCAAATGGGGGGAAAAATAACACAACGCACACCGTGTATTCCTCCAATCGGCGAACCCCAATCTCTGCCGAACAGTCTAGAGGTCTGTGGCAGGCCCCCAGTCGTAACCGTAGTCCTGGTCCGACTCGGAGTCGTAGGTCTGCGCGTGGGTGAACTTCTTCCGCAGGGCATCGTGTTCATATTCCCTGGGGGAGAAGAAAACCAGGTTGCAAAACTGAAGCAAAATTTTTATTTCAAGTCGTTCAAGCCCGCCGGTCGGTACGATCCGGCCCCCCTGGCAGTTTCTTTCCTGGGGTAAAAGGTAAAGGGACCCCTGACCATTAGGTCCAGTCGTGGCCGACTCTGGGGTTGCGGCGCTCATCTCGCTTTACTGGCCGAGGGAGCCGGCGTACCAGGTCGAGGAACAGCGGGATGGCGGCGCTGCGCCTCCCTGCTGTCCCCGAGCTTGTGGGGCTGGCCGATGTCTGTCCGGTGCGTGGGCGCTCTGCTTCAGGGTCCCTTGCCTGCCGGGCGGCAGGCTGCTATCTGCAGCGTGGGGAGCCCTGTGGGGAACTCCTGCAGGGCTCCCCACGCTGCGGATGTCAGTCCGGCGCGCGGGGCACTCTGCTTCAGGGTCCCTTGCCCGCCGGGCGGCAGGCTGCTATCCGCAGCATGGGGAGCCCTGCGGAGAACTCCTGCAGGGCTCCCCACGCTGCGGATGTCAGTCCGGCGCGCGGGGCGCTCTGCTTCAAGGCGCCCCTCGCGCCGGGTGGCAGGCTGCTATCCACAGCCTAGACAGCCCTGTGGGACCTCCCGCAGGGCTGCCTAGGCTGCGGATGTGTTTTCCGAAGCGCCGGGCACTCTGCTTTCAGCGCGCCCAGCGCTCCGGGAAGCTGGCTGCTATTTGCAGCCTAGACAGCCCTGCGGGAACTCCGACCCCTCTCGCTCTCCAAGCTTCAGCGAAAGCCTGCATTCGCCCCATAGGACGCACCCAGATTTCCCCTTCATTTTTGGAGGGGGAAAAGTGCGTCCTATAGGGCGAAAAACTAGGGAAGTCATGGGCCCCGCCTGCTCCCTAAAATATCCCTGGTTTGCTCCTTTCTATATATAGGGTGTCTACATTCTGCAGGGACTGGTTATATGGCCATATGTGCAAATGGCTTGAGATACCTATTAGGGCCATAAATTACCATACAGCATAGATTCAACACAAAAAACAGCGACAGTTTGTTGTGGACGAAGGACAGCTGGACATAGTAAGGGTCCCATTACCTTCAGTAGCTTAGGGCCTCATCAAACCTGAATCCAGCCCTGGTCAGAGGGCTGCCGAAAACTGACAATGTGGACTAGTAACTTGAGCAATCATTCACAACCGCAGCCAGCGCGTAGGATTGCACTGAGGGATCGTTGACCGGCCGACCGCCCTCTTTTAAAACTCGCAGGGTTGCTGCAGCCCCTAAACCATGTCCTCGACCCCCAAACTCTTCATCTTGTGCCCTCGGAAACCAAGTATCAGCCCTCCCAGTTGGGTGGACATTTTCCCGGTACCCCAGAATGCAAAAGGCAAGTACCTGTTTCCGTAGTCTTCCCTCCATTGGCCTTGGGGTTGCTGGTCTCCATCGTGCTGGAGAGGGGAGAAAGAGGAATCAGCAGGTGAGAACCACAGGTCTTAAAATTGGTGGTTTCCCGACAGCTGGGACTACGACTCCCATCATCCCTACTCGCTAGGGATGATGGGTGTTGTAGTCCGACAACAACCAGGGACCCAAAGTTTGGGATGCTCTTAATTCAAGGAGAATCGCTTCCCATTTGCACCATTGTTTTCGGAACCAGGTTTGGGGTTTTTAATTTGCCGGAAGCAGCCCAGAGCGGCTGCGGCGACCCGGTCCGATGGGCGATGTACAAATAATAAAATTATCGCTAGCAGTGATGGCTAGGCTCTGGCTTTGCGGTCACAGGCAGTGACACTTCTGAAGAACAGCTGCTGGAAACCACAGGAGGAGAGAGTGCCGTATTTTTCGCTCTACAGGGTGCACCGGGCCATAGGGCGCACTTAGTTTTTTTTGGAGGAAATAAGGGGGGGGGTTATTCCCCAGCCCCAAAGAGCAAAGAAGCCAAGACAGCCACCGGGATCCAGCTGGGAGAGGCTGCGCGCAGCTTTGGCAGAAGCCAAGACGGGATGGATCCCGCTCACTGTCTTGGCTTCCCCCGACCCCAGCCCCCAGAACAGGTCCGGAGGGCGGGGGTGAGGTTGCGCGCAACCTTGCCTTCGCTCCCGGAGCTTGCTGCTATCCGCAAGCCTTCTGAGCCCAGCGGAAACTCCCGCCGGGCTCCGAAGGCTTGCGGATAGCTGCCCAAAGCCCGGGGTGCGCAGCGCTGCGCTCCCGGGGCTTTGGGCTGCAGGCTGCTATCCGCAAGCCTTCGAAGCCCAGCGGGAACTCCCGCCGCGCTCCGAAGGCTTGCGGATAGCTTCTTGAAGCCTGAAGAGCGAGAGGGGTTGGTGCGCACCGACCCCCCTCGCTCTCCAGGCTTCAGCGAAAGCCTGCATTCGCCCCATAGGACACACACACATTTCCCCTTCATTTTTGGAGGGGGAAAAGTGTGTCCTATAGGGTGAAAAATATGGTGGTTCTTGCATTCAAATCCTGCTTGCACCTTTCCCAAAAGTGGGACCAGATGACCAGATGAACCTCCTTTGGCTTGTACCAGAACCCAGGCTTTCCTTAGGCCCTGATGGAGCCTCCAGTTCCAGAGCCAGTCTACCTCGATTCCTAGCTTCTTGGCCACCGTGAGAACAAGATTCTGGGCTGGATTGGGCCTGATCCACCAGGCTCATCTTAGGTTTTCTTAAGCACAGATTTTGGCTAAAAGTACAAGCGTCCCAATGGTAAGTGCTTTTCAGCGGTGAAACAGAACTAATGCCCGGGGGCCGGATCTGGCCCAATCGCCTTCTCAATCCGGCCCGTGGACGGTCCAGGAATTAGCATGTTTTTACATGTGGAATAGGGACACGGGTGGCGCTGTGGGTTAAACCACAGAGCCTAGGGCTTGCCGATCAGAAGGTCGGCGGTTCGAATCCCCGCAATGACGGGGTGAGCTCCCGTTGCTCGGTCCCTGCTCCTGCCAACCTAGCAGTTCGAAAGCACACCAGCGCAAGTAGATAAATAGGTACCGCTCCGGCGGGAAGGTAAACGGCGTTTCCGTGCGCTGCTCTGGTTCGCCAGAAGCGGCTCAGTCCTGCTGGCCACATGACCCGGAAGCTGTACGCCAGCTCCCTCGGCCAATAAAGCGAGATGAGCGCCGCAACCCCAGAGTTGGCCACGACTGGACCTAATGGTCAGGGGTCCCTTTACCTTTACCTGCTTAACCGGGTAAGCCAAAGCAGCCGCTACTCTCTCGCTGAGGTCCTGCTCCGGGGTTTCCTCGGTGGGTTCCGAGGAGCGAGCCAGGGCCGGCTCCTGATAGGATTCATCGAGCTCCTGGTCAGTGTAGGCTTCTCCTTCTGCGTCCGTCTCATCGTAGTCACTGTTGGCTCGGCTGTCGCAGGTCAAGTAGCCCGGGCTGGTGGGAGAAGGCTGGTTCAATAGGTCCAAGCCTTCCTCAGCTGGAATATCCACCTGGGCGGAAAAGGGAGGCGGGTGAGTTTATTTTTACCTAACCTGCATATCACCTACCATATTTTTCCCTCTACAAGACGCACCAGACCATAAGACGCACCTAGTTTTTGGAGGAGGAAAACAAGAAAAAATATATTCTGAATCTCAGAAGCCAGAACAGCAAGAGGGATCGCTGCGCAGCGAAAGCAGCAATCCCTCTTGCTGTTCTGGCTTCTGGGATAGCTGTGCAGCCTGCATTCGCTCCATAAGACGCACACACATTTCCCCTTACTTTTTAGGAGGGGAAAAGTGAGTCTAATAGAGCAAAAATTACGGTAATGATTAAAAAAACAAACAAACCTCAAAGCCGTTTACACAGAATATAAATTTACTCCTTGCACATGGTGTGTCGCTCTGGAATTCTAATAGCCCGCCCCCAAGCCGGCCCGTTTTTAAAAACCACAAGCGCTTAAAAACACAGGGCAGCTTCTGAAGTCAGTTGTTAAAATATGGGCAGTTTCGAAAGCGGTGTTAGGGGAGCTCGCAGTTTGGGTGAATTAGGCCGGAACGATCACTTACAGTTTCCGGAGAGGCTTTATTTACGCAGGAACGGATTCCTCTCGTCGGGAACCATTTACAGGATGAGCAGAGACGAAAGGTTTTTGCCTCTCAACGCGTTGGGAGAGGACAACTAAACAGCTCTGTGGCCGTGCGACGAGATTTAGCCTAGGCAAAGAGGCTACAAAACAATTTCTAGACAAAACAGCACCTTTGCAGGGTTCAAGGCAACACACGCATTAGCCAGAAGTCCAGAAGAAGGAAAGGTGATTTGCTTTTCCGCAATACCACCCGCCTTCTCAAATACTTTTGCATTTTCAGGTGAGGCAGTGGCAATTTGTGGACAGCTCAGACTGTCAGCCAACACTGCCATCTTGTGGCACGTCCTTGAGAAGGAGAGAACTTTACGCCAATGTGTTTAGTTTTTGGGTTTATCTTCTCAGGCTGCGTCAGACTCCAAGGTCCTCAGAGAGCTTAGCGGCTGCTGTTTCCAATACCTTCTTGTCTTCTTCGATCCCTCGTAGCCGAGTAAGATTGTCTTCCCCAAACACGGTTTTAACAGCGAGTCCGTAAGTGACTGTGGAGGCCAATTCTGGATCCCCACGTCCTTCCACAGTGGGGACATTGGTTTCCGGGTGGGAGTTGATCCCGGTGAGGGTTTGCCAAGCGTGCCTTCCTCTTGGCACGTTTCTCCCTTGCGTCCTGAGTTTGAGTGTCTTCAAAGCCCACGACACCTTTGGGAAAGGCTGTTCTCCAACTGGAGCACTCGCAGGCCAGTGTTTCCCAATTGTTGGTGTTTACACTACTTTTTTAAAAAAATAAATTGCCTTGAGACAGTCTTTAAACCTCTTTTGTTGACCACCAGCTTTCCATTTTTAAGTTGGGAATAGAGTAGTTGCTTTGGAAGACGATCATCAGGCATCCGCACAACATGACCAGTCCAACGAAGTTGATGTTGAAGAATCATCGCTTCGACACTGGTGATCTTTGCTTCTTCCAGTACACTGGCATTAGTTCGCCTGTCTTCCCAAGTGATGTGTAATATTTTTCGGAGACACCATTGATGGAATCTTTCGAGGAGTTGGTCCACGTTTCACAAGCATACAGTAAGGTTGGCAGCACAATAGCTTTGTAAACAAGCATTTTGGTTTCCCTGTGAAAGTCCCAGTCCTCAAGCACTCTGTGTTTCAATCGGGAGAAAGCTGTACTCACAGAGTTCAGGCGATGCTGGATTTTGGCATCAATGTTGGCCCTTGTGGAAAGATAACTGCCCAGGTAGGAGAAGTTTCCAAGACCACGCAGTGGTTGAAAAAGCCATCATGCTTCTCGGCAGGCAGAGATCGCAATAAGGCATTCAGCGTTTGCAGAAGATAGTGAAATGGAGGATTCCTTCTTGTATGGCCAGCTGATCATGCCTTGACCAAACTGAAACAGGTAACCACTGGTAGATTTCTTTTCTGTGGCATCTCTCGCCCATTGGGTATCAACGTAACCAAACCAGGGCTTGCTTGTCAGCTAGAAGATGAAGTTGAAGAGAGACCTTTTTAGGTGTGCATGAGTTGCTGGACAGAACGTCAAATCAGCTCAAGTAGGGAACTCAACCTTTCTGCATAAGACGCCAACAGACAGGCCCCCAAAAGAATGCCCATTGCCTTTCTGTATTGTTTCTTATTAGAGACGCGGGTGGCGCTGTGGGTTAAACCACAGAGCCTAGGACTTGCCGATCAGAAGGTCGGCGGTTCGAATCCCCGCAGTGACGGGGTGAGCTCCCGTTGCTCAGTCCCTGCTCCTGCCAACCTAGCAGTTCGAAAGCATGTCAAAGTGCAAGTAGATAAATAGGTACAGCTCCGGCGGGAAGGTAAATGGAGTTTCTGTGCGCTGCTCTGGTTCGCCAGAAGCGGCTTAGTCCTGCTGGCCACATGACCGGGAAGCTGTACGCTGGCTCCCTCGGCCAGTAAAGCGAGATGAGCGCCGCAACCCCAGAGTCGGCCGTGACTGGACTTAACGGTCAGGGGTCCCTTTACCTTTTATTGCTTCTTATTGGGCACAGAAGAGCCAAGATTATTCCAAAACTTGACTACCAAGAGCATCTCAAAAACCTTGGCTTCCGACATTCAAAAACACACGCACCAAAAAAGCAAGCAATTTTGCAGTTTTCTGCGACTGGAAGGAAAATTGCCAGAGTCTTAATGCTCGATTTGTGGCCCAAGACACAAGGTCTTGTGAGGTTGGCAAGGTCTTTGAATTGCTGAGAGAGCTTGTGAAGAACGGAGCTACCACCTTCATCTTGGTCCTAGCAGGCCACTAGATCATCATAAATGACCAGGTAGGTCCACCTGAAATCTCGAAGCTTGGGAGTACAAACAGGAATCGCCTTTGCTTTGAGAAAACGCTTCCACGAGTCAAGACACTGTCGATTTCTCTTTAGCTCCGGCAAGCTTGCTCAGGACCACAGGTGCTTTTTGCAAAGCTCGCAGACAGGATCAGGGTCGTTTTGCAGGTTGGCTCCTGCAGAGATCCTCTTTGAGATAATACGAAAAGGCCGGTTTTTTTAATTTCCTGGCGCTTTTGTCCTTTGCAACGGGTGCCAAGCTCTCACCAAAATTCTCTGCAAAGTCTGGGTTTGTATCTGTGAATTCAGGATTATGCTGAAATCGCTTGCATCCACCAAGACCTTGACTCTGCTGGGATAGCAGATGAATCTCACGGGGTGTCCGGAACATAGTCTACTCCTGTTGTGTTGGGTGAGTTTCAGCTGGTAAGGCTTGAGGTTGTGGACGCTCGGATCGGTCAGGGCGACCAGTCGCGGTCTAGACCCTTGCCCCTCTTGGCTGATAAAATCCAGCAGGGAGGGAACAGCTGGCTGGGCCAGGGAGGTGATCAACGCCTCTTTACGATAAGAGGTGGTCCCTGCCTGTTTGAAGTAGGCTGTTGTAAACCCACTCCTTAACAAACCTTCCCTGGATTCGAGAAAACCGAAACTACCGGCTACTTGCTAATCTCCCTTTCCTGGAACACGTTGGCGACTAATATACACACCATAATTACCAAAATGATTATGCATTCTTTGTCAATCTTCTCAGAAAAATACAAAGCCACAGAGACTTGCGAACTACAGTGGTGCCCCGCAAGACGAATGCCTCGCAAGACGAAAAACACGCTAGGCGAAAGGGTTTTTTGTTTTTTGAGGTGCTTCGCAAGACAAATTTCCCTATGGGCTTGCTTCGCAAGACGAAACGTCTTGTGAGTTCTTGCGGGTTTGTTTCCTTTTTCTTAAAGCCGCTAAGCCGTTAATAGCCGCTAAGCCACAAAGCCGTTAATAGCCACTAAGCCGCTAATAGCCGTGCTTCGCAAGACGAAAAAACCGCAAGACAAAGAGACTCGCGGAACGGATTAATTTTGTCTTGCGAGGCACCACTGTACCCAACCTGAGATGAACTTATAATATCTGGTTCGCAAGTCCCTGTGGCTTTGCGTAACGTTTTGTATTTTTCTCAGAAGATTGATAAAGAATGCATAATCATTTTGGTACCGTATTTTTCGCTCTATAAGATGCACCAGACCACAAAACGCACCTAGTTTTCGGAGGAGGAAAACAAGAAAAAAAATATTCTGCTCTCAGAAGCCAGAACAGCAAGAGGGATCGCTGCGCAGCGAAAGCAGCAACCCCTCTTGCTGTTCTGGCTTCTGGGATAGCTGCGCAGCCTGCCTTCGCTCCATAAGACGCACACACACTTCCCCTTACTTTTTAGGAGGGGAAAAGTGAGTCTTATAGAGCAAAAATTACGGTAATGATTAAAAAAACAAACAAACCTCAAATCCGTTTACACAAAATATAAATACGGTAATTATTGTGTGTAGATTAGTCGCCAACGTGTTGCATGAGTCGGACTACTTCCCTCAGCAACACAGGTTGCATGCTTCTAGAATCTCCCTTTCCTGGGCAAGGTTCTGGAGCGAGTGGTGGCAGGCCAGATCCGGGCGCTTTTGGAAGAAACTGATTTTCTGGATCCACTTCTGGTTTTGGCCCAGAAACTGCTTTGGTCGCCCAGTGTGATGAGCTCTGTCGAGAGAGAGAGACACTCACAAGGGAAACACGTCCCTGTTAATTCTTCCGGACCTCTCGGCGGCTTTCAACACCATCGGCCGTAGTATCCTTCTGGAGCGAGTCTCCGAACTAGTGGTACCGCTTTGCGATGGTTCCGGTCATACTTGGCTGGTCATTCCCAGAGGGTGTTACTTGGGGAATGAATACGGGAATGATCTTTGCTGGACTCACTTGAGAAAGGCTCGGCCTTTCCGTTCAGGAATGTTGCTGTACGACTCATTAATAGGCAAGATGTTAAATCGTTTTTATACGCAACAACTGCGGCAAGAGTATTGTTAGCCCAGATATGGAAACAAGAAGAAATTCCGACGAAAGAATACGGTTTCCCCAATCCTCTGGTGTGTATTATCAGTGAATCTTCCAGCGAAAGACAATGACTTTTGCTTCCCTGCCCTTCGTTATCCGACTGCGCAAAATCAGCAGCTGGCTAGGAGATTCTCTATCTTGAACATCCATCGTTGAAAAATCTGCTCCTTCAACTTGAGGATTGCTGCTCTTGCCTAAATTACAGCCATTGTTCATATCTCTGCAAGTTCCAGCTCTCAGCAATGCAAAATTTCCCTTTCTGCTTTCAAATACCCTTTGGGGAGAGGCACACCTAGGATTTTTGCTTTTGCAGATTCCTTGCAGCCAGCTCTTTCTTCCTAGTCCAGTCCATCCATCCTTTCTCTTCACTTCTCTTGAAATCCACTCCCCTTCTCGCTGGCTTTCTCGCTGGAATGGGAAGGCTTTTGGAAAGGAAACTTTGGGAAAATCTGTTTGGGGTTCCAAATATACGCCTGGGCCCATAACCTGTTAGAAGTGCTTGCTGCTTGGGTCAATAAGATTTATTTGATCACTTACAGTTTCTGGAGTTCAGAGGCTTTATTCATGAAGCAACTATTTATGGGATGAGTAAAGATGAAAGAGGCAAAGATCTTGTCTCAACACGTTGGGAGAGAACAAGAATATGACTCAGAACCGGTGATGTTTAGATCGCCCTCGTGTAGTTTAAAGCAACTCATGCATTAACTAGAAGCTCAGAAGAAGGAAATGTATTTGCTTTTCTCCAACAAAAATCAGGACGGTTTTGAAAGGTTCAGTTCACCATCTTGATTCAAAATAACCCCCCGTTTTATCCAAATATAGATGAAAAGCAGTTCCTGATCTCAGGAGCTGTCATGCAAAGTTTGGTCACGATATTCTAAGAGGTGATCAAATCCAGAGTGACTGGGCAGCCGTCCAAATTGCACAGAAGATACATTAAAATTATCAGTTAAAAGCCAGAAGTTAAAAACCAAGCGGACCTAAAAAATAATAAATTCAAAACATCAATAAAACCAGCTGTTCAAAATATACATTACAAGGAGAATTTACCTATTAAAATGCATGACAACTTGGGTATAAGTTGTTGCAGATCAGCAAACAGGCACTTACCGATTTTGTTCCGTTTGAAATGTGCTTCTTGTAAAATACCTCGAAGCAATTTCACAACGAAAAGCATCAGCGATAAAAACAATTAGAACGTTTTGTTAAAAACCCAATCAAAACCAGTTTCACCCGTAAAATGATTGAGGGCAGAGAAGAGAAATATGTAAGAAAACAGGGAATTTTCTGCCTGTGTTCATGCTAGATGGAAGTTATTGCCCATAAGTGAAAAATATTTCCTGGAGAGGGTTGCAAACTTCCTGGTTCTTTTTTAAAAACACAACCCCAAGATCGGTCCAATGAAAAAGAGAGAGTCAGAAAACATTATTACAGAGAGACACCAGATGGCAAAAAGCAGCTCCAAAAATGCAAATAATTGGAAGCCCATTCTTGAATGATGCACAGTGCTAAAAACAAATTAATATTATTAATTAGTATGATGGTTATTAATCGGAAGCTAACTGTTCTTCTTTGAAAACGCGAGCGTGCAGCATGTTGTGTGCTGAAAGGAAATTATAGCCGTACCTCGGCTCCCGATCAATCGAAAACCAGAAGGGACTGTTCCGGTTTTCGAACATTCGACGGGGCTTCCGCAGCTTCTGATTGGCTGCAGGAGCTCCCTGCAGCCAATCGGAATCCGTGCTTTGGTTTTCTAACGTTTTGGAAGTTGAACGGACTTCTGGAACGGATTCTGTTTGACTTCCGAGATACGACTGTATATGAAAACGATGTACCGGTGGTATTTGATTCCTAGTAAGTTAGCAAAAATGTATAGAACCAGCAGAAATACCTGCCGGAAATGTAAAGAAAAAGAAGGTACCTTTTATCATGTGTGGTGGATGTGTAAAAAAATTCTGGGAGATGATATATAATGAAATGGGAAAAAAGTGTTTAAAATAACTTTTGTTTAAAAAAAACAGAAGCTTTTTTAATTAGGAATTATAGGTACCGAGATTCGAAAGGACCAGAAACGACAACAGCTGCAAAATTAAATGGAAAGCTCAGGAACCAAGAGGACCAGAACTTTTAAAAAGAATGGGGGGAAATTTATAATTTATTTAGGAGATCATTGTAAGCAGATGAAAACACCAGCAAGATTTTTAATCTCACTTGCAAGGTAACAAAGACTATGGACAATTTGGACAGATAAATAATGTGGATAATGGATTTATATGCTGTTGTAAATATTGAAATTAGGACCCATGGAGGGGATGGAGGGGGGGAAAGTCTTGAGATTCAGAACAATCTCTTTATATGGACTTTTAATTGATTTTGCTATAAGTTTATATTTTTGTAACGGCTTGGCTCTCCCACAGAAGTGAGACACTGGCAGTAATTATCTCAGGTTTATTGCTCAAACACATAAATCACTCCTCAGTGTCTGACTACAAGTTTGCAGTTGCCTGAGTCTAAACTCTGCCCCTTCCTCTTCGCTTCCACTCTTTTCCCTTTCGCTTCCACTCTTTTCCTCTCCTCTCACTAACCTTTTTGTGCCTTCGAGTTTTTGGGCTAGCTATTCCTGGCCTGGCCAATAGAAGGGGAAGAAATGGAGGCAGTGAGAGATTTTACTTTCTCGGGCTCCATGATCACTGCAGATGGTGATAGCAGCGACGAAATTAAAAGACGCCTGCTTCTTGGGAGAAAAGCAATGACAAACCTGGACAGCATCTTAAAAAGCAGAGACATCACTTTGCAGACAAAGGTCCGTATAGTTCAAGCTCTGGTTTTCCCAGTAGTGATGTATGGAAGTGAGAGCTGGACCATCAAGAAGGCTGATGGCCGAAGAATGGATGCTTTTGAATTCTGGTGCTGGAGGAGACTCTTGAGAGTCCCATGGACTGCAAGAAGATCCAACCTCTCCATTCCAAAGGAAATCAGCCCTGAGTGCTCACGGGAAGGACAGACCCTGAAGCTGAGGCTCCAAGACTTTGGCCACCTCAGGAGAAGAGAAGACTCCCTGGAAAAGACCCTGATTTTGGGAAAGACAGAGGGCACAAGGAGAAGGGGACGATGGAGGATGAGATGGTGGGACAGTGTTCTCGAAGCGACCAGCATGAGTTTGACCAAACTGCGGGAGGCAGTGGAGGACAGGAGGGCCTGGCATGCTCTGGTCCAGGGGGTCATGAAGAGGCGGACACGACTAAACAACAACAACAATTCCTGGCCTCTCCCCTTCCGTCTCTGAGCTAAGATTGGTATTTTGTGGATCTTTGCTATCTGCTCTCTGTTCTCTGAATGCCACTCGGCTGCCCCTCCTCCCTCTCACATTCCAGCTCACATTTCAGTCTCCTTATCTCTCTTTGCCTGCCTTCATTCCCAGCCTCTCTCAGCTCCGGAACGAAGCTGACATTTTTAAAAATCAAATGAAAAGTATTTCAATAAAGAAGAGAAAACGCCAGCGTGCCACAACCACAGCGTAAGACGTGAGATACCCCAGACGGCACCCACCTGCTCCTCTGTCGTCCATACGGGTCGGGCTTGCTGAACCCGGATGATGTCCTTGAGACTCTGGTACCAGCTGTTGGAGCCGCCGGCCAGGCTGATGGTGGCCGTGAAGATGTGGCTCCAGTCCTTCCGCATCTTGCCAGCCTGGGCGTAGAGGCGACGCGAACTCTTCTTGGATTCCGGGGCCAGCCACTGGCGCATGGCTTTGACGCCCTGCCGGCTGTCCGGCTCGCAAAAGACCACGATGGGGAAGTACTGGACGTAGTTGAGCCTCTCCACGGCTGCCGGGGTGATGTCCAAAAGGGCGTGTTTATCCTGGGAGACAGGAAAGCAATAAACGAGGCCATCAATGGAGGCGCATGTCAATCGTGCATCCAGGGCGGCTGTCTATCAGCTCCATCAGAAACCAGGTGCGCAGCCTGGCGGGCATTTTGGACTCACAGCCGTCCATGGAGGCGCAGGTCAATTCTGCGTCCAGGGCGGCTGTCTGCCAGCTCTATCTGAGACCCTCCCTGCCGGCAGACTGTCTGGCCAGAGTGATGCATTCTCTGGTTATCTCCCGCTTGGACTACTGCCATGCGCTCTCCGTGGGGCTGCCTTTGAAGGTGACCCAGAAACTACAGCTAATCCAGAATGCAGCAGCTAGACTGGTGACTGGGAGCGGCCGCCGAGACCATATGGGACTCCCAGACATTTTGGACTCACAGCTGTTCATGGAGGCGCAGGTCAGTTCTGTGTCCATCTGGTACGCAGGATAAGACCCTCCCTGCCCACAAACCGTCTCGCCAGAGTGGTGCATGCTCTGGTTATCTCCCGCTTGGACTACTGCCATGTGTTCTCCGTGGGGCTACCTTTGAAGGTGACCCGGAAACTACAACTAATCCAGAATGCGGCAGCCAGACTGGGGATTGGGAGCAGCCGCCAAGACCACATAACACCGGTCCTGAAATACCTTCATTGGCTCCCAGGACGTTTCTGAGCACAATGCAAAGTGTTGGTGCTGACCTTGAAAGCCCCAAACAGCCCAGTATCCCTGAAGGAGCGTCTCCACCCCCATCGTCCAGCCTGGACACTGAGGTCCAGCTCCGAGGGCCTTCTGGTGGTTCCCTCATTGCGAGAAGCAAGGTTACAGGGAACCAGGCAGAGGGCCTTCTCGGTGGTGGCGCCCACTCTGTGGAACACCCTCCTGGCAGAGGTCAAGGAGATAAATAGAACGCAACACAGAACCATGAGGACTAGCATCTTATTTTGAAGGGAAGGGCTACAGAGCGAGGGAGCATCTGCTTCCGACCCCCTTGGACCCCAGTTTCGTGACGTTCCCCCCATCTCACTCCTCTAACCTGTTTTGCAATATGCCACACGGAGTCCAGCTTGATAACCTTTGATGAGCTCCCTTCTCTTGCCACGCTCTCTAAAAATGGGGAGGGAAAGAGAAAGAGAGAGGTGGATATTGTGTTTCCAGCTTTGACTGCGCAAGAGTCGGTCAAACCACAGTGAGTCGGATGACATATGAAGACCTGGCCCTTCCAGCCCCACCAGACCATAGCTGTCAACTTACAGATTTGAAAATAAGGGACCAGCAGCCTCGGAAATAAGGGACCAGCAGCCAAAATAAGGGATTTTCCAAGCACAGGTATGTTCAACTTCTGAGCCCCTCCGAGCCAAAGGCAGAAAGCCCAGCCAGCAGCCAAACGAAGCCTCAAGCGGTGGTTCCCACAGCGCAGCAACCCGGCAAAGGGGACGCAGCAAGGAAAACCACCATCCCCTCTCCGCTGGGAAGCGCTGAGCAAAGGCGAGTCCCCAGGCAACGCGGCCGATTTGATCGGCACAAGGCATGCAAGCTCCACCCCCCAGTCTTTCTTAGACTCCTTATTGGGTGAGCAACGCAGCCAAGCAACACAGTTGGAGCCTCCCTCCTCCCTGGCCGGCAGGGAGGGAGGGAGGGAGAGGAGCTGCTTCCTTTGAAACCCGGGAAATTTAAGGTACATCCTCAATAAGGGACAGCAGCAGGACACAGCGCTGGGATAAGGGAGTTTCCTGCCAAATAAGGGACGGTTGACAGCTATGCACCGGACTCGGGTCGTGGGGAAGAAGGCTCACCTGCAATCTCAAACTGATCTGGCAATTCGGTGCTGAGTTTTTGCATGGCGATGTCAGCGATGGGTCCCAAGATCACAACCGGGCGCTTAAAGGTTGCTGCCAGGGAGGAGGAGGAAGAGGAGGAAAGTCAGAGGGGTCTTCCTCATTTCTTGCATCTATATCTCCCTCCGTCACGGAGGAGATATTATAAATAATAATAATAATAATAATAATAATAATAATAATAATAATAATAATTTATTATTTGTACCCTGCCCATCACGGGACGTGGGTAGCGCTGCGGGTAAAACCTCAGCACCTAGGACTTGCCGATTGCATGGTCAGCAGTTTGAATCCCTGCGGCGGGGTGCGCTCCCGCTGCTCGGTCCCAGCGCCTGCCCACCTAGCAGTTCGAAAGCACCCCCGGGTGCAAGTAGATAAATAGGTATCGCTCCGGCGAGAAGGTAAACGGCGTTTCCGTGTGCTGCTCTGGTTCGCCAGAAGCGGCTTAGTCCTGCTGGCCACATGACCCAGAAGCTGTACGCCGGCTCCCTCAGCCAGTAAAGCAAGATGAGCGCCGCAATCTCAGAGTCTGTCACGACTGGACCTAATGGCCAGGGGTCCCTTTACCCTTTACCTTTAAGCTATAGCTTATTTAGCTTATACGTAAATTTGACACTGCGCACCGCTATTGGAGTCCCCAGAAACAAAGCAAACTGCCCTCACCTTCCTTCAGAACGACCCTCTCGTACGGCGGGTAGTGCCCTTGCTTGGTGAGGGCAGACAGGTCCTCGCGACTCTTCCGCAGGTTCCTCTTAGCTCCTCGCAGGCCCCGCAGTTTCCAGAACTCTGCCCTCGGCCCTGAAGAGGCGGCTCCCGACGTGGCCTTGAGGACGGACTCCAAACTGGCAATCTGTTCCGCCCTGGGGTGCAAAGGAGAACCACGGGATGGGTTGGGTAGAGGGTATTTCTCTTGGCAATCCCTCCTCTATGTGGTTCATGTCAGGTGAGTTTGCTGGCCAATTAAGCACAGTAATCCCATGGGATTACACCCATGACACAACCTTGATGGCAGAAAGTGAGGAGGAATTATAGAACCTTTTAATGAGCGTGAAAGAGGAGAGCGCAAAATATGGTCTGAAGCTCAACATCAAAAAAACGAAGGTCATGGACACTGGTCCCATCACCTCCTGGCAAATAGAAGGGGAAGAAATGGAGGCAGTGAGAGATTTTACTTTCTTGGGCTCCATGATCACTGCAGATGGTGACAGCAGCCACGAAATTAAAAGACACCTGCTTTCTTGGGAGAAAAGCAATGACAAAACTAGGCAGCATCTTAAAAAGCAGAGACATCACCTTGAAGACAAAGGTCCGTATAGTTCAAGCTATGGTTTTCCCAATAGTGATGTATGGAAGTGAGAGCTGGACCATAAAGAGCTGAAGAATTGATGCTTTTGAATTATAGTGCTGGAGGAGACTCTTGAGAGTCCCACAGACTGCAAGAAGATCAAACCTCTCCATTCTTAAGGAAATCAGCCCTGAGTGCTCACTGGAAGGACAGATCCTGAAGCTGAGGCTCCAAGACTTTGGCCACCTCATGAGAAGACTCCCTGGAAGAGACCCTGATGTTGGGAAAGATGGAGGGCGCAAGGAGAAGGGGACGACGGAGGACGAGATGGTGGGACAGTGTTCTCGAAGCTACCAGCATGAGTTTGACCAAACTGCGGGAGGCAGTGGAAGACAGGAGTGCCTGGCGTGCTCTGGTCCAGGGGGTCACCAAGAGGCGGACACGACTAAACAACAACAAAAAATGCAGCCAATATAATTTAATGGCTAGAGTCTCCATTAATTCCCATTGGTCTAACTCTTGAGTATTCCTAATACTGGAATCTATGCAGCCAATATAATTTAAGGGCTAGAGTCTCCATTAATTCCCATTGGTCTAACTCTTGAGTATGATGGAATTTATTTGATGGAATTTACTCAGGTCTACTCTGAGTATTTCTAATATCGGATTATATCACCCTGCATAGCTATAGAGTCTCCGCTAATTGCAATGTGTCTTAACTAATATTGTATGAAATATTGCAATATTGTGCAGTCAGTAATGTATACAATTTAATACACTGCTTCCAAGGTTGTCTACTCTGATCGGGACTACCCCCGTGTAAAATAAGCCAGATCATGGGGTCACGAAGAGTCGGACACGACTAAACAACAACATAGACAGCCCATCTCCTGCCAGGATACCTGTTTCGGTTTGGGATAATGCCCTTGTCGAGTTCCTGGAGATCTTTGCCCATCCGCATCGCTAGCCAGCTTCCGACTTTCCCCCGGTACATGGTGTCCACCACGTGGAAGACCTCGCCTCGGGTGAAGCTCAGAGCAGAGGGGGCGTCCTTCTCAAAATCGAAATGGGTGCGGATGTAGAAGGAGTCGCCCACGTTGGACTTCACCATCTTCCTGTAGACTGATAAGAGGAGAGAGAGAGAAAGAAAGGCTCAAACATTTTGAGGTATTTTTTATCTTTGCTGGAAGCCGCCCAGAGCAGATGGGGAAACCCAGCCAGATGTGCGGGGTACAAATAATAAATTATTATTATTATTATTATTATTATTATTATTATTACAGTGGTGCCTCGCAAGACGAAATTAATCCGTTCTGCGAGTCTCTTCGTCTTGCGGTTTTTTCGTCTTGCGAAGCACGGCTATTAGCGGCTATTAACGGCTTAGCGGCTTTAAGAAAAAGGAAACAAACTCGCAAGAACTCGCAAGACGTTTCGTCTTGCGAAGCAAGCCCATAGGGAAATTCGTCTTGCGGAACGACTCAAAAAACAGAAAACCCTTTCGTCTAGCGAGTTTCTCGTCTTGCGAGGCATTCGTCTTGCGGGGCACCACTGTATTATTATATTGAACCCCAGGCATGTGACATTGCTCTCCATAGCGAATGGGTAGGCAAACGAAGGCCCGGGGGCCGGATCCGGCCCAATCGCCTTCTCAATCCGGCCCGCAGGCGGTCCGGGAATCAGAGTGTTTTTTACATGAGTAGAATGTGTGCTTTTATTTGAAATGCATCTCTGGGTTATTTGTGGGGCCTGCCTGGTGTTTTTAAAGGTAAAGGTAAAGGGACCCCTGACCATTAGGTCCAGACGTGACTGACTCTGGGGTTGCGGCGCTCATCTCGCTTTACTGGCCGAGGGAGCCGGCGTACAGCTTCTGGGTCATGTGGCCAGCATGACTAAGCCGCTTCTGGCGAACCAGAGCAGCGCACGGAAACGCCGTTTACCTTCCCGCCAGAGTGGTACCTATTTATCTACTTGCGCTTTTACATGCTTTTCAACTGCTAGGTGGGCAGGAGCAGGGACCGAGCAACGGGAGCTCACCCCGTCATTGCGGGGATTCGAACCGCCGACCTTCTGATCGGCAAGTCCTAGGCTCTGTGGTTTAACCCACAGCGCCACCCGCGTCCCCCCTGATGTTTTCACATGAGTAGAATGTGTGCTTTTATTTAAAATCCACCTCTGGGTTTTTGTGGGGCCTGCCTGGTGTTTTTACATGAGTAGAATGTGTGCTTTTATTTCAAATGCATCTCTGGGTTATTTGTGGGGCATAGGAATTCGTTCATATATTTTTTCCAAAATATAGTCCGGCCCCCCACAAGGTCTGAGGGACAGTGGACCGGCCCCCTGCTGAAAAAGTTTGCTGGCCCCTGCATAGCATCTCCCCTGTGGGAATATTCGGGATGGCAGGAGAGGATATATTATTTATTAATATCCTTCCTAACTTGCGCTAGCAAGTTCCTTTACTTAGCAGGGTTACATTCCGCTTTTTACACGCACAGCAGAGAGCTGGTTGCAGGCTCGTGTGAGCCTCTCACTATTATACAATTCAATCTGTCTCAGATTGAACTGTACATTCCTGGTAAATTCCCTTGAATCTCTCTTCAAAGAATAAAGACTCCACTGAGGTAAAACCAGGCGTGGCGTTTGAGTGGCAGAGCCGCCTCTCGGCCTCTTCCTCCCGTCGCCATCACTGGGAGTCTCGGCGTTGCGGCGGCTTCCGGCTTCACGGCGCAGGCTGGATTTGGAACCCAGATGGGCCTGATTTGGCCCGGGGGCCGTAGTTTGCTGACCCCTGATTGAAGGTGTCATTTGGCAATTCGCTTATATATCTGAGTTTCCAACACTGATTACTCCAAAGTTCAGCCTTGCTGGCATTCGGGAAGGCCAGAGGCTTCCGCAAAGACGCTGTTCTGCCAGTTGGTCTATCGCTCTCTTTTCTTGCCTTCCATTAAAAATAATAATAATAAAAATATAAAGGTAAAGGGACCCCTGACCATTAGGTCCAGTCGCGGACGATTCTGGGGTTGCGGCACTCATCTCGCTTTACTGGCCGAGGGAGCCGGCGTCCAGCTTCCGGGTCATGTGGCCAACATGACTAATCCGCTTCTGGCGAACCAGAGCAGCGAACGGAAACGCCGTTTACCTTCCTGCCAGAGTGGGACTTATTTATCTACTTGCGCTTTGACGTGCTTTCGAACTGCTAGGTTGGCAGGAGCAGGGACCGAGCAACGGGAGCTCACCCTGTTGCAGGGATTCGAACCGCCGACCTTCTGATCGGCAAGTCCTAGTTAAGCAATGGCAAATGAGGGCTGGAGGAACATGACAACGGCGAGTTACTCACTGTCCTGCTTATTCTGAACGTGCAACGCCACCTCTTCGCCCGGCGACAGCTCCAGGAGGTACTGAATGGCCTCTTCGCGGGTGAAGTTATGAAAAACTTGCTCGTTCACCTGTGGGCAGGAGCCGGAGAGCAAGGATTAAGGAAGCAGAGATGACAACGTTCAGCACCTCTGTCTGAACACACGTTCGTTTTCACCTCTGAAATAAGACTCTTCCAAACTGCTCTGAGCAGTGCTTCTTAGTAGAGCACAGGTAAAGGTAAAGGGACCCCTGACCGTTAGGTCCAGGGCTCTTCTGTGCCCAATAAGCACAATAAGCAAAATCTTGGCTCTTCTGTGCCCAATAAGAAGCAATAAAAGGTAAAGGGACCCCTGACCATTAGGTCCAGTCGTGGCCGACTCTGGGGTTGCGGTGCTCATCTCGCTTTACTGGCCGAAGGAGCTGGCGTACAGCTTCCGGGTCGTGTGGCCAGCAGGACTAAGCCACTTCTGGCGAACCAGAGCAGCACACGGAAACGCCGTTTACCTTCCCGCCAGAGCGGTACCTATTTATCTACTTGCACTTTGACGTGCTTTCGAACTGCTAGGTGGGCAGGAGCTGGGACCGAACAACAGGAGCTCACCCCGTCACGGGGATTCAAACCTCCAACCTTCTGATTGGCAAGTCCTAGGCTCTGTGGTTTAACCCACAGCGCCACCCGCGTCCCTTTAGTAGAGCATGAGACTCTTCAAAATCAGGGTCGTGGGTTCGAGTCTCGCAACAGGCAAAATTTTCCTGCATTGCAATGGGGTTGGGCTGGATGACCTTTGGGGGTGCCCTTTTGTTTCTATGCGTCACATTTTCAGGATAAAAATCCGCTTGTGCCACACCACTGATAAGAAATGCATTGGAAAACTAACGGTTCTTGATTTATATCACAGAACCCAGCTACTTTACTGGGTTCAGGAAACTTTGAGACTCTTTATCTCAGGGATGTGGGTTCAAGCCCCATGTTGGGTGATTCTGCAGGGGTTTGGGCTAGATGACCCGTGGGTCCCTTCAAACTCTGCAATAAAACCATGCAGCTACACAAGAACAGGGATCCTTCCCAAAATACAATTATAAACGAGTCTCTTACCTATGTTCCTTAACATAGGAGAGGTGTGACCTTGCTTTTGCTAGGAAAACTCATTTATATCAAGTCTAATTAGAGACAAACTCACTCGCATCTCCCCACCAAGCCTTCGTCTTTTCTGACCTTTTCGTTTCTGATCCATTTGCAAAGCTACCTATCCATATTCTGCAAATAAAAAACTATTCTTTTGGTCCTATACTACACTACACTGAAATGTTCAGACGTTTCTTAGATTGCCCATTTTGTTCTTCAACAGAGAATGTACACAAAGGTTTATTTTTCAACATTCAGCCATCTATACAGTTTTGCTAAATAAAACCCCCCCGCCGTGTTCCAACTTTTCCAGTGCACAGTATAAAGGTAAAGGACCTCCTAGATGGTTAAGTCCAGTGAAAGGCGACTATGGGGTTGCGGCGCTCATCTCACTTTCAGGCTGAGGGAGCCGGCGTTTGTCCGCAGACAGCTTTCTGGGTCATGTGGCCAGCGGGATTAAACCGCTTCTGGTGCAACAGGACACCGTGATGGAAACCAGAGCACACGGAAACGCCGTTTCCCTTCCCGCCGGAGTGGTACCTATTTATCTACTTGCACTGGCGTGCTTTTGAACTGCTAGGTTGGCAGGAGCTGGGACTGAGCAATGGGAGCTCACCCCGTTGCGGGGATTTGAACCGCCAACCTTCCGATCGGCAAGCCCAAGAGCAGGCATAGGCAAACTCGGCCCTCCAGATGTTTTGGGACTACAACTCCCATCATCCCTAGCTAACAGGACCAGTGGTCAGGGATGATACATACATTTCCGAGCACAATTCAAAGTGTTGGTGCTGACCTTGAAAGCCCTAAACGGCCCAGTATACCTGAAGGAGTGTCTCAACTCCCATCGTTCTACCTGGACACTGAGGTCCAGCTCCGAGGGCCTTCTGGTGGTTCCCTCCCTGCGAGAAGTGAGGTTACAGGGAACCAGGCAGAGGGCCTTCTAGGTGGTGGCGCCCACCCTGTGGAACGCCCTCCCACCAGATGTCAAAGAGAAAAACAACTACCAGACTTTTAGAAGACATCTGAAGGCAGCCCTGTTTAGGGAAGCTTTTAATGTTTGATGCATTACTGTATTTTAATATTCTGTTGGAAGGCGCCCAGAGTGGGATCTGCTTACCTGAAGGATCTGGTCTCCCTCCTGGATCCCTTGGCTCTCGGCCGGGCTGCCTTCCTGCACCCCGGCGACGAAGATGCCGACATCGTTGCCACCAGCCAGACGGAGACCGATGCTCTTGGCTTTTATGAAACGGACCACTTTCGAATCGGGGCTGTATCTGAAACAGGAGAGGACGAGAAACGCTCTCAGGGAATGTGAATGTATGGTTATTGGAATGTGATCTTGACCTGGCAGGGGCCCCTGAGATATAGATTGGCAAGCCTGTGGAAATCAACGGACAGACTGTGGGAATGTTCTTTACGGAGGTGTGGAAATGGCGTCTGTCCTTTATGTGATATGACTCTTGGAGAGTGTAAAACCCACACAGGAGATGTTTGTTTTCAACCCGCTTGTGAAGATTATCAGAGATCACAAAGAAAGGAATATATGATAATAACAACAAGAAGATGAGGAAAATAACAAAGAGACTATCTGGATAGGTAAAGGTAAAGGTACCCCTGCCCGTACGGGCCAGTCTTGACAGACTCTAGGGTTGTGCGCCCATCTCACTCAAGAGGCCGGGGGCCAGCGCTGTCCAGAGACACTTCCGGGTCACGTGGCCAGCGTGACATCGCTGCTCTGGCGAGCCAGAGCCGCACACGGAAACGCCGTTTACCTTCCCGCTAGTAACTGGTCCCTATTTATCTACTTGCACCCGGGAGTGCTTTCGAACTGCTAGGTTGGCAGGCGCTGGGACCGAGCGACGGGAGCGCACCCCGCCGCGGGGATTCGAACCGCCGACCTTTCGACCGGCAAGCCCTAGGCGCTGAGGCTTTTACCCACAGCGCCACCCGCGTCCCTATCCGCGTCATCTGGATAGAACTGTTTAATTAAAGCAGCAGAGCGATGTTTGGACCCCTTTTGGAGCTTGAAGTATGGGCACCCCCAACAAAATTTTAAAAATCTGGCAGTATAATTAGGAACTAATGTGATTTGGAATTAATGTGATTTGATTGGCCTGGTAATAAAAATTATATTTAAAAAAAAAGAAAGAAAAAGAAAAACGCTCTCAGGGCCAGGATGCGTGCGGTCAACTCTGGAGCCGCTAGGACTCTGCCAAGCTCCTTACCCATAATTTGTGCCGGTCTGGGAGGCAAAGGGATCAGCGTGGGCATCATAGTCGTTTTCAGGGCTCCCTTGGACTTCTGGAAAGGATACAGGACACAGAGACAGTCTGAAAACCACAACCTCCATTTCTTTTTATAAAAAAACAATTTTTATTGAATGATTTTATGCTACAAAAAAACAATACGGCCATACCACCACTAAATATAATTAAGAAATAAAAATTACATACATCGATATTTAGTTTATTTGTTATTTACCGTCTTATTTCCTCCCAAACATTGCATAAAAACAACACACATATGTGCAGACACCCACACACCCACACAAAATGATAATAATGGAAGTAAATATTTTTTCCCCTTTTTATCTTGCAAAATCTTTTCTTCAACTTTGACTTCCTGTCGAGTCCCTTTGCATATATTTTATCCTACATTTGGATGTACACAAAACATTAAACCTTCCTATATAATTTTCCTAATACATTCTGAAAACATAATAAATCCTTAATTGTTGTCCACCTCCTTTTAGTTCCTTTATCCCTCGGATGCTAGCACGGAGTCAAAGCTATTCTTGTATTTTTGAACATATCTTCTATAACCATCCCGTTTTCCCGCAAATTTTTGATTTGAGTTTCCTCTGAGTTTACTAGTCAGTTGAGCCGTCTCCACCAATTCCTGTAATTTGATCTGCCAATCTGTTATTTTTGGAACCTCGTGATTTTACCATCCCTTGGCCACAAGTATACCTCCATTTCTAGACTAGGGTAGGGTTGCCTTACGCCGGTTTCCCCGGTAACCGCCCTACAAAATGGCTTCCGGGCGGATTTTTGCCGATCGGAAAAATGTCTGGGGAAACTCGGGATGTAAGGTAAGAATTACTATTTTTTAATGCTTAAAAAAATGCAAAAATAAGCCCCCCAAATGTATAATCTATAGGGGGTGTCCCCAAAAAAAGTTCAACAACAATTTCACGGGCAATCCATTGGCACCACACATTTTAAGAATAATAATTTAATGTTTGCACCCCACCCGTTTGACTGGGTTGCCCCAGCCGAATATGAAAACACAGCGAAGAATCAGGCATTTAAAAAGGCATTTAATAATGATATTAAAACACACACGAAGGCGCAATATGGTTTCAGCACCCTGGACAGAGCAGAAGCTCTTTTATTGCACCCATTTCAAAGCACGGGGAAACTGACCAAAGCTGAACCCACAGCCTACCCTTGAAAGCAGAAGCGGTCCACTTTAAACAGTCACGGCTTGCCCCAAAGGATCCTGGGAGCTGTAGTTTGCTGAGAGTTCTTAGGCTACAATTCCCAGAGTTCCCCAGGACAGAGGGACTGGTTGTTAGGCTGGGTAATGTAGTTCTATGAGGGGATGAGAGGGTTCTCCTGACAGTTAGCACCCTGAATAAAAACTACAGTTCCCAGAATTCCTGGAGTGTTTAAAGCGGTATTGCAGTTCTTTCAACGGTTGGGGGTGGATGGTGATGGATGAATCGAGGTTGAATCCTGACAAGACAGAAGGACTGTTTTGGGGGGACAGGGGGCGGGCAGCTGGGGGGGACTCCCTGGTCCTGAATGGGGTGACTGTGACCCCGAAGGACCAGGTGCGCAGCCTGGGAGTCATTTTGGACTCACAGCTGTCCAGGAGGCGCAGGTCAAATCCGTGTCCAGGGCAGCTCCATCTGGTATGCAGGATGAGACCCTCCCTGCCCACAGACTGTCTGGCCAGAGTGGAGCATGCTCTGGTTATCTCCCGCTTGGACTACCGCAATGCGCTCTACATGGGGCTGCCTTTGAAGGTGACCCGGAAACTGCAATTAATCAAGAATGTGGCAGCTAGACTGGTGACCAGGAGCGGCCACTGAGACCGTATAACACCGGTCTTGAAAGACCTACATTGGCTCCCAGGATGTTTCCAAGCACAATTCAAAGTGTTGGTGCTGACCTTGAAAGCCCTAACGGCCCAGTAGACCTGAAGGAACGTCTCCACCCCCATCGTCCAGCCCGGACACCGGGGTCCATCTCCCAAGGGCCTTCTGGCGGTTCCCTCCCTGAGAGAAGCGAGGTTACAGGGAACCAGGCAGAGGGCCTTCTCGGTGGTGGCACCCTCCCTTCAGATGTCAAGGAAATAAACAACTATCTGACTTTCAGAAGATATCTGAAGGCAGCCCTGTACAGGGATGTTTTAAATGTTTGATGTTTCATTATGCTTCTATATTTGTTGGAAGCTGCCCATTGTGGCTGGGGAAACCGAGTCAGATGGGCAGGGTACAAATAATAACATTATTATTATTATTATTATTATTATTATTATTATTATTATTAACAGAAGGTGTGATTGGGGCCTTTACTCAGTCCATCATGTCTGCAGCTTATGGAGTATTTACGGATAAGGCAGAGACTTCACCTGAGCTATAGAGGGTGTCAGGGGCAGAAAAGGAGTTGGGGGGAAATCGAGCCCCCAAAATGGAGGTTTCTCCACTGCTGGGATAGACAAACAAGGCCCCCCCTTTTGGATAGAAAATCTAGCCACCCCAAAACCCTTTGCCCAGGCACGCAAAATGCAAGATTCAAGGGCCCCTTTGCAACCTGGCAAAAACATTTGGCGGGGAAGGGCCAGGGGGGAAGGATCCAGGAGCCAGATTGAGAGGTCTAGGGGGCCACATCTGAACCCTGAACCACCCCCCCAGGGCCTGAGTCCCTGCCGTAAAACCTCTCAGCCGCCTTCGAAGCCAAAAACCAGCCACCTTGACAGAGAGATGGGAGAGACAGGAGATGAACTCACCACGAAGTGGGGGTGTCATTGACTTTTCGGGTGACGTTTGCTCGGAGCGCCGTAGGGTCCTGTGTTTGGGGAGGGAAGGAGATTTTTTGAAAAGCACTAGTGAAGAATGGGAATTAAAGTGAAGCGAGTCCTGGGAACTCGCAAAAGTGACCAAATTATTAAGGAATAAACCAAAGGAAGTAGTCAAAAAGGAGTGGGAAGGCTTTAAGACTTATCTAACGAGTCAAGGTTCAACAAGCAAAATTTGGCCGTGCCTAGAATAAATCCATAAGTGGAGAAAATGCTTCCTTATACCAGGGTCAGCAATCTTTTTCAGACGTAGGCCGGATTGAGATAGATAGAATAGAATAGAATAGAATAGAATAGATTCTTTATTGTCATTACACAAGTGCAACATTGCACAAAGTGCAACGAAATTGGATGCCATCCCTTAAAACAACAAAAGCAAAACAACAACAACAACCAAACAAACCACATTCCAGCCACACCAACACCCATCAAACTCCCAGGTCACACTATCGAGTTACAGCATTCAAAAAGGCCAAAAAGATAGATGATAGATAGATAGATAGATAGAGAAAGAAAGAGAGAGAGAGATAAATGATAGATAGATAGAAAGAGAGAGAGAGAGATAGAAAGAAAGAGAGAGAGGAAGAGAGAGAAAGACAGAGAGATAGACAGAGAGAGAGAGAAAGAGAGAGAGAGAGAGAAAAAAGAAAGAAAGAAAGAAAGAAAGAAAGAAAGAAAGAAAGAAAGAAAGAAATAGATAGATGATAGATAGAAGATAGATAGATAGAGAGAGAGACAGAGAGAGAGAGAGAAAGAAAGAAAGAGAGATAGAGAAAGAGAGAGAGAGAGAGAGAGAGAAATGATAGATAGATAGATAGATAGAAAGAGAGAGAGAGATAGAAAGAGAGAGAGGAAGAGAGAGGAAGACAGAGAGATAGACAGAGAGAGAGAGAGAGAGAGAAAGAGAGAGAGAGAGAGAAAGAAAGAAGGAAGGAAGGAAGGAAGGAAGGAAGGAAGGAAGGAAGGAAGGAAGGATAGAGAGAGAGAGAGAGAGAGAATGAGAGAGAGAGAGAGAGATAGAAAGACAGAGAGAGAGAGACGGGGGGGGGGGGCAGGAGGGCAAAGGAAATGAGACACCCGCCCCCCATCCAGGCATCTTAGAGAAAAGCTTACGGGGCCGGATTCCACTTTGGAGATCCCGGCGAGTCCGGCCCGCTCGCTGGAGCAGTTGGAGGCGGCGAGATGTCCGAGCCGAGGTCAGAGATGTCTTTGGGAAAAGAAAACAAAGAGGAATAATTTCGCGGTGCGTCACTTTCTGCGAGCGCAGAAGTGCTAAGAACTCCCTGGCCCTCACTCACCGTCCAGATGGGAGCTTTCGCTCTCGCTGTCTCTCACTTGGGGAATGTTCACCAGGAATTGGCTGTTGTCCCGAAGGACCACCAATGTCAGCCTCCCCTCCGAGAGCTCGATCAACCGCCGCGTCTCCTCCAGGGACAGATTCTCACTCGACACCCCATTGATCTGGAAAGAGAGGAGATTCTCTTGAACCCGGAGATTTAGCATCTCACGCTCAGCCGACTAAGCTGAGCGCTGTTAGAAGGTCAGGAAATGTATAGGACTAGCTCCAACATGCCATCAGGTTATTCTTTTAGTTAAACGAATCGTTTAAATTGCTATTAAGGAAAGGGCTGTTTTTCTCCACCGCGGAAAAGTTGTCCAAATGTAAACAGTTAACTTGTTAAATCTCACAAAAATCATTTCATAGTTATCTAACTTACGTATTTCTAGGTAAATGTAAAGGTAAAGGGACCCCTGACCATTAGGTCCAGTCGTGGCCGACTCTGGGGTTGTGGCGCTCATCTTACTTTACTGGCCGAGGGAGCCGGCGTACAGCTTCTGGGTCATGTGGCCAGCAGGACTAAGCCGCTTCTGGCAAACCAGAGCAGCACATGGAAACGCCGTTTATCTTCCCGCCGGAGCTGGACCTATTTATCTACTTGCACTTTGACGTGCTTTTGAACTGCTAGGTGGGCAGGAGCAGGACACATTCTAATCATTTAAAAACACCAGGCAGGCCACAGAAATAACCCAGAGGTGCATTTTAAATAAAGGGACACATTCTACTCATGTAAAAACACACTGATTCCCAGACCGTCTGCGGGCCGGATTGAGAAGGCGATTGGGCCGGATCCAGCCCCCGGGCCTTAGGTTGCCTACCCATGACTTACATCGTAGGAGCCTACACAACACAAAATCCTGTTGCTGCATATAGGTTTTATTTTATTTCTTTTTTTTCTTATATTTTGGAAATGCATATTCAGAGTTTTTTCCCTTTAAATTTTTTTGGAGGCAGCCCCAAGAGAGCGGACACCTAAGCTAGAGCTTGTTTAATTTATACGTAAATTTGGCACTGATTCTGGGACTGATGTGGTTTTAGAAACACTGTACAGACAGAGCCTAGGACCGATTATACTGGAAGGGTGTATTACCCGTTTTTTATGTGGTATGAAAATTGAATAAACAAAGATAAAGCAAATATTAAAAAGGAAGGATATTAATAAACAATATATCCTCTCCTGCCACCCTGAACATTCCCACAAATTGCGGGTGTAATTGCTCCGAGATTTGAACGAAGGCCCTCTCCCACCCAACTCACCTTCAGTATGAGGTCTCCCTCCTGCAAAGAACTGTCCTTAGCCGCCAATCCTGTGTCCGTAATGTGTTTAATAAATATCTGGCTCCCCAACTTCAAGCCAAACTCTGCATTTTTGTTGGGTTTTGGGGGAGGGAGGAGAGAGAAAAACGGAGACATTTGGGTGAAATGAACGGCAGATTCTGCAATAGTTCTTCAAGCGCTTTCAAGGGGGGGGGGAGGCAGATAAATCAATGGAATATGTAGAATTGACAAATAGGAATAAGGAACCAGGAAGCCGCGCTTTGGTTTCCAAACGTTTTGGAAGTGCTACTTCCGAGGTACCACTGTATATTTAAAGAAGATGAACAAATGAGCAAATTAGGTTGATTTGGATATGCACAAGATACTAGAAATAAATTTAAGGAACCTCAAAAAGAGGGGGAAGGAAGTCAAGTTTCGAAATGTCAAGATGGCTGTAAAACTAGTGAAATGTATAAAATTAGTGAAATGTTAAACTTGAAAAATACAAATTAATTTTTTTAAAAAAGAATACACACACACACACACACACACACATATATATCTTAAGGATGCAAAATGCTTATCTGAAATTGTAAAACAGAAAAATTAATAAAAAGTCATATTAAAAAGGCGAAGAATCTTTACGTAAAAGAAAAAAAGAGGAGAGGGAAATCGGGGTGGAAATCCCACTCACCTTCGCTCTCCTTGCTCTTTACCAGAACGGAGCGGACCGGTTTCATCGGCACGTCCTGCTGCGGAAGCCTCTTGAACCCGGATACCAGGGCCAGCCCACTAGCGCTGCCCCGGTGGCTGTACCCATTGGTGAAGCGCTGCCGGTCCGACCCGCTGTCTTGGCTCCGCCTCCGGTGCCCGCCGTCTTGGCTCCGCCTCCTGCTGCGGACCGGGTGCCTGCGGGGGGCGTCTTCCTCGTCCCGGTGCCGCCCGGAGCTCCTCTCGCTGGACGAGTCGCCGTCGTAGCCGCGGTTGTGCTCCGCCTCGGCCTGGCGCCGGCCGCCAGCCACCAACCCGCCCCGCGCGGAAGGCGCCCGGTAGCCGGCGTCCTCGTCGGAGTCGCCGTCACGCAAAGCGGGGCTGGAGAGCGGGAGGCTTTTGGGCGGGCTTGGCTTCGCTACGGGGAGGTGCACTTTTCGGGGGCGCTTCACTGTCTGCGAGGGGAGAAAATGGAATGCAATGGTACCTTGGTTCTCAAACACCTTGGTTCTCAAACCCCTTGGTTTCCAAATGCCTTGGTTCTCAAACACCTTGGTTCTCATCTCGCTTTACTGGCCAAGGGAGCCAGCGTACAGCTTCTGGGTCATGTGGCCAGCAGGACTAAGCCGCTTCTGGCGAACCAGAGCAGCGCACGGAAACGACGTTTACCTTCCCGCCAGAGCGGTACCTATTTATCTACTTGCGCTGGTGTGCTGCTAGGTTGGCAGGAGCAGGGACCGAGCAACGTGAGCTCACCCCGTCACGGGGATTCGAACCACCGACCTTCTGATCGCCAAGTCCTAGGCTCTGTGGTTTAACCCACAGCGCCACCCGCGTCCCTTGTATACGAGTTACATCACTGTAATTATAATTATAATTATTATAATTATAATTATTGTTATCAATCCAGGAGCAATAAAGCCTTTGCTCTTGAGAGCAAAGCTATAGCTTCTTTAGCTTACAGTGGTACCTCGGGTTACATACGCTTCAGGTTACATACCCTTCAGGTTACACACTCCGCTAAGCCAGAAATAGTGCTTCAGGTTAAGAACTTTGCTTCAGGATGAGAACAGAAATCGTGCTGCAGCGGCACAGCGGCAGCGGGAGGCCCCCTTAGCTAAAGTGGTGCTTCAGGTTAAGAACAGTTTCAGGTTAAGAACGGACCTCCGGAACGAATTACGTACTTAACCCGAGGTACCACTGTATACGTAAAACTGGCACTGCGTCCAACTCCACAGATTGATGACTAGGAAGAACTTTCCGGAGCAAAGAGCCTTTTGGCTCCCTCGGGAGATAGCGGGCTCTCCTTCTCCAGAGGTTTTTAAACAGAGGTTGGGCGGCCATTTGTCGGGAATTCTGCGATTTCCGCACAGCCGGGGTTGGACTAGATGACTCTTGGGACCCTTGACATAGACGTCGTAAGTTACCGTATTTTTCTCTCTATAAGACGCACCAGACCACAAGACGCACCTAGTTTTTGGAGGAGGAAAACAAGAAAAAAAATATTCTGAATCTCAGAAGCCAGAACAGCAAGAGGGATCGCTGCGCAGCGAAAACAGCAATCCCTCTTGCTGTTCTGGCTTCTGGGATAGCTGCGCAGCCTGCATTCGCTCCATAAGACGCACACACATTCCCCCTTACTTTTTAGGAGGGGAAAAGTGAGTCTTATAGAGCAAAAAATACGGTAGCCTACATTGTAAAGAGACACAAAAATAGTGTGCGGTTGGGGGAATCTGCTATCTCAGATTTTGTTCAGAATGCGTCGAGAACGTCGGAGTTATATGGCCTTGAATCAGCGATAGGAGTGGAAACTCTGTTCCGTCGGATAATATCCGGCTTGGACAACGCAGGCCTGCTTTCCCTCAAAGCCTCTGTTTCTGCGCATGCATGCAGCTAAATACCTTATTTTTTGTGGGACTCGAACCCACAGCCCCAAGATTAAGAGTCCCATGCTATTATCCACTGAGCTGTTGCTCAATTTAAAGGCATGCCTCTTCCGGAGCGATTGGCTGAGGGTCGCCGTCAAGGAGTTGGCGCTGGCTCTTACTCACAATATTGGCGGCTTTCCCGCAGCCTTTCAGGGTGTGGATAGCAAAGGAGGACGACACGTTCTCCATGGAGATACCATTCACCATGGCTATCTTGTCCCGGGTCCTGGAAAAAAAAGTCTTGTGAGATGGGCCAAGAGCGATCAGCAAACAAAAAAATTCTGACCCTCCCAAACCATTAAAAAAAACCTTTCGAGGATTCCATAGAAAGCTCATTTCCCTCTTTCCTGGCTGCCATGTGGGTTCGCCAAGCCACGGTTTCCAGTTTGCTCGCTTCCAGCAAACTGGACTTCAGATCAAACCATGGTTTGTGGGTTCGCCAAGCCACGGTTTCCAGTTTGCTCGCTTCCAGCAAACTGGACTTCAGATCAAACCATGGTTTGTGGGTTTGCCAAGCCACGGTTTCCAGTTTGTTCACTTCCAGCAAACTGGACTTAAGATCAAACCATGGTTTGTGGGTTCATCAAGCCACGGTTTCCAGTTTGCTCGCTTCCAGCAAACTGGACTTAAGATCAAACCATGGTTTGTGGGTTCGCCAACCACAGTTTCCAGTTTGCTCGCTTCCAGCAAACTGGACTGCAGATCAAACCATGGTTTCCTGGCAGCCTGCTAAAGCTGCCTGGTTTAAGGTTACTCACTGGAGCCGGCCATCAGCAGGGCCCCCGGGCACCACGTCGGAGATGATGATGGATGTGTCTCCGTCGACGCCACTGGGGCGATCCCGGCCTCCCGATATGGCAATGCCGAAGCCCCTCCGGGGATCCTGCATGGAAAGAGGGCAATGGACATGTCAGTTCCCTTCTGCACTCCAATTTAATTTGATTCCAGTTTGTTTGCTTCCAGAAAAATGGACTTAAGATCAAACCATGGTTGGTGGGTTCCCCAACCATGGTTTCCACTCGCTTCCAGCAAACTGGACTTAAGATCAAACCATGGTTTCTGGGTTCAGCAACTATGGTTTTCTGTTCGCTTGCTTCCAGAAAACAGTAGTTAAGTTCAAACCATGGTTTGTGGGTTCCCTAACCATGGTTTCCAGTTCGCTCGCTTCCAGAAAACTGGACTTAAGATCAAACCATCGTTTCTGGGTTCACCAACCAAGGTTTCCAGTTCTTTTGCTTCCAGAAAACTGGACTTCAGATCAAACTATGCTTTCTGGGTTCAGTAACCATGGTTTCCTCTTCGTTCGCTTCCAAAACACTGGACTTAAGATCAAACCATGGTTTGTGAGTTCACCGACCATGGTTTCCATGGTTCCAGAAAACTAGACTTAAAATCAAACCATGGTTTGTTGGTCTGTTGGTTGAGCAAAAAACGGGTGCAAAAGCTTCCACAAACTTCTTTGTGGATGCGCCAGGGGAGGGGAGGGGAAAGTTCCCCAGGTTTTGGGCCATGCTAAACCAAGGGCAAGGAACCTTTTCAGGACAAAGGGCAACTTTTGCATGTGGGTCACTTAGTTTCAGGAGTGAGCCGGCCGTAAATCACACCGTGCAAGCTGGAGTTAGCAAAAACAGGATCTGCACAGGAGAGTCTTGCCTAATGAGCAGAGCAGATCATTCCCGGTGATCTATGTTTAAAAAATGCTTGATATTTGATGTTCATTTTTGTGGTGTCCAAACTTTTTTTTCAAGGAGGGCCAGATTTGATGAAGTGAAGGCCGTGAGGGCCAACCAAAGCTGTTGAGTTGTGGAGGTTTTTGTAGGATTTTACCCCAGGAGATAATCTGCCACAGGGGCCGGATTAAACTGACTGGTGGGCCGGATTGGGTCCCCAAAACGGACTTTGGACATGCCTGCTGTATACTATATTTTCCTTCTCCTTTCAAACATTAATATATATTTTTTTAAAGCAAAGAAACACACACACACACAAATCAGAAAATTATCTGCTTATTTCTTGGGCTCATTCTGTTATTGGTCTGTGTCGCCCCCCCAACTGTATTACCTGGGTTATGAAGGCGCCCAAAAGATGTTAAAGCAAAGATTATGGGATATTTCACACAGTGACTTGCGATCTCGATCACACGCAGTCTGTAGTCCGCTGGCAGTAGGGGTACAATATGGGCATGTCTTTAAGTTAACACTTTACATTAAAAACCTGACAGTACCAAACTATCAAAGGCTTTTCACCAAAGCCAGACTAAACGTCTTTCCTTCTGCAGCGTTGAGAGGAGTTCCCTACCAGGACAGACTTTGCTCGTATGCTCAAGACATCGAGTCCATAAAACATATTTTGTTGCACTGTGCAAAATATGAGCAAGCCAGGGCTGAACTGATAGTACCCTTTCTGGTCCCTTTCCCGGGAAAATCAGAGGCTCACTATGTCAGGTTCCTATTGGAAGACCGGACAACCGCTAGAACATTAGCAGTGGCGAGGTTTTTATCGGTGGTTGCAAGAACCAATGATCCCTATATTCCGCACAAAATGCTTGTTTAACCTGGAGGTAGGCTGTCTGAATTGTGTATTGCTTTGTAACGATTTGTTGGGTCTCTGGACCGTAATAAAGATTGTTGTTGTTATTCTGCTGCTTATTTATCAAATCACTCACCCTGCTTAGCGTTACTGTATACTGTTCCCATATTATCATCTCCTCCATGTCTGCAACCTAGGAAAAGAAGGAAAACATTGTAAAACAACTTCAGGGATATACACAAACAGAAAGAGAGCAGGCAGCCAAAGAATTAGCCCTTTATGTCAAATCAATGTCTGATTCAGCTTCTGTTTTCTCTCTTAAAAAGCCCCTTTTACACATTGGAAGGGGTTGGACTTAGATGCCCCTTGAGGGTCCCTTAAAAGGTAAAGGTAAAGGGACCCCTGACCATTAGGTCCAGTCGCAGACGACTCTGGGGTTGCAGCGCTCATCTCGCTCTATAGGCCGAGGGAGCCGGCGTACAGCTTCCGGGTCATGTGGCCAGCAGGACTAAGCCGCTTCTGGCGAACCAGAGCAGTGCATGGAAACGCCGTTTACCTTCCCGCCGGAGCGGTACCTATTTATCTACTTGCACTTGGACGTGCTTTCAAACTGCTAGGTTGGCAGGAGCTGGGACTGAGCAACGGGAGCTCACCCAGTCGCGGGGATTCGAACCGCCGACCTTCTGATCGGCAAGTCCTAGGCTCTGTGGTTTAACCCACAGCGCCACCTGCGTCCCTTTGAGGGTCCCTTGCAACACTATAATTCTATGATTTTCAGTTTCCTCACCTGCTCTGCCCTTTCCCTCGACTCTCCATTGCCAACTAACACTCACTACATTTATGCACATGTGGTGGAAGCGTAAGAGAATTTTGGGTGCTCTAGAGGCACCGTATTTTTCGCTCTATAAGACGCACCAGACCACAAGACGCACCTAGTTTTTGGAGGAGGAAAACAAGAAGAAAAATATTCTGAATCTCAGAAGCCAGAAAAACAAGAGGGATCGCTGCGCAGCGAAAGCAGCGATCCCTCTTGCTGTTCTGGCTTCTGGGATAGCTGCGCAGCCTGCATTCACTCCATAAGGCGCACACACATTTCCCCTTACTTTTTAGGAGGGGAAAAGTGAGTCTTATAGAGCAAAAAATACAGTATGTCCATGGAAAATCAAGAGAAATCGTAGACCTCTTTTCATGAACGCAACCACAGCGGCTACGGATTTTAATAGCAAAATCATTGGAAAAGTGATAACATAACCCCACAAAAAACCCAACTGGCAAGCAAAAATGAGAGAATATTTACAACTTGCAAGGATGACGGGGAGATTAAGAGGAAACTCAGTACCAGAAAGTTATTAAAGACTGGACAATGTTTAAAAGAATACCTTAAAAGCCATTGTGACAACGGTCAACTCCTGGCAGACTTAGAATGAATCTTGAAATACAAAGAAAGTCTATAGCAGAATGTTCTTGATAAGAAATGGGGAAAAAATAATAATAATGAACTCTGTACAGATTAACAAAATGTAAAATAGTACAATGAGAAGAACCGGAAGTTCGTGTCGAAGGTGTGTTGGTGTTGTAATGCAGTTTGTATTATAAGTATTGTCTAAGTTAAAATGATGAGCTATGTGTAAATTGATGTTGATTGATGTTTAATGAAGATTAAATTTAAAAAAAACACCACCCACATGCCCCCTTACCTTAATCCATCGCCCATTATTATTATTATTATTATTATTATTATTTATATACCATCCTATACCCAGAGGTCTCAGGGCGGTTCGCAGAACAAACCCAAAATACAAAACCGCAAAATATATAATCAAAATAAAAACAACAACCCAATACCCTGCCCTTTACTTCCGCAACCCTTCCCTTCTGGCATAGAATCGCAGAATCGTATCGTTGGGAGCCTGAGGGTCATCTAGGCTGACCCCATGAAAATGGAGGAATTGTGTTGCCCTCGAGCACAAGATTTCCCCCACAAAGTTGCTCTCACCCCTGGGACCCCTGTTTGTGAGAGTTTCGTCCCAGCTGAACTAACAACTCCACGCTCCTCGTGGCAAGCGAGCCGCTGACATCTCGACGGCTCCCTTTCTCCTCCCCTGCCAACTTGGAATGTTTGGGGACATTCCGTGACCTCACAGAAGCACGAGCCAAACAGCGGCAAGAAGATCACATGCGGCCTTTCTCTCCTGAAAAGGGATCAACAGGATCCCTCCAGGGCACACCGCAGCTCAGATACGATACAGTGGTACCTCGGGTTAAGTATTTAATTCGTTCCGGAGGTCTGTACTTAACCTGAAACTGTACTTAACCTGAAGCACCACTTTCGCTAATGGGGCCGCCGGAGCACGATTTCTGTTCTCATCCTGAAGCAAAGTTCTTAACCTGAAGCACTATTTCTGGGTTAGCGGAGTCTGTAACCTAAGGCGTATGTAACCTGAAGCGTCTGTAACCCGAGGTACCACTGTACAATACGATAATCTTTACTGTCATCGTCCCATACAGAACAACGAAACTGAAAATCTACATCAGACATTCAGAAACCAACAAGCCTCCTATCCCAGCCTGGTTAACCCCCTAAAAACCCTGATACACCATAATTAAATATAATATACTCCCATAGAGACTACCTTAAAGGTAAAGGGACCCCTGCCCATTAGGTCCAGTCGTGTCCGACTCTGGGGTTGCGGCGTTCATCTCGCTTTATTGGCTGAGGGAGCCGGCGTACAGCTTCCGGGTCATGTGGCCAGCAGGACTAAGCCGCTTCTGGCGAACCAGAGCAGCGCACGGAAACGCCGTTTACCTTCCCGCCAGAGGGGTACCTATTTATCTACTTGCACTTTGACGTGCTTTCGAACTGCTAGGTGGGCAGGAGCAGGGACCGAGCAACGGGAGCTCAGCCCGTCATTGCGGGGATTCGAACCGCCGACCTTCCGATCGGCAAGTGCTAGGCTCTGTGGTTTAACCCCTAGAGACTACCTTACACTGCGTTTCAAACCAAAATCGCATTTGGATAGAAACTGTTTCTCAGGCGGCTAGTCCTAGTCTTTATAACCCAGAAGGCAGAAGCTGAAAGAGATCATTTCCGGGGTGCGCGCTATCCTGCGCTATCTCTGCCACTTTCTTATGGCACCTGGCAGCATAGATTTGATCCAAGGCGGGAAGAGTGCGCCCAATTATTCTCTCCGCAGTCTTTACAACCCTGGACAGCATTGTTTTTCCCCTGGCCGTGCAGCTCCCAAACAGCACACAGAGACCATAAATTAATACACTCTCCACAGTACAATGGTAAAATGCCATCAGCAGGTCCTTTGAGAGATTGTTTTTCCGGAGGATTCTCAGAAAATATAACCTCTGCTGTGCTCTCTTCATCAGGTCTTTGCTGTTTTCTCCCCAGGTTAGGTCATCTCGCAACTCCATTCCCAGAAATCGAAACACCGGGACCTGTTCCACGCACTTCCCCTCAATAATAAGAGTTGTGTATTCATGGAAGTTGATGCGCTGGGCATTGGGGAATAGCAACTACCAGGTGAGGCGGCGAAGAGGGAAATCTTTCGCTTGCTGCTCCTTTCTCAGCCAAACTCTAATAACTAAACGCCAGGCAGAATTTTATAGACTTCTATCATGTTGCTACCATAAAGAAGGCTGATCGCCGAAGAATGGATGCTTTTGAATTCTGGTGCTGGAGGAGACTCTGGAGAGTCCCATGGACTGCAAGAAGATCAAACCTCTCCATTCGGAAGGAAATCAGCCCTGAGTGCTCACTGGAAGGACAGATCTTGAAGCTGAGGCTCCAAGACTTTGGCCACCTCATGAGAAGAGAAGGCTCCCTGGAAAAGACCCTGATGTTGGGAAAGATGGAGGGCACAAGGAGAAGGGACGACAGAGGACGAGATGGTGGGACAGTGTTCTCGAAGCTACCAGCATGAGTTTGACCAAAATGCGGGAGGCAGTGGAAGACAGGAGGGCCTGGCGTGCTCTGGTCCAGGGGGTCACGAAGAGTCGGACACGACTAAATGACTAAACAACAACAATCATGTTGCTCCTCACGCCCCTTTACTTTAAAACTAAATAGTCCCAAACTTTTCAATCCCCTCGATCATCCGAGTCATTTTTCCAATGCCCGCTTTGAGGAGAGGTGACCAGAACCCAAATGCATCATAGATTTCTTCAATTGCATTAACAACCACCACCACCACAACTTATTATTTATACCCGGCCCATCTGGCTGGGTTTCCCCAGCCACTCTGGGTGGCTCCCAGCATAATAATAATAATAATAATAATAATAATAATAATAATAATAATATTTATATCCCGCCTGCCCCAGCCGAAGCAGGGCTCAGAGCGGCTAACAACAGTAAAAGTAACACAGTTTACATAAAATCACAATCCATTAATTGAAATACATTCTAAATCAATTCATTCTAAATATTAAAAGCACAACAGAACATCAAACACTAAAAACTTCCCTGAACAGATGTCTTCTAAAAGTCAGATAGTTGTTTATTTCCTTGACAACTGATGGGAGGGTGTTCCACAGGGAGGGCGCCACCACTGAGAAGGGCCTCTGCCTGGTTCCCTGTAACCTCACTTCTCGCAGGAAGGGAACCGCCAGAAGGCCCTCAGAGATGGATCTCAGTGTCTGGGCTGAATGATGGGGGTGGAGACGCTCCTTCAGGTATACCGGACCGTTTAGGGCTTGAAAGGTCAGCACCAACACTTTGAAGTGTGCCCGGAAATGTCCTGGGAGCCAATGGAAGTCTTTCAAGTGTTATATGGTCTCGGTGGCCGCTCCCAGTCCGCAGTCTAGCAGCCGCATTCTGGATTAGTTGTAGTTTCCGGGTCACCTTCAAAGGTAGCCCCACGGAGAGCGCATGGCAGTAGTCCAAGCGGGAGATAACCAGAGCATGCACCACTCTGGCCAGACAGTCTGCGGGCAGGAAGGGTCTCATCCTGCGTACCACGTGGAGCTGCCCTGGACACAGAACTGACCTGCGCCTCCATGGACAGCTGTGAGTCCAGAATGACCCCCAGGCTGCGCACCTGGTCCTTCGGGGGCAGAGTGACCCCATTCAGGACCAGGGAGTCCCCCACACCTGCCTGCCCCCTGTCCCCCCAAAACAGTCCTTCTGTCTTGTAAGGATTCAAACCTTAAGCATAGATTTGTACGGCGGCCATAACGATGCCTTCATCGCGGGGGGGTCAGACTAGATGACTCTAGGGGTCCCTTGCAACTCTACCATTCTATAAAATCGGCCCTTTTTATTCCCCTAAATGACGCCTAGCGTGGGATTTGCTGCTGGGCGTGACTTGCAGGGAGCAAGCAAAACACTATCTGCCCCCTCCCCAAAATCAATGCAAGCCAATTTTTTATTTAAAGTGCCCCCTTTACTTCTAATTGAGGAAGGGAGCTGTTTATGCTTGCTTTTAAAAACGAGCTTTTTTTTTTTAACTAGCCCCGATTTATTTATTTTTATTTTCCGCAGGGTATATGGGGTCTGTAATAATTGGCTTACCTCAGATGGGGGTCTAAGGCGATAACGACGCCTTTAAATCTGCCACTCAGAAGCATGGAGGTATTTCGATAAGCGGATCAGCTCTTTCGGCTGAAAAAACGGGCTCTCTTTAAAGAAATAAATAACTTAACCGCCGGCAGGCAGATAAAGCATTCCAAGAAGTTTTGGAAGAAGGCGGGCGGGGGGAATAATTCGTGGTGAAATTAGGTCAAGGTGGCTGAAGAAAGGAAGAGGCGAATGTTGCCAATAGGGAGAGAAAGAGAAGGGGGGGGGAGAGAGAGAGAGAGAGAGAGAGAGAAGGAAGGAAGGAAGGAAGGAAGGAGGAAGAAAGAGAGGGGGAGAGAAAGAAAGAAAGAAAGAAAGAAAGAAAGAAAGAAAGAAAGAGGAAGAAAGAGAGAGGGGGGAAGGAAGGAAGGATGAAGGAAGGGAGGGAGGGAGGGAGGGAGGGAGGGAAAGAGAGAGAGGGAGAGAGAGAGAGGGAGAGAAAGAAGGAAGGAAAGAAAGAAGAAGAAAGAAAGAAAGAAAGAAAGAAAGGAAGGAAGGAAGGAAGGAAGGAAGGAAGGAGAAAGAGGAAGAAAGAGAGAGGGGAAGGAAGGAAGGAAGGAAGGAAGGAAGAAGGGAAAGAAAGAGAGAGAGAGAAAAGAAAGAAAGAGAGAGAGAGAGAGAAGAAGAGAGAGAGAGAGAAAGAAAGAAAGAAAGAAAGAAAGAAAGAAAGAAAGAAAGAAGGAAGGAAGGAAGGAAAGAGGAAGAAAGAGAAAGAAAGAGAAAGAGAGAAAGAGAGGGAGAGAGAAAGAAAGAGAGAAAGAGAGGGAGAGAAAGAAAGAAAGGGGGAAGGAAGGAAGGAAGGAAGGAAGGAAGGAAGGAAGGAAGGAAGGGAAAGAAAGAGGAAGAGAGGAAGAGAAAAAGAGGAAGAAAGAGAAAAAAAGAGAAAGAGAGAAAGAGAGAAAGAGAGGGAGAGAGAAAGAAAGAGAGGAAGAGAGGAAGAAAGAAAGAAAGAAAGAAAGAAAGAAAGAAAGAAAGAAAGAAAGAGGGGTCTACGAAATACTTTGGCGGAGGGTTAAAAGCTAAAGGTAAAGGGACCCCTGACCATTAGGTCCAGTCGTGGCCGACTCTGGGGTTGTGGCGCTCATCTCGCTTTACTGGCCGAGGGAGCCGGCGTACAGGTTCCGGTTATCCGCGGGCAAAAATATTATATGTGCCCGGCCTAACATCTTTCCATAAAAGAAATCCCTTCTTTGCCGGGGAATCCTAGGCGACCCCTTCCAACTCTTAACGATTCGCGCAGCTCGTAGTTAAACTATGGAACTGCCCGCCACAGGAGGCCGGGATGGTCCTCGACTTGGATGGCTTTAAAAGAGAGCAAGGGAAATTCACAGAGGAGGGGAGTCTGGCTTTCGGTGACCACTAGGCATAATGGCTATAGCCGGCTTCCCTGGCTGGAGGCAGCAATGTTCCTGGACGCCAGTTTCTGGACACAAAGGAGGGGAGAGGGGATGTCGTGTTTGGGTCCAGATTGCGGGTTTGCCATGGGGGTATCTGGGTGGTCTGATCCACAGGTCTCTTCTGATGCCCATGTGTAATTCTGTGGTCGCCGCCTTGCCCCAATACTGCCTGCTCTGACCGACAGCCGTTCTCCAGCGTCTCAGGCAGAGAGAGGGTTCTCCCCCCCCAAAAAAATCACGTTCTTAACCGGAAGGAGGATGCAACCTGCAACCTCCAGCACTTGCAAACGCCGGCGCTCTACCCACTCAGCAACACTCCCCTCGTGCCTTTTGAAGTCCGTGCAACTGGAGGAGGCTCTCAAGCGCTCTGAAGGTTTCCTGAATCGCTCACCTGGAGGTAAAAGGTAAAGGGACCCCTGACCATTAGGTCCAGTTGTGGCCGACTCTGGGGTTGCAGCGCTCATCTTGCTTTACTGGCCAAGGGAGCCGGCGTTCAGCTTCCGGGTCATGTGGCCAGCAGGACTGAGCCGCTTCTGGCGAACCAGAGCAGCGCACAGAAATTCCGTTTACCTTCCCGCCGGAGTGGTACCTATTTATCTACTTGCACTTTGACGTGCTTTCGAACTGGTAGGTGGGCAGGAGCAGGGACCGAGCAACGGGAGCTCACCCCGTCATTGCGGGGATTCGAACCGCCGACCTTCTGATTGGCAAGTCCTAGGCTCTGTGGGACAAAGGTAAAGGTAAAGGGACCCCTGACCATTAGGTCCAGTCGTGGCCGACTCTGGCGTTGCAGCGCTCATCTCGCTTTACTGGCCAAGGGAGCCGGCGTACAGCTTCTCGGTCATGTGGCCAGCAGGACTAAGCCGCTTCTGGCGAACCAGAGCTTTGCACGGAAATGCCGTTTACCTTCCCGCCGGAGCGGTACCTATTGATCTACTTGCGCTGGTGTGCTTTTGAACTGCTAGGTGGGCAGGAGCAGGGACCGAGCAACGGGAGCTCACCCCGTCATTGCGGGGATTCGAACCACCGACCTTCTGATCAGCAAGTCCTAGGCTCTGTGGTTTAACCCACAGCACCACCCTTGTCCTCACTTGGAGAGCCAGGACAAAAGTGGGTAAACAGCCGCTCTCACAGAAAGGCCAATCCCACATTCCTGGGACGTTTTGCCAGGCAGAAACTACAGGAAGTCCCCTTTGTTGTCCTAGCGAGCCTGGAGTGGTTCACGCGTAGCCAACACCCAAACAGAGCTTTGCTCCTCTGCCCTTTCGAAACGGCAGGGTTAATATCGGGCCAAGAAGCCACATTTGGCAGTTTCTCCATGCCAGGAGACAAGACACACCTGTTGGATTTCTGTCTGTTTTAGAAGGAAACCAGGTGGAAAGCTTCGGTTGCAGGGAGAGGTTGACTCCTAAACTGCAGTTCGTCCCACGAGAAAGAAACAACCTGATTTTTCCATCTTCAAAATCCAGGATCCCCCCCACACAAAAAAACCCACAACCCCAGTCCTCTTTCCTCCAAATGCACTCTGCACGCACCCAGAGACACAGCTTTCCAACTCCGCGTCCAAAAAGCGCGGGGCGCCCTGCATTAATCTAAACGCTCTAACCCAGAAAGAAAAGGGGGTACCTCTGAGCATGTCCAGAGCGCCAGGCCCTCACCCCCAAATGAACAACCCACCTGCCCATAGCTGTCAACGTTTCCCTTTTTTAAATTCCCTTATTCCAAATAGGATTCCTCGCAAGAAAAGGGGAAAGTTGACAGCTAGGCGACTCAAACGGCCGTGAGATTAAGGCTGCACTTTTAAAGCACAGGAGGGAAAAATCTGGGGAACTGTAGCGTGCAGCTACACGCTACAGTTCCCAGGCTCCTGCCTTAAATGCAGCCCTTTCAATTAAACACGGCTCGGGTTACACCTTCCCCCCGCAACCGCTTGCCAGAAAAAAATATAGAAAACAAGAATGTCGTTAAGCTGGGCGGTCAAGCCTCCTCGTTTCCCGGCTCAGAGATAAGCCCGTATTTTTTTGCACGCTGGAAGTAGGTCGCGAGGCGAAGGCTGCCAAACAGCGCAAAATTTACTTGCCTGAAATCGCACGGCCATGGTGCTCAGAGCCAGTTTGGGCCACACATCTTTGCCAGGTGAGGAACAGGTGTGCTCACCTGTCCGCAGCCCCGAAGAGGTTTGCCCAGGCCCGACCGAAGACAGGCTTCCAGAATATATATATTTATATTCCAGGTTTTCTCCCCCCCTGGCCTGTCGGTTCTGGTTTTCCTTCCTCTTCCGCAGCCCGGCCCCACCTCTTTCAGAGCACAGGTGTACTCTCCCCAAAGACACACCTAGATTCCAGGTGGAGCCAGAACTCTCCAGTTCCCTCGCCGGCTGGCAGAGGCCCCCAAGGAAATTCGCTCGGTGCAGGGAAACTCCAAAAACAGGGAATTCTCGGCCTCCTCTCGCAAGGAAAACATCTCCTGAGATCTGCCTCTGTCCGGCTCGCGACAGACCGGGGGTTTCCGATAACCGCAAGGACACTGAGAAAGCAACAAAGGCTGAAATTCTACCCAGGGCCGGACACCGGAAGCGGCCTTATCTGGAGTCGGCTCCCTCTCTCTCTGTGTTGTCGCTGGCACGGGCTGGCAGCCGGTGGCCAGGATTTCGGAGGTCTTCCCTCCCGCTGCCCAAGTCTCTCAGGGAATCGAGGCCGGGAGATTTTGCAGGATGGAGCTACGAAAATAAATAAGGCTGGACCGGGAGAGGCCGGCTGCTGTCGGGCTGGACTGCTGCAATGCTATCTTTGCGGGGCTTTCCTTCCGCTCAATAGGGCAGGTTTCCGATCGCCTTTGCAATGCAGGAATGTGCACGTGGACTTGGGTCTAAGAGCGTAGCCCCCAGCTTGGGGCCCTCTATGGCGTCTCGGACTACAACGCCCATCGTCCACTGCTAGCTTAGCGGTGGACGATGGGCGTTGTAGTCCGAAAGCTGGAAACTGGTCAGCTGGGGGGGGTGTTATTGTTTTGGTTGTTATTGTGCTATGTATTTTTGTGTGTTTTATATTGCAAGCCTACCCAGACATGCGGAACGTAGGCGTGTGTTTTTTCATCCGCTTATTAGCTTATCCTCGATTTTATTTTCTGAACGTTTTAAGCTGCTTTTTTAAAATATAGAGTTTCCCTGCTTTATTCTTCTTTGAGGTTCCGTTGCAATCAAGCAGAATAGAACCCTTGCAAAACAAAAGAATAAAATAAATTTTAAAAACACGTGGTCTTGGGTCTAAGAGTGCAGCCCCCAACTTGGCGCCCTCTACGCGTCTTGGAATACAACGCCCATCATCCACTGCTAGCTTAGCAGTGGACGATGGGAGTTGTAGTCCGAAAGCTGGAAACTGGTCGGCTGGGGGGGGTTATTGTTTTGTTTGTTATTATGCTGTGTATTTTTGTGTGTTTTGTATTGCAAACTGCCTTGTGGATCCTGAGATGAAGGGTGTATAGAAATGTTATTATTATCAATAATAAAACAACCCAAAACCTGCAGCAGCGGGGGCTTATGGGAGCTGTAGGAGGAGGTAAACAGTGGCTCCATGCAGCAGTTTTATAAGCCTGAAAATCCAGGGTTTACCTTCGCCCCTCAATCGTCTATCCCTCTTTACCTATCTACCTTTGCCCAGCCGCATTCCACTTCTCTCAGTGGCAAATATTGACATTTGGCTGTGAAAGGGGAAATCTAGATTATTTGAGGTTAGCGAACTCAAACAGACACAAAGACCAGTGGTTGGTCAACAGCGGGTTGGGGCAGGCGGTTTAGGAAAATCCCACAGGATCTTACAAATCCATTTCTCTGAGCTCAGAATTGCAGCTAGATCGCAAACAAACAAAGGACTGGCTCAGAAATTGACCCCTTGGGCTTAACCTCTTAGGCTCCGCCAGCGGCGTAGCGTGGGTTGTCAGCACCCGGGGCAAGGCAAGTAATTTGCGCCCCCTAACCCCTAACCTGCCGCCGCTGCCAGCTTCTTCTTGCTGCTGCCTGGGCTGGGGTATTTACGGCAAGGTAGCCACGGCGGTGGTGGCGGGTCCGTGTCAGGTGACCTGAGGCGAGTTGCCGCTGGCGCTGCCGCCCAAACGACGCCGCTTGCCCGGAGGAGGGCAGAGAGGTGAGGAAAATGCAACATGGCCCAGCAGCTGCAGCAGCGGCGGCGGCAGCAGGGGGGCTGTGAGGAGGGGCTGCCTGGCGCGACCTCCGCGGCCCTGATGCGCGGGGACCGCGGCGAGCGCTGAGAGCCGCTGCCAGCTCGTCGGTTCCACGAGACATGGGGCTCTGCTACAGCCTGCGCCCGAGGCTCTTCGGCGACTCCAGAGGCGGCGAGCGCCCCCCCGATGTTGCGCCCGGTGCGGCTGGCCCCCCTGCACCCCCCACGCTACGCCACTGGGCTCCGCTGCCTTCATTTCCCCTGTGGCGGTGGCGTCCCTCTCCATTTACAGATTTGCAAGGACCTCAGGGCAAGGATCTTAAAAAGCCAGCTCTCCGGAACGCCTCGGGGAAGCATTTCCCCCCAGAATGCACATGCGACTGAACCTTGCTCAGATAGCTTGTCCGAAAAATCGGACAATTTCACATTGTCCCATCTAGGCCGCGAAAAGCTGGACGGGATGAATCCCAAGCCGGAATTAAGATTGCCGGAAGAAATATCAACAACCTCAGATATGCAGATGACACAACATTGATGGCAGAAAGTGAGGAGGAATTAAAGAACCTTTTAATGAGGGTGAAAGAGGAGAGCGCAAAATATGGTCTGAAGCTCAACATCAAAAAAACGAAGATCATGGCCACTGGTCCCATCACCTCCTGGCAAATAGAAGGGGAAGAAATGGAGGCAGTGAGAGATTTGACTTTCTTGGCCTCCATGATCACTGCAGATGGTGACAGCAGCCACGAAATTAAAAGATGCCTGCTTCTTGGGAGAAAAGCAATGACAAACCTAGACAGCATCTTAAAAAGCAGAGACATCTCCTTGCCAACAAAGGTCCGTATAGTTCAAGCTCTGGTTTTCCCAGTAGTGATGTATGGAAGTGAGAGCTGGACCATCAAGAAGGCTGATGGCCGAAGTATGGATGCTTTTGAATTCTGGTGCTGGAGGAGACTCTGGAGAGTCCCATGGACTGCAAGAAGATCCAACCTATCCATTCTGAAGGAAATCAGCCCTGAGTGCTCACTGGAAGGACAGATCCTGAAGCTGAGGCTCCAAGACTTTGGCCACCTCATGAGAAGAGAAGACTCCCTGGAGAAGACCCTGATGTTGGGAAAGATGGAGGGCACAAGGAGAAGGGGATGACAGAGGAGGACGAGATGGTGGGACAGTGTTCTCGAAGCTACCAGCATGAGTTTCACCAAAACTGCGGGAGGCAGTGGAAGACAGGAGGGCCTGGTATGCTCTGGTCCAGGGGGTCATGAAGAGTTGGACACGACTAAACAACAACAACAACAACAGGCCGCACAGGAAGGTTTGAGGATTTTGGTGTTTTACTATTTTGTTGGAGGCCACCCAGAGTCACTGGGGCAACCCAGTCAGATGGGCGGCGTATAAATAGTAAGAATTATCCACGGGACCTGAAGCCGATCGTCTATATTGCAAAGCGCTTAAGTTTTTTCAAAACTGCAGCTAAAGTAAAGGGCTTGACCATCCATTCAGCACCCCCTCATTAAAAACCTGAAATCTGTTTAGAGATGAATGGGAGGCCTTGCATGGACTATTTAAAAATATCTATATGAAATCATGGGACACGGGTGGCGCTGTGGGTTAAAGCCTCAGTGCCTAGGGCTTGCCGATCGAAAGGTCGGCGGTTCGAATCCCCGCGGTGGGGTGCGCTCCCGTTGTTCGGTCCCAGCGCCTGCCAACCTAGCAGTTCGAAAGCACGTCAAAGTGCAAGTAGATAAATAGGGACCGCTTACTGGCGGGAAGGTAAACAGCGTTCCGTGTGCTGCGCTGGCTCGCCAGATGCAGCTTTGTCACTCTGGCCACGTGACCCGGAAGTGTCTCCGGACAGCGCTGGCCCCCGGCCTCTTGAGTGAGATGGGCGCACAACCCTAGAGTCTGTCAAGACTGGCCCGTACGGGCAGGGGTACCTTTACCTTTACCTTTACTAGCGGGAAGGTAAACGGCGTTTCCGTGTGCTGCGCTGGCTCGCCAGATGCAGCTTGTCACGCTGGCCACGTGACCCGGAAGTGTCTGCGGACAGCGCTGGCCCCCGGCCTCTTGAGTGAGATGGGCGCACAACCCCAGAGTCTGGCAAGACTGGCCCGTATGGGCAGGGGTACCTTTACCTTTACCTTATATGAAATCATAACTGTTTATGTCTGCTACGACTGCAGCCAGGAGGATATACGCTCAGAAATGGAACGAATACTGTCGTCCCAGTGGCAAAATTTACGGGAGCAATAAGGAACCAAGAAGGGGGAAATTTGGGGATTATTTGCAATGCTATTGTACAGTACACATGTAAGTATATTAGCAGGATTACGGTAACTTAAACAAAACAGTTAAAATTAATGTTTAAAGACAACAACAACAATAACAATTTATTTATTTGTACCCCGCCCATCGGCCTGGATTGCTCCCGCCACTCTGGGCGGCTTCCAACCCCCAAATAAAAACATCAAGCATTAACGGTAAAAATATGATCCAATATAAAGAGTCACAGTAACTTTAAAATAAACAACTCATATCAAACAAAGCAACATTCAACAATCCATCAGTACCTAATAGTAAACGTTAAAATTAAACACTGTATCAGCAAATAATCATTAAACAATTTACAGTTTAGACTGTAATTGATGAAAGATAACTATTAATCGGAGTACTGGAAGAGATACAGTGTTATAAATTAAAAAATGTAAGAAATTGCAAAAGAAGTTAATATATATATATAAATTTGTTGGGAAAGATGGGGTTGTCTTTATGTCAAAAGTAATACTGGAAAAGTGAAAAATAAAATTTATAATAAAAATACACTGGTACCTCGGGTTAAGTACTTAATTCGTTCCGGAGGTCCGTTCTTAAACTGAAACTGTTCTTAACCTGAAGCACCACTTTAGCTAATGGGGCCTCCTGCTGCCACCGCGCCACCGGAACACAATTTCTGTTCTCATCCTGAAGCAAAGTTCTTAACCTGAAGCACTAATTCTGGGTTAGCGGAGTCTGTAACTTGAAGGGTATGTAACCTGAAGCGTATGTAACCCAAGGTACCACTGTATATGAAATCAGGGGTCGGATTTGAGATACGAGGCGGCTT